GTAGTTCTTGTGCGACCAGGCGCTCCGCTATGCTAGTGAAGTTCTCTAGGCAATGATCAATCGCGTTCGCGATAGCTGTGATGATGCTGTGTCTAGTTTTGGCGGCCTCTTGGGCTGCCGTGATCTTCTCCGTAACCGCGCCCGTCACCAGTTGTCTCTTGTTAGCACTACCACCGAACGATATAGGTATAGGCGCTGCTTCGGCTTGCCTGTGTCTTTTTGTAGTGCGTAGGTTAGCTAGGCTAGGGGTATTTGGGTCCTCAGGGCGCGTGTGTGTCACTTCTGGAGGTCGAAGTGTCTGCCCTGGGGTACCTGGCACCGCCATCTCTCTGTCAGAGGGAGGGCTGGGCCCGATATGAGTTGTGAGTTGCCTTATTAGGCGCTTTAGGAGTGATTTCTAACAAAAATTTAATTGTTTTGAAGGGTACCATAAAATCACAAAGTTGGTGTTCGGTGTCGCCAGCGCGGAGAAACTGCTGGAATACACACTCCTCACCTTAAGTTAACCTTGCTAGGCTGCAGTCTTAAACTCTACTATCTTCGTTTTTTTTCCTTAGCCCACCGAGCTCCTTACTAACATCTATTGTCGCCAACTAATAGGGGGTTGATAAAGGAGAGTCGGTCGTCGGCACTGATAGAACGAGCGACAGCATAGTTAATAACGCGATTTTCGGCATCGGAGGCTAATATGCTTAGAGAATAACAGTTGCAGAATAGATACGCATCTTTCTTGTCTACATTTGAGAACGTTACAGGCAATCCGAGTGTCCGGGCGAGAAGGTGTCCCGTCACACTGTGCGTCCGGCACGCAGGGACCGACTTTAGCTCGGAATTCCTCAGAGCAAAGTGAGTAGCGTTGAGCGTAGCACATTGTCTACCCCAAGCCCATCATGCATAGTAAAAGTAAAAAAGTAGAAAATCATTAACAATTACTCTATCTCAACCCAGATATACGTGATCAACCATTGACCATGCCTCATGTCCCAGCGCCCAGCGCCCAGCGCCACGCTAAATGTCCTCAAAGAAAAACTCCCGCAATGCAAGAAACTCCCCAAACCCAAATCCCAACTACACATCTGTTGTATTCATCTTCCTACTCATCTGTCGCATTCATCTTCCCCATCTCCACTCCAACCTCATCCGTACTCATCCTCTCCCCATCTGGCCCCCTTCGTCCACCCCCTACAAACCCCCACACACTCACCCCAGCAACAACCCACGCCGCAACAAGAAATGGCACCATGGCCGCGCGCCCCGCCGTCTCAATCGAACACTGCTTAGCGTAATCGTCTCGAACCATGCCAGCGCCTTCGACGCCTTTAAGGGCACAAACCCAAGTTTCGAGGTCGAAGGTGCCGCGGTCGTAGCGGAAGACGGGGTCGGAAGGGCTGGCAATGGTTGGGGTGGTAGAGGTGGTGTTGGAGGTGAGTTCGGAAATGTAGGTGGGCCGGTAGCGAGCAGAGTTTGTGTGGGTGGTGTAGATTGCGACGAGGGCGAAGAGGACGAGGATGGCGTTGATGATGTGGATGAACATTGTGTTGCGGCGGAAGGCGTTGGACTGGGTCTGTTGGTTAACTTATTAGCTTTTTTTCGATTTCTTTTCTTGGAGGGAGTGTTGAAGACGTACTCTTTTCCCACTCTTCCAATCGACGATTACGAGGGCTAGGTGGCCTGTGGCGAGGGAGAGACTGATGGCTGCAACAATGATGGAGAGTTTGGTTGGTAAGGTATGGAGCATCCTGGGTAAGGCGGCCATGATAATGTTTCTGTTCGTGCCACTGGTTGTGTCTGGGTCGAATACGAAGCCGGTCATGCGGTTGTCTTCGACGAAGCTGTATGTGATTGCCTTGAGCGTCATGACGAGTATGGAGGTGATGAAGAGAGTGAGGAGAGAGGCTCCATAGATTTTTCGTGCTATCCGGTGATGTGGACATGAGTTTGTATCAAATGGGTGGTTGAACATGGGTGAGTCATCTTGTTTCCGACGGAGTAGAGACTGGACTTTGGCGATTAATGGTGGCAGACTGAATTTGGGCTTCTTTGTGTCGGCCATTTTCTGATCTTGACTCGTCGTTAAGGGTAACCCCTAAGGCCTACGTTTAGTCGGTCCGGTTGTAATGGTTCACTTCTGTAAAGAAGTTTGAAGCAAGCCCTGCCGTGTGGTGACTATGTAGACATCAGTCGGCTGCCAATCAGTTACTGCAGAGCAAAAAGAATGAAAGATTGGGACGGCTCGGGAGACAGCATGCGATACAGTCAAGTTAGATATTATCCAAAATCTATCTGACAAACAGAACAACACAAATGCCACGTCAGGCACCCGCGCCGTGCCTCATGCTATCATTACCCTCTGCTCGAGCTTAGCTGTCAATGCTGCTATGCCAGCATATGGCTAGTCTGAGGCCTCTATCAAGGTGTTGCCTGAACGGTCTGGTATGCATCCGGCAATTTTTGTGTACTTGGTAATGCAATGACAGGTGTCAAACACTTGTTGTGGTTTTGTATTGGCTGTTTCGGAGGTTCGTGACAACAAGTGTGTGAGATGCGCAACGTGCACTGTCCCTAGACTGAACCCACGATGGTTCTCTCACGTCGCAATAACATCGGCACTTAAGCTGAATGCGTATTTATTTTTGTGCCCACACATAAGGCAGAGACGGATGGGATTGATATGCGGAGCATTTTGGCGCCACCTCTTTCTAATACTCCGCATAAGATTGGATGCGTACCCCGCGTTGCATATGGATTGGGATGCAATGATTGATAATACCGCCGTGCCTAGTAGATATTGGCTGTTAATTATTTGAGAATGACGCGCGCCTGGATAATGGCTGCACACGTTCTGAGGCTTGGCTCTCGTTGACATGTAGCGACAATGTTAAGCATAATGCCAATGCTGAATCATGCCTCAGGTTCTGCTACAAATCAGATCGGTGAGGAGGATGTTTGGCCAGGGTGTTGTATCGCTTCTCGATGGATCCCGCTTCGGTTTCTTGTAGCGAAATGTATCCTTATGCTTTATTAAATCTCAGAACGGGCACATACGTGCAATACCATAAACACTGTTAATATCTACATGTGCGAGAGCTGTGTGATTGGGAAATTTGTCATGTCCGTTAGGCGTGCCGGATGGGGTGCACACAGAATCGCAGCTGTACAAAGTAAGAGTCGTTGATCTGCACATGACAAGTTTCATGCTGAATAGGTACATAGTAGGCCGCATCCTACAGCTGTCGTACTGTGAAGCCGAATCCTGTCGGTCAGATGTTGGGATGGACGTGCATCAGATTGGTGATGTCACATGTAGTAGACAGCCGAGCGCTAATTGCGTGCAAGTCGCGAGAAACCAACGACGCGTTTACACGACGTCCTTTTATCAACAATAATAATTCTCAACACCCACCATGGCTTTTACAGCACTCAACAACCGCCCGTCAGCGCCTGTCGTACCTATACAAGCCCCTGCCCTAGTGCCAGAACCGGCACCAGCCTCGGTACCGACACGTGCGCCGTATCCCCAAGAAATCGATGTCGCTTTTGCGAGTAATCACGAGCTGCGGAAGCGCGTACACGCCGCCATAGGTACGCTTCTTTTCAAAGAATGGATTGAATTGCAATTGAACATACGAGGTAGATCAAAATCCAGCACAAAGTACATTATTTCGCGACATTTCAACATATATCCTCAATCAAACTTCGCAACTTGCCGCTGAACCAGCGACTAAGAAGCGCAAGATTGAGGAGAGCAATGGCGCGCAGAATGCCCCATCCGCAACTGGAGGTAGCCTCACGAGTGCCACAACTCCGGCATTCAAGACATACGCTGGTGTCAGCTTCTCGATACCGCAGCGCAAGAAATTCACTCTCGAGTTACTGGACAAGAAGGACGGTGGCATACGGGCGATTGGTGCAAGCGGAAACGTTGAGTTTGCAATTGCGTGGAAGGATGTTGACCAGGTTTTCTGCCTGCCTATTCCTGAAAAGGCGAAGAAGCAGCACAATTTTGTCATTATACCAGTACATGGAGACGGTGTTGCCCCCGTACCTGAAGAGCTGAAAGCCTCACCGCCAGAGCCAATTGTGTGGACGTTTGAGGAAGCTACGGGCAAGAACATTGTAGAAGGCGAGGATCCAGGGCCAACTGCAATGGCCGACGCAATACACCACTGCCTGATACAAGCAGGCACAGGAAAGCATGTCGTCTTTCCCGACCCAGACGAATTCGCAAGCGCTATCCCGGAGAGCCACAGGAAGAGCGAGAAGGCATACCATGTGAAGGCACACCGAGGAAGTAAAGAAGGTGCGATATTGCTTCTCGTTATCTCTGCGCATTACACACCTATTGACACTTGTTAGGTTATCTCTTCTTCACCTCTGTGGGTATTCTTAACGGCTTTAAAAAGCCCCTTGCCTTCTTCGACTTCGCCGCCATAACCAGCATATCCTACACCGCCGTCCTTCGCAACACGTTCAATCTCGTCATCACCACACCCACCGGTGACATCGAATTCGGTATGCTCGATCAAGCAGACTTTGCCGGCATAAATGAATATGTGCAGAAGCACGGTCTTCAGGATGCTAGTTTAGCAGCTGACCGACGTGCTAAAAAGCTCAATGTGAACAAGGTTGGCGGTAAGAAGGACGCCACCAATAGTGCTGAGGCTGAAGGAGCTGCGGAAGAAGAAGAGAGTGAGCTACAAAAGGCGGAGAGGGAATTACAGGACCAGGAAGATGACGAAGAAGAGGATGATGACTTTGACCCAGGGAGTGAGGGCGAGAGCGAAGGATCGGGATCGGACAGTGAGGACGAGGAAGAAGGTGAGGGGTATGAAGAGGGCGATACTGCAGAGATTGAGCCTGACGAGGTGGATCATGATGAGATGCAACAATAGTGATCATCTGGAACTCAGCAGAAATACCCAATATGGCCTTTTCTCCTTCAGCATGCATAGACTGCCCATCCACATGATGCTTTTCCTTGTCTTCGGCAAACCCTGGCTAAATGGGATTTTCTGGCTATGCGCTTGTCCTTGTGCTCAGATGCCAGATCTCTTCACGACTTGATTAATGTGTCTTACGTTTTCGAAATGGATTTATCAGGAAGTGACGCCAGTGACCTAGCTTTCGGGTGCGTACCACCATAACTTCCACGACGTGAGTTATTGCCCGTCATACCACACAGAATGTTGTCGATGACAGCTGCATCCTTCTCCCTATGAATTGAGCCTTGTCGTTCAGACAGTGAGACATGAATGCACCCTCAACATATCCTCTGGAGTATCAATACACTATTACCAACACAGTTTACATAACGACACTTGTTGATTTTCTAAATTCACGAGACCCCTATCGATCCATAATTTACCGATCCCCATATTCAAAACGAACGGGTTAAGATGAGCCTTTTCTTCATGGCTTGCCTTCTAGCGATATGTCTACCTATCATCAACGTACAACTTCCCTACTTCCTCTAAGCCGCTCCCTTTCTCTCCGTCCCGCTTAACAGTCACAATAGGAAGCTGACCCCCGCTATACCAACGGACACGTCCCCTATGATGTCGCTTATGACCATGCGGGACGGCCACAGCGCCGGAATGACCAAGTTCGAAGAGTGGAGAAGAGGCGACGAGTGGTGCGGATAGTCGAACCGGAACGAGCGAAGTGGAGTCGGAAGAGATCCAGATCCAAGCGACATCGCTGACGAGATTACTGATACTGAAACCTGAAGGGAAAAGGAGATGCAGCAGGGTAGAAGGGGTCGAGAGGATACTTAGAACTCTCCGTTTCCGAGATGTGGGGATGTACAAGATAATCGGGAGAAAGACAATCATCGCATTTAGCCTCCTAGACCACGAATACAACCCGGAAGAGTGGTGGAAGCAAGCCGTATGGCGGGACAACTGTTTCTTTCTGACAGCGATGGCAATGGCAAGCGCGTCTGCGAATAATAGCTAGCACATATCTGGGCCAACCCGAACACCAAATTACCTACAAATCTTCTACTTCTGCTAACGCAAAAGGTTTTAATTCAGAAAATTCTACTTTTCGCAATTGAATATTCTCAAGAGTAAAGCAGAAGCATGGAAAGAAGAGTGACTTCATATCAGGTGCATACTTTTGTCTCGCTATCCTAGTATCCTTGCTGTCTACCTTCATATCTGTAGTTCCTATAGTGCATCTATCGGCATGGTTTCTGACACGTACGCAGCAGCCACACTTGGAAATGCACAATGATACATCAAGAAAAAACCACTTTTTGTATGCTGTGTACTCGCCGCATTCCAGGTCAGACTCAAATTATTGTCTACATCTCTCAATACATCCCATTTCACAAACTCCCCTCCTCAAACCCGAGTCTGATTCGTATCCAACCTTTCAATATTCTTCTCCCCCTCGGACTCCTCGGACTTATGCGTCCCCTGGCGCATAAGCTGCCTCGCGACAATCGGCCTGCTAACCTGATCGCGACTATGCGGATTATCCGGACACTGAAACGCCGCCGCCTCGTGGTCGTCAAAGTCCTGCCCCGGATTCACAGTCTCGTAATCCATAGCCTTGACAACCTTGTACACCCCGCACGCCAGCAGCGATCCCATAATCGGCCCAAACCAGTAGATATAATGGTAGCTAGGGAAATCACCCGTGACGACACAAGGTCCGAAGCTACGTGCGGGATTCAAACTCCCGCCTGTGAAAAAGACCCCGACCATTTCCGCAACGAATAACGCCATGCCAATTCCGACAGGGGCAAGAAATGTCGCCTTGTGCTTTTCGGCGGCGAGCATGAAGACAGTGAAGACGAGTAAGGAGGTTAGGAACATCTCCAGGAAGACACCGCGAGCGGGGGACATTCCCGCGCTCAACGTCGTGCTTACGGATAAAGGGCCTGGCACGAGGGCGTGGACAACGCCTGCAGCCGCGATTCCGGCAAGCATTTGCGCTACGAAGCACATGATTGCCCTGGGAAGGGGCACGCTGCCGATGAGGTAGAGACCTAGTGTTACCTTTGCAGCAACGAAACAGAATTCATCAGCCAAGGAAATACGATGCTCAAGTTCATTTCGTTTGCGGAGTACAGTGAGGAAAATAGGGGAGGAGACTTACAGCAGGGTTAAACAATCCCCCACTGACTCTAAAGAAACACCACACGTTGATCATCAGACTGAATCCAAACGCCAAGCTAATGTACAGCAACACGCTCGTATCGGGCACCTGGAGAATCTTGTCGGAATTTGTGTTGGAATCGGATCGATTGGCCTGGTTACTGTTGTTCGCAACGCTGGTGCCGCCAAAGGCAAAGAAGAGGAACATGAATGTGCCTGCGAACTCTGCTAGTGCGGCTATGGAGCGGTTGTGCCAGTTGTGTGAGCTGGGAGTTGCGCGAACTCTGGTGCCCTTTTGGCTGTGTGTAACGGACTCTATGTGGTGCCTACCGTGGGAACCGTTGGGTTGGGGTTTGTTAGGTTCAGTTTGGGGGGGCCCAGGATGGGACTGGGATGGTGGTATATCATTTTTGTGGAAAGGGAGGAGGTTTCTCAAGGGCATGATGGCTTTCAACCCTCCTTTTGAGGTTGTTAAGGCTATTTCTGGGTGCAAGGAGTGAATTGTATGACTTTGGAGAGGAGCCTTGAGTTCATTGCTACAGCGAAACTGGGAAGCTGCACTTTGAGCTTTTAATTGTCGACGATAGTGGCGGAAGCATTTGGATGACGATTGCGCACAGAGACGAGGGATATGACGCAGTAGCAGGATATGACCGCATCACCCGTTGTTTGATACTACAACAGCTTTCAAACTTTCCCTACGACGAGACCCTATTCGTTCTTTACTTCTACTCATAATCTCGAACGGGCTGGAGCAGGTCTTTGATCTACAGAACATATCATGGTAACTTTCTGCAGTCCCGCTGCTAAGTGGCTTGTCGCTCAATATCCTTCATTTGATACTTTACCTCATCCATATTACTCCATATGTATACCATGAGTGTTCAAGCCAACTTCTATCGAATATTCTCTTAATCATGTCATCTTTCATCTCAAACTGCAGAGTTTTTCATTTGTGAATGGGCTAAAGTCTATGAAGTAAGGCCGCTTACGTAGTTTCAGCTCCCCACATCATAGTCGTAGCTAGGAAAAAAGCAATAGGACAGTTGTGGGGTGAACTCATGTTCGCACGCACATGGATAACATCTGATTTTTCAGTAACCATGCAACTGCCTATACTTTCAACCATCAATTCCATTGACACGTGGCAAAATTTCAATTTCAGATCGGTCTGGTCGCCACGGTCCTCACCGGTTGTGGTAACATTCAGCTTTTAAAGTGGGTCTAGTGCGGCATTGCCAGAGTATGATTGCTGGGTTAAGTGTAGATATGAGGATCGATCGCTCATGCCTGTATGCCTAAAGATTTCTCTCAAAATAGATTGGCGATGCGCAATTTTGGAATGCTAATTTCTAGGTATAGAAGCGGGCGGGTGAGATCTGCGAGATGCAGTGGGGGTGTGGAGAAGGGACATGTGAGGGATCGGCGCCGGCGCTGTCGTAATCGCGATGCGGTAGCGAGGTTCGAAGCAAGACGCCTTGTACGTATATGCTACGTACTTGAATCGTATGTGTCAATACTGCTATACACAACTGATACTAGTTCTGATCGGAACATAGAGTCAAAAATGAGTGCAACTGGCGACGTATCATGGGAGTATTTGCACTCAGCTTCACCGGCATCGTTGGCCTGGTGTGAGTTTGTACTTGTGACAGGCAACATATCCTAGTATCAAATGCGATTGTGGAAAGGATAATATTCATTTGGGACTGTCAGCTGAAATTGATGTTCATAATCAATGAGTGGTGTGCGCAGTCTGTATTTTGGCTACTGTGCGTGTTACAGCGAACTGTACGCGAGCATTAGTACCAGCTAGCAAAGGTACCGAGTAATTCTTCAAGAATCTTATCCGAGCCGTCCCCCACGTAATTTCTCTCCCCAGAACCTTTGGATAGAGCCCCTCATCAGGGTTTTTGTAGACTTTTAAATTCGAAACAGGTTCAACACATGTAGTTCATGATAGGTTTTGATCGAGTCTATGAGTAGACAGCCGTCCTTAACAAACTCAACAAATTGCAATGACCAGCAGCATAATGCTTGTGCATTACGTTTTCACTCGACTACGATAAACTTTCTTGGAAAACTAAAAATCTCTTGTTATTCGAGTGCGAATATGTTAGACAGAGACGTGACGCGGATTGTTTTGTTAGTGCCTGGTATTTTCCTTTTGGTTTTCGACTAGATTTGCAGTCCTGCATATTATATAAGTTTTTACACTAGCTTTTTGGAATCAATGATCCAGGAAAATAGCTAATAAATATATGCTACTATCTAAGCGCTTGAAATTTTCACATTTGAGAGCATGAGTGAACCCGGAAGTATGCTATCATGAAAAATCTGATCTTGACTGTTTGAGTTGATGAGATCAAGTAAGGCTTCATAAATTGCTTATGTTACAACTCATATAGACATATCAGTTCTTTTTAGTAGCTTGAGAATTCTCTAAAACTAAGTTCTGTTGTTTTCATGCACAAGGTTGTGCACAACACTCGGCATACTGATTGCGGACCAGAGGACTACAAGTACGGGGCTTTTCACTGTAGGTTGTAAAAATTCATTCCATAACAGGCAAAATCTATTCAATCCCTAAATTATTCCTTCATCTCCCTTCCCAACCCGATATTCCCATACATGGCTGACTGATTCCGAGTACGTGCACCCTAGGCTTCTCTAGTAGATGGCATAATCCCTTACATATTACACCCACTCACCACTTGTAAGATATTCAAATCAACTAGAGAGAAGAAGGAAAGTATCACTGTTTTCATTAAGTATTTCCATGTGGTAGTATCTTGCATATAGAACGTCATCTCCTTGATTTAATAATCATACAGACGCCAGCCTTAACGATGGAAAACACGGCTCATGTGCGTACTCGATAGTCTCCAGTACCAACCATGTGGACATTTGTATGCACCTTCAAACGGTCAGCGATCTCCACATTGCCGCTTGCAGGGACATGTGGCTTTCGATAAAACCGTTGAGTCTATTTTCATAGGGTACCGTAAATCTATGGCTCTCCGTGAACCATAGTCCTGATCTCCATTTGTCCATTGTCACAGCCAACTCGCCTTTTCGTCATGTGCTCTTGCGACCACCAAGTACTTGTTTCATGCGCACAGACAACTCGACCAATGTACCAGCCGTAGAGTGGTACATTAGCCCCTATTGTACACAGACAAAATCACCAAGTATTTTTGTCTCAGTAGTTTGCTTTTTGTGGACCGGGCCTCTTTGGGCGAACTCTTGTGACACTTTAAGGCTGGTGTACATCATGCTTTTTCGTTGGGTAACTAAGTAAGTACCCAAAACTGTGCGGATGATACGGCAATCTAGTCGTCGTTGTTCTGAAATCTATCCAAGTTAAGAGGATTCAACGTTCATTGATGTGTGTGGTAGCAAGAAGATTAGTGTTGATCACGTGAATAATAGGTCTTGTGATCATGGGCTCCAATAGTGGCGAAAAATATGTGTACCTGCCTCTTCAACTCTTGTGCACGCCAAAAAGAAGTCTGGCATGGCAAGTAGATGTGATGAGGTTGGAGTCGGTGCTCTCGTAGAGAAAGTTACTGGACGTGATGCTCTGTGGGTGGCATTTGTATATGGATCTTTCACATGCAACCTGCATTTACTAGGTAACGATCTCAACGTGCTCAATCTAAACCCTTATAATTCTAGAATGTCTAAAACGCATTCCTAGCCCAACAAGCAAACAAACCCAAAGCACTCGAGTCCAGGCAGGTGTAGAATCTGTCCCGCTCATTGCGGTTCTCGGCACGCTAATCGACTTCCTTCACGACAACTACTCCCTTCACCACCACCCAACCCCCATTCCAAAACACCGAGACATGATCCGGCGTTGCTCCACTTACTCTGACTATCGTGTCAGCGAAAAAGAGGCACGGCTCGGCTGCTCACGTCTTCCAGACCCTGTTTCGGAAGTCCAAAAATGATCGACAGCGCCACTCGGCTCCCCATCTCAATTCCCGCAGCTAATTCTGCATAGTCTTACATGAACACGAATGTCTCTGAACTGCCTGTATGCAGGGTAATCAAAATACCAGCTACTCATAAGTGATATAACGAGGAATTGATGGCAGAGCTATTCATAGGTATAACTAAATGCAATAGATCGGGAAGACTAAAAGTGTGGCGCATAGGTGAAGGTGTGGAACATCGGTGGTTTTGGGACCGGCACGCCGATGCTTTTGGCTGATATGAGTGGTGTAGGAGAGAATGATCGCATTCGTCGGTGACACTCGCCGTCTTACTGCCCTCGGGCTTGTACATCTCGTGTGCTGCGGACTCAGAAGTCATCATTGGGGCTTGGAACATGGACAATGACGGGATTGTGCGCCTGCTTCTTATTTCAGTTTCACAATGCCATGAAACTCAAATGCTCACATTCCTGTGCTTCATCCCTTAAGGACTTTTGATAGAATCCAACTCTTTGTTCATATATCAAGACGTACGCCCAAGGCACACGCACGCGTTGCCCACAGCTGAGGTCCGCATTCACGGAGCTTCGGCGCCAGCCACATCCAACGCATCCACCCCCCACCCATTGACCGAGAACCGATAAGCAAGAATCAATATCGACACTGGCAAATGGCGGCGCTTCCACCAATTGTACCGCTGTTCCGTAGGGGGCCTGGCCCGGCAGCCCCCGTATCAGCCCGGACATCAAGCGAGTTTACGTTCACGGATGCAGCATCGTCCCGCGTCATGTCACTGGATGAACGGAATTTAATCGCAAGTCTAATAGCCGATCTCTCCGACAACTGTGAGACGGCTTTTGCAAGAGCACATATCCAAGCCCACGAGTGGGGACCAAGATATTCAGAATTGATAGAGGGAGATTGCACCGACCGACATTTTAGTAGACGATCGCGCCCACGGACTCGTGGTACCGCCACCTCATACACGCCTTCGAACTTACGCGAGGATCTCCGCGAGATCCGACCCTATCTACGCGAAAGCACATTGTTGGCACTAGAAGGAATATTAGCAAACGGAATGGGACTAAGAGACGAGATGCCAAAAACCCCAAAACCCCCAACGTCGCCTCTGGCATCCTCTCCTCTGTCACCTCAATCTGGCGAAGGCTACTACGTACCCGTCATACTAGACTCCCACCAACCATCCGGACGCTCAAGCTACTCGCGACCAAACAGCGTCAAATTTGACGACGAGCCGGACGAGTCTGGTATCTTTCCCCGCGACAAGCGACGGAGTACGAAGAGCAACCTTCGGCACCCAATGGACGACACATCACCAGACAATCTGAGGTCGACGTTCGAGAGCGACATGGCGGGCACCATCCCGCCCGCGCCAGCCTATCCTTCAAAAGCTAAAACGGCTATTATTATGTTTTCTTTGTACATTGCCATTTTCCTTGTCGCCCTCGACAGAACTATCATTGGACCCGCTATTCCCGCCATCACAAACGACTTCAAGAGCATAGACGATATCGGTTGGTACGGCAGTTCGTACATGCTTACGGCTGCCGGTTTCATCCTGCTCTACGGACGAGTCTACACCTTCTTTTCGACAAAAGCTGTTTTCCTATCTGGTATTTTCTTGTTTGAAATTGGCAGCGTCGTTTGCGGCGCTGCGACGAGCAGTACGATGCTGATTGTTGGGCGCGCTATTGCGGGCCTGGGCAGCAGTGGAATCTTCACGGGCGCAATTCTTATCATGCTCAACACTGTTCCGCTTGAGAAGCGGCCGATGCTGCAAGGTCTGTTTGGTGCGTGCTTTGGCGTTGCGTCCGTGGCTGGGCCCTTGCTCGGTGGAGCGTTCACCCAGAGTTCGGCATCGTGGAGATGGTGCTTTTGGATCAACCTGCCGCTCGGAGGCGTTACGATTTTGGTTGTGTTTTTCATGCTCAAGTTGGATGAGCAGAAGCAGCAGCTGAAAGGTTGGGGAGAAATTGTTCGACAGTTGGACCCGCTTGGTACCCTGCTCTTTCTGCCATCAATCACCTGTCTGCTTCTCGCACTAGAATGGGGTGCGGCTGAGTACTCGTGGTCGTCGCCAAGGATCATTGTTCTTCTCGTCGTCTTTGGCGTGCTGCTTGTCGCTTTCACGGCATGGCAATACGTTACTCGCCACACTACGGCTACCATTCCGGCACACATCATTCTTCAACAGAGTGTTGCATGCGGTGGTGCGTCTCAGTTCTGCGTTGGAGCAACCATGCTTACGGTCTCTATTTACATTCCTCTCTGGTTCCAAGCGATCAAGGGCGTGTCGGCAATGCAGTCTGGCATCAACACCATCCCACTTGTCCTCTCGGTCGTGGTGGGCTCAATCCTGTCAGGTGGGCTGGTACAGCGTTTTGGTTACTACACTCCATTCATGATCTTTGGGTCTGTCCTCATGGCCCTTGGAGTTGGTCTTATCACAACATGGAATGTGAACACCAGCAACGGCATGTGGATTGGCTACCAGATCCTCGTGGGTTTTGGAGTTGGAAGTACCATGCAGCATCCCAACATTGCTGTCCAAACCGTTTTGCGGAAGCAAGATGTTCCAACCGGAACAGCCATTCTTTCACTGTGCCAGACATTGGGTGGAGCAGTCTTTACAGCAGTCGGTCAAAACTTGTACATCAGCAAGTTCACCGATGGCCTGAAGGAGATTGGTGACCTCGAACCCCAACGCGTACTTGGTGCCGGAGCAACAGAAATTACCAAGAACGTACCAGACGATGTTAAAGTGAGAGTGCTAGAAGCCTACAATGTCGCTCTGACAAAGGGAACTTTCTTCGCAGCGCTTATCATTGCTTGCTTTGCCTTGCCGGCGGCTCTGGGTATGGAATGGCGCAGCGTCAAAAACAAGCAAGAGCCGCCACAAAAGTCTGCATCAAATGGAGACGTGGAAAAGCAAGATTCACAAGTGCAGCCATCTCGTGGTATCTTGAAGAATTCAGCCGCCACTGACGGACAAGGTGATGCTCCCCTTGCTCCACCGGTTCCACCGTGGAGAAAGACATTCCGAGCCAGTGGCCATTTCTCGTCGTACTTGACTGCCAAGGTCAATCCTGATCTCCGGGGTGAATTGAAAGCGTCTCAATAGAGTAATGGTCGGGTTTAATGTGTAATATGCCAACTTCAGTTAGATATCTCGAAGTAGATTAGATTTTTTCAATATATTTCCACGTGTATATGGCAAATGCCGAATCGCGTCCCACGTTTCTGCAACAATTGTAGTACAAGAACTAGAAATGTGGTCATCTCACGTGATGTCGGGTGCTGCAACAATCTGTTTTCGCTCTTCGTAAGCCGAGTCAAGATACATACATGTCACTATGCAGAAATGGACACTGCGTTGCAACTCCACCAGTGCTCCGGCATCCTACCCGAGCCTACAATCGGTTGAACCTGTAGATCCGTCAGCGCAAGCACCAAGATATGCAGCTGGGTGCGCCACGTCTGCTTGATGCAATGAAACAAGCAAGGCCTAGCTTTGGCAAAGCTTGATGAATCTACACGCAGATCAACGCCAACGACACCGTGCCGTTCTTTCGAACAACAAACTCTTTGAGCGAGTGATGCATGCTGCGCTGTCAACACCGAGTACACAGTAAGCGAATTTTCGTATTCAACTATGCCATGTTGTACGATGGTGGCTATTGTCACGGCCCCGAAATAAAGTTCGCCAATCTAATTGGAGACCGTAGCCCGCGGTGCTGGGTCGTTTTCATAGTCCAAGCGTATGATTGGCTTACATCAAGCCTCGAGGCTCTTCACGAAGATCATTACAGCGTAACAAGAAAAGTTACCTGCACTGTTCATTTGCTGCCTGCAGCACAGAACGAGATCTCCGGCGTGGGACGCCTGTCGCAAATAGACATTCGCTGGCCAAGGATCCGACTCGCTACACCTGACTTGCGAATCTGAAAGGCGGTCGCGGCTGTTGCGCTTCCACCATACGGGTTGTCTGGAGCAGCGCCAGAAATAAGGTCCAGCCAAAGGCCCAAAGGGTCCAAGAGATCCATATTGCAATTACGGTTCCCCGCAGGTGTCTCAGTCATTCCCCAGTGTGGCTGCGGTCATCGAGGTAACAATAGAGTTGGCCCCGGTGAGACAACAAGCTGACTGTCAAGGTGCAGGGGCCTGATTGGTATGCCAAAGCAGTACTGATCAGCTCGGCCTCGCAAAAGGAAGCCGGTATTGTGCCACCTTTTCTCACGTCAACAGCTACTGCGTTGAGCTACTGCGTCGGAGATTATAGAGGAGAGACGAGCATGATCCGCAGTGCGTGGGGAAAAGCGAACATTGAGTGTGCACAGGCACCTCGAGTCTCGGTATAAGGACTGCCTCAAGGTAGCCCTTGTTGATCAAGCTGGACTCTCGAACATCTCATCCCCTTATCCCTCCCTCTTATATCATTTGTAGCGATTCCACACGTGCTTGGCACCATGGCATCTCGGTCTGTTCATATTGTGTTGAGTGTCGCATGGCAAGATGCTGGAGACACCACACGCGCAATTGCCATGGCCATCGCATTGCGAGACATGTGCCCCCCTGATGTCGACCTCAAAATCGACTTTTTGTCATGCGGTGCCCGGTTTGAGTATCAGATAACAGATGCCGGCTTTAACATCGTTCCTGCTCAGCCGCGCGTAAAGGGCATCTCGGTAGCACATGACCTTGGCTGGGACTGGCCAGAGTTCTTCGGTTCGGAGGAGATTGCCAAGTCCTTCATTGATGGCCAACTCGCTGCTTTCAAAGAACTGAAGCCCGACATTGTATTCCATGGCATGTGGGCTCCGGCTTCCATCGCTGCACGACTCCTCGGCATCCGCACCATCAACTTTCTACCAGTCCCTCTGCACCCTGGAGCATTCTGTCATGGTCTGATCAGGGATCTTCCTGATATGGTGCCGCTCTTCACCCGCCTTCCTCGACCAGTCCGCCAACGGATAGCATGGTGGGGAAGTGGCTTGATGACAAAGGCTCCCATATTCCAGCAGAAGCGTTTGGGCGCAGCCGCCGCCGCCGCCGGCTGGCCCATCTCAGGGCCCATCTCACTCTTTGATATGAACATGGCAGATCTCAACCTGGTCAATGATCATCCAATTTTCCACCAAGAGTACCTCCATCGCATACCTAAGAACATCGTTCTTACGGGTCCACTGTACGCGCGAAACGACTCCAAGCTAGACGACGATATCGCGACTCATCTAACAAAGGGACCCGGCCCATCCATTCTGGTTACCATGGGCAGTTCTGGCACAGAGGAGTTCTTGTTCGAGGCAATCAAGGCTCTTAACATGAACCCTGATGATAACTGGAATGCAGTTGTCCTGGCTTCGAAATCAATCTGCGACATTAATAAGGCGAATGAAATCGCTAATGGAGATCCACGCCTATTGGTGACGGACCGTTTCATCCCAGCATCTGCTGCCAACGCACTTGCTGATCTCATCGTTACGCATGGAGGACAGGGAACCGTCCAATGCGCTTTGGCTGCCGGAAAGCCTCTCGTAGGAGTCGCGCTACAGGTCGAGCAGCAGACGAACCTGGACAATGCAATGAATGCCGGGGCTGGTATTCGCGTACAGAAGCACTTGTGGAAGGCGAAGAATATCCGCGCCACAGTACTTTCAGTCCTGAACAACCCATCTTACGGCAACAAAGCTAGGGCTCTGGCGGACAAGTTGAACTCGATGGACGGTGCGAAGACAGCTGCGGAAGTCATGTGGAAGTTCATCCTCGAAGAGCATTCGGAGAAGGTAAAGTCATAGGCTCTTGCGAGTCTGGAGATATGCTCTTGTGCCGTCCTTTTGTTTGTGAAGTTTCGGGGTACAGTAAATGTTCTAGAAGCGATGCGTTGACGTTACTATGTAATTATCGATTCCCTTGCTCATCGCTGCATATTTCAATTATTCAAATTTTTTGCAATGTAGTCAGCCCTTTTGTGACTGTAACATAAGAACATGTTGAAGTTGTATGCAGTGGAACAAGAAAATGTGACGTGAAGTTGTCTGGAAAGCGCAAACGATCACATACATATTTGACAACACGTGATTCGACGGCTTGGCGAGACTCGTACGTACCGTCTCCTCGATCTACTGATAAGTACGTTCGAAACGTTGTTCAGTACATTCTTTGTTAACAAACAATTTTCCAATGCTTCTGCTCTCAAGAATTGATTCTGACGCCATTGAAGGAATTGCACACGGCTGCTCACTGGCACATCCTCCAGCACCATTAGTATATATTGAAAGCACACGCAATCATACTCATCTTTCTGGAGACACGTCTCTTGCCAAGTTTCAGGCTAAGAAAACATCACCGGATTATCGGTGTGCCAAATACAAAAGCAAAGGTACTAGCGATTGAGTGAGAATATGACGCATGATTCTGAGGTACTTCATGTACACCTACGTATGAGTACTTACATCCTAGTAAATGCATGGCAACATGGACTCAGGATAGATGAAGCCGGCCACACAATGCACGCGATATGTTTCCTTATCGAGATACCCCCATACTCTCCTGATTGTTTAACCAATCCATCCTTCAATCGTAGAGTATCTAGTTGTTCCACCAGCCTATAAAACAAGCGTTGGTGCGTACACTTAGTGTCATGTGTTGGCGGGGCAAGTCATGCACAACATGTAATTCCTCGACAGACGCCCATGACCCCACCACCTCACAAGACCCATTTGCGGCACGAGCCGCATGATATGTATATGTCTCATGCGCCTGTTCCATGATCCAAAAAGCATCTTGCCACTTTGTGATCCTTTCTACTCTCTGTTTCCATACAATACTATCCAACCCCAGGACAGCGTCTCAGCCCAACGCACCCCCACTCCAGCAGCCAATCACGATCCGCTACGTCGGTCGTCTCCATCTTTCCCATCCGGCGGGGCATCAGAACCCGTGAGGGAGTGCCTGTAGCAGCCCAGCTTAGCGCTGCGCGGGTGCCCAAAAACAACGCGTCCTCTTAAATATTACAATCCCCGGGATTTTTGCGTCACTTCTCTCCGCCGTGGTTACCCTTGGAAGTTTCGTGTGAGAGAGATCTGGCTACTTTCTATAAACCATGTCGGAACTAGTTGTTGCTGGCCCCGCGCCCCCGCCGCCCATGACGTTTCGCGAGCGGTTGACCCAGTTTAGGATTCTCGAGGAGAAGCGATGTGAGCTTATTGAGGTATGTATACCTCCCCAGTGTCTTTGGTCATAGCGCTTCCAGTCGTGTGCGCCATGGGGTTGTCGCTGGATACTCACCGTCTGAGCAGGAACTGCTGGACAAGCTGGAAAAGACAGAAGAACGCCTTGCGCAAACCGAACTTGATCTCGGTTCTGAACAGAATGTTAGACGAACACTGCAAGCGGAGATTGCCGAGACGACGAGAACGATGCAGGCGCAGATAGACGAGTCAAAGGCGAAAGAGGAAGCTTTAGTACAGCAACAGGCGAAGCGACCGTTCGTGATCGTCCTTATAGATGCCGATGCGGAAGGCTTTCTGGTACATAGTCCCTTAGTATCCCCCCAAAAAACATATGGTGGCAGGTTTGTAACGTGACAATATTTTGTAGTTCCAAGACAAGTACATCACTCGCAAAGCCCAAGGCGGCGAATCTCTCGCCGACGAACTCAACCTCCGGATCCGAGAATACCTACGAGAACTCTTTGAAGATGCAGACTCGCTCGACATCATTGTACGGGTATACGCCAACCTCGAGGGCATGGCAAACTACCTCGTACGGCTCGAAAAGGTGCGCAACTTGGGTCAGCTTCGTGCGTTCTCCACCGGCTTCTGTGGAAGGATAACGAGCTTCGACTGGATCGACACCGGGGTCGGTAAAGAAGGCGGAGCAGGAAGAAAAGTCAGAGGTACGTGTAGCATTCTCAAGACCATACAAGTAAGCCAGCCACTGACCTGATTCCAGAAAACCTCTCCTTCTTCGCCCTAAACACCCATCTCCGCCACGCAATCGTCGCCTGCTCCCCCGCCGACCTACCCGCCTCCCTCCTAACCACCATCCCCCTAGAAAAACTCACACTGATCGAATCTCTCCCCCTCCCCCAATCCCTCACTTCCCTGCCCATCAAAACCGCAAAATTCCACTCTCTGTTCCCGGCCCCCGCGCCCCCGAAAGCCGTAAAGCCAGTCGTGGAGCGCAGCCGCAGCGACCGTGGGAACAGTGAAGCAGACATCAGACGCGGCGACCGCGATCGGGACCGCGACCGCGAGATCCGGCGACGAGACGACAGAGGCGGTGGTGGCCCGCAACTCCAACTCATGGAGCAGGAGCACGACGGCGGAGGCTCAACGTGGCTCGTTATTCAGCCTGAGCGAAGCAAGAGCCAGGTTATTGACAGGAGAGGAGATAGAAGGCGGGCGCCGAGTGAGGACGATAGTAGCAGTTTGAGTATTAGCATTGGGCCGGACAATACTGTTAGTGTTGATAGTGGGAGGAGAAGGAGGATCATGGGGTAAGGCTATAGTTTCGGGGGGATGGAATCGTATATGTTGGTAGCATGGCGTGGCTTAGCATAGCATTTAGCGTTATTTTCTCACCATGGTTTTGGTATGATGTCCCTTGATATGTTTCGTCTTCATGTTTGAAGCTGGATGCGGATACTCGGAACCTCAGTGTCTGTTTGCAGCCTTGTACGACCCTCTTTCTTGATATGGGACGAAATGTAGTATCGAAGACCAATCAAGCTACTTGCTCCAAAAATGCAATAAGCAATAGATCCACTTTTATAGTCAAATTTGACCTCATTCTTATCCTACATGCCATACCCATATCAACTTATACCTTACATAATCGTTGCAAACAAAAGAAAAGAAAAAGAACAGCAGAATACAGCTTCATTTGAATCTAGGGTATAAGATGAGAGAAGCAGAGACCAAAACACAAGCAAAGAAAAAGACCAGAGAAGAAACCTGCCACATATCATGCCCTCCGTATTCTTACTGTAAGAAAGAGAGGGAAACAAACGCCGGCCCCAGCCCCGGCCCCAAGTCCAATGCAATGAAAAACCCCCGGATATCATGACATGCACCCCAACAACGCCCCGTGCCCACCTTGATATGGGCAATGGGGAAAATCGCGTCGTCAATGGCGCGAAACATGATACAAAGAAAGAAAATAGAAAAGAGGAATAAGAAGAAAAAACAAAGCACATCAAGTCTTTGGCTCCGACTTAGGCTGAGTCTTAGACTTTTCCTCATGCTCTTCTACAATCGGACTCGCGGGAACTTCATCCTCATCACTTGCCTCCCTCGCCTCCCTCGCCTCCCTCCACTCGGAGCTCTTGCGGCTTATTCTACCGGGCCCAACAGGGTCGCGGGGGCTAGCAAGGGGACTCGTGGGCGTGGCGCGCATGCTGCTGATACTATCAGTGCGGCCGTGGCCGAGGAGTCCGCTGCGAACGCTCAGGCCGTCGGCCTGCTTGTTTGCATAGTAGCTGTTGCGGTCGGTGGAGAGGGCGGGTGCGGTAACTCCAGAGGCCGAGTATACACTTGCGCGCTCTGCATTGACGAACGCACCGACGTTGTTGGGGCGGTTCGAGGGCGAGTAGATGGTTTCGGGGTTGGCGGATAGGACGCTTAGTGGGAGCGACTCGCGACTGCCACCATAATGTGACGAGGGTGCTAATGCACGCATTGATGCATTGGTGTCTACGGAGTTGCGACGGCGGCGCTTCGACGAGGAGGCCAAGGTCAGGATCGAGGCGTTGTCGGACAGAATGTTATTGGCGGTGGCGCCTTGGTAGGAATTGGGCTGCTGCTGGGCCGCCATGTGTGGGGGTATGGCCGAGGGCGGAGGAGAGGTGGGGAACTGGTGGGAGAAGTGAACGGGCGTGGTGAGGGAGTTGTTTGCGTTGTTCTGCTGCTGGGCATGGCCAATATTGAGGACGTTGGAGGGCGCGGTGGATTGGATAGTAGTCAGGGTGGTGGTGAGGGAGTGCTCTGAGCCGTGGGGTGAGGAAAATGTGCTGCCCCCGTTAACAAAGTTACTGCCACCAGTCTCAGCCTTTGAGCGTGTCGAGTTGAGTGTCTCGGGGAGCGTTGCAACGGTGGGTGCGGTGGACTTGTTGCTCTTCTCCACGCGCGGTGGCCGCTCTGCCACTGTCTCCTCGACCGACGTACAGCTGGCATTAGAGCGCGGGGTGGCAGAGGTGGAGATGGAGAGGCTGTCGTCGGGCGCATTGGTGCCAGTGGCGATGTAGCCGGACTGGGGGTAGGGGTTGTTCTTGGCCAGGGCTTTTTTGGTGGTGGTGCTCTTCTTGCCAGGGGTGTCGGACGACGAGGGCTTGAGGTTGGCGAGGCGCTTCATCCAGCCGGCAAAGGGGCGCTTGCGCGTAGTATGGCGATCTTTGGTCTTGGTCAGCATATCTAGCATAGTCGGTAGGCAGAGAAACAGGGCAAGCAGAGCAAAAAAGAGTAATGCAGGGCAGGAGGCGGTGGTTTTATGAGGCAGCCGGGGGCAATGGCTGTGCCGGGCTAGGCGACCGTACCATGGGGTCTCGACGCTGTTTCGGCCGTCGCCATGCTGTCCACGGCCGAATATAGTAGAGCGCGGGTGGTGAGGAAGTGAAGTCGTTGGTTGGGCTGGCCCTGCGCGGGACGCGACGTTCCGTGTCGGTAGTCGAGGTGGAAGCACGTGGAAAGAGAGCGGCAGTGTGCGTTCTTGTTTGCGTGTAGTATACTATATGCAGTATATGCTGGCTTTGAGCGTATCTGCTGCGCTGACGGGGCTGGGCAACGTGTCTGATATCTCGTGATTGGGTCTGCGTTTGTCTCGGTCGGGGGCGGAAGGACAAAGGCATTGGAATGGAATAGGCACTCGATATCTCCGGCTGACTGGACCCTTTCCCCAGCGCAAGTGCCGCCCGCCGCACTGAGCAGCCCTGCCGTCCTTCACGCCTCTTCGATTGCGTATCGCATGTAGATCGTCATGACAAAACCCCGCCCAACCTCCCTTGCCCCCTACACTGTCCACAAAGCGGCCCCGGACATGAGCCGCCACGGGTCAACAGCCAACAAGGCCGTCGACCACCAGGTCTGCCTTACGTCATGATCCCCATCATCACCACCGCGCCCTCCAAACATGCCATGCCGGATGCCTCAAGCCAAACCATATTTCCCCTGCCCGACGATGTAGTCGCTCAGATCAAGTCCTCCGCCGCCATCGTGTCGCTGGCGGGCGTTGTGCTAGAACTTGTCAAGAATTCGTTGGATGCAAAGGCCACTAGGGTTGAAGCTACTGTTGACTTTGTTCGTGGGGGTTGTATCGTCGAGGACGATGGACTCGGCATCTCGCCCCTTGAATTCTCGGACAAAGGACGGCTAGGAAAACTATATTGTACGTCCTGGTGCTGGTCGCTATGTTGCTAGATATTGACCATTCCAGGTACATCCAAATACCATGCAAAGGAGCCTTTACTCGGCCGAAATGGCACCTTTCTCGCCTCACTCGCTGCCATGTCCCTCTTGACCATTACCTCGCATCATCATGGGTATCGGTCGCAGAATGCGGTCACTTTCCACCACGCTAAGGTTGTCGAGCGGCAGTTGCCGGCGTCGGCCCATCACGAGGTGCATGGCAGGCATGGTACCCGTGTCACAGTGCGAAACCTATTCGGAAATATGCCAGTACGGGTGAAACAGCGGGCGGTGGTCGCGGCCCAGAAAGAAGAATATGAGAAGATGTGTGAAGGGCTGAAACATGACATCGCAGGCCTTCTCCTTGGTTGGCAAGGCATTGTATCCGTGCGTGTTCGAGACGGCGACAACAAACCCATTCTCAACCTCAACATGTCTGCTAGAACAGACCAAAACATAGGAAAGGTCCGTTCGGCAGAGCTGACTTCCCTCCTTAACATCCTAACTCAAGCCAACTACATCGGCATTGACCAGTGGTCGTCTTGGGTGCCAGCGTCGGCTTCGACCTCTACCGTCTCTGTCAAGGGTGCCATATCCCTTGACCCAGCCCCCAGCAAACATGTACAATTCCTTTCTCTCGGCATACGGTCACTTTCCTCTGGTTCTGGACACAATGAGTTATTCGACCATGTGAATCGTCTTTTTGCACTTTCCAGTTTTGGTACCGTAGAAGAAGAAGCAGTTGTCGATGCATATGAGAAGACGCGGCGGCAGTCAGATAGACGCTTCAAGAAAGAGGGCTACACCAACCGACAGCTCAAGATGCGCAAGAATTTCGATCAATATCCTATGTTCCACCTCCGAATTTCGTTAGCAGAAGCTGATGGGATAGCCATGTCTGAAGATCAGGTCATAGGAGATGAGGCGAACTTGCAGAGTATAATGGATGTTTTAGAAGCAATGATAACACAATGGCTAGTCGTTCACCATTTCCGACCGCGCCAGTCTCGCAAGGGACGGGATGCGCCTGATACAGCTTCGAGTCTGTCGAGCGAGACTGCTGCGAGCGATTCATCGGCACTTCCAAGACCTGTTTCTACAGAGCAGTTATCGGTGCCCAAGAACGAGTCTGCATGCACAGGGACTCGAAAGAGAAAGCACTCGAAAGATTTGAACTCAAATGAGAACTCTAAAAAACACCATCAAGCTTTTGCAACATGGTCGCGCATCAAAAGCGCAAAATCCGAATTCTTCAATAGCCTGCCCACCAGGCCGAAGCTAGGAATCCAGAGTGGCGTTGAACAAAATTCGCGTGTCACCGTTCAGAGTCCTGATGAAAATAACCATTTTGCCTCACTCGTCATGAAACCTATTGCCCAAGGTGCATTGAGCGTACCCACGGCACGAACCGTCCTTCCTTCTATGGGCAAAACTTCAAATACTGAAGAGAAGGAGAACGACGATAGTATACCTTGGACGGATCCCTCAACTGGAAAAACTCATCTTTTGAATTCCAGAACAGGTTGCGTCATGCCAAACGTTCAAACGCAACCGAGTACAGACCCCTCTCCAAATACGTTCAGGTTTGATCAAAGGCCGATAAACAAGTCAGTTCGTCTACCGAGTCGAGCCTCGACAGCTACAGCAAAACCCACGCCCTGGTTAGACAATATGCTCCAAAACTGGGAAAACCCCATCTTCAAGCCGAGCGAACAGCGTATCCAACAAATCACAAACGACCAAGACAAACTCAGTCATCACCACAACCAGCTCACGCACAGCTGCTCCCATCTCACTGACACATCCTTTGACACAAACACCACCAGCATCTCCAGCAAGCTCTCCAAAACAGGCCTCCAAAACGCCCAAGTAATCTCCCAAGTCGACAAGAAATTCATCCTCGTCAAAATGCAACCCGCATCCCAAACCAGCGACACCCTCGTCCTCATCGACCAACACGCCGCCGACGAACGCATCCAAGTCGAATCCCTCTTCCAGCAACTCTGCACGCCCTCCCCTCAACCTTGCTCCTCGCAACTCGGCCACAAACCCGGTATTGTATCCCTCACCCTCGAGAAACCACTCAGTTTCGCCGTGTCACAGCAAGAACAACTTCTTTTCATAACGTATGCTGCGCGTTTCGCTGCTTGGGGTGTTTTGTACGATACACCACCGACGCCCTCGTTGAGTCAAGCATCTCTTGAGGCGCGGAAAAGGAAGGGTAAATATGAAGCACTACTATTGGTTACTGCGCTTCCACCTGTGATTGCTCAACGATGTGTGGCGGATCCCAAGGTTTTGATTTCGATGCTTAGATCTATGGTTTGGGGGTATGCTGAGGGACGTATTACCTCTCTCCCTGTTTCTACTACTCCTTCTATCCCAGAAGAAGAGGATTCGACGAAAGAGAACAAGGCTTGGGTTCGTGCCTTATTGACTTGTCCGGCTGCCCTTGTCAATCTCATCAACTCCCGTGCATGCCGTTCTGCAATCATGTTCAACGATGAGCTGAGTCTTGCAGAGTGTAGGGAGTTGGTTGGGAAGTTGGCAGAGTGTGTGTTTCCCTTTATGTGTGCGCATGGTAGGCCGAGTATGGTGCCGCTTGTGAGTCTGGGTGAGCGAGATGGGGAGAGAGTAGCATGTGCATTGGGGGATCACGGTGGGAGTGGTAAGAGCTTCTTACAGGCTTGGAAGGACTGGAAGAGTTCAAGTTAATTTGCACCCTATGTGTTGTATATATACGTTTAATACTTCTAGTACTCCTAGATTTTTATATAATCATCTCTATCACGTTATATATTATTCTTATCCTATTAATTAAACACTCTAATAATAGACTAGCGTAAACGCTAAACATTAGGTTCCTTCTGTTACAAGTAACAGAGGGAAGGATCTCTTCCCTAATAACGAAGTTGGAAGGTTGAGAAACCACTTGGGATCCTACCTGGCAAGGGATGATTATCGCGAAGCGAAGATCACGTGATATGCCTTGCGCTAAGACTAGACATCCCACGCGAGTATGTAAGGATAGTCATACACATAACTAGATGTTCTCAGTGGATATAATTTCTACTTGATACAGCACTTGAAGGTTAATGCTTGGCGTACTTGGTCGAACGGTTTGCGATGTAGATTCGAGGTTCTAAGTAATAAGAGTAAGGGCGAAACTCGAGGTCAAAACGGGTGTCGTATAGTGTGCATGTAATAGTAGATTCGTTGCCGACTCGCGCCGAAATTGCTGGATCATAGCTTTCATTGCATGAGACGCCACGGCGACCCGTCATCACACATTCGTCTACAAATTCGGTTATGTTGAGCAGCGGGCGCCTGTCACTGGTGTCCTGCCTTGTGTAAGCCAGATACATAACTTTGCCGCCTGCGGTTCCTATAAAGTCCTCTATAGTTGCGTTCCGAATGGCATTCATGTCTCCCAATCTTTGTCCTGTCGCAGGCTAGCATTTCAATGATAGCCCCAGGAACTCATGACGGTACGTTGTGTTTGTAGCGATGGCTTGCAGGGGACGAATTTGCATGTTGGATGCCGTGGCAAATGTGAGACGTGTCAATAAGGGAGAGGAGCCGTCACCAAGTCCAGAGAAGGTATAAAGTGACGAGTCATTGAAATTGAGTGTCGGTACATGCATCATGGTCATGTTCTCTCGCATAGAGGGGACAACGGTCAGTGTTTATGGTGTAATCAAAGCTGCAAGCGGAAGAAACCTTAAACAGTAAGTGATGCATAACCACTCTGACAGTGAGCATAGGTACCAGATTATAAATGCCATTGAGGATGAAATTTTTTGCCTTTAGTAGCAGGCTTGGATTCAAAAAGGCTAGAATGTCGTATGTGGCCACAAACATGGTGTCGATGGTAGCAATAGGATTGACTCGCGCCTGCAGGTTGATCCACATGTGCTATTTGTATGCTACAACGACTGCGCTTGTAAGCAGAGTTTTTGAAGGGAAGGAAAAAGCTGTGTCATATCGAATAATCCAAATCTGAGTAAGGTATTGTGATCCTCCATCTGGGTTTTGTACCGCCGAACCGTCAAGGTAGGAGTAGAAAAGATGGTGTCTGACTGAGACGAGGATACCAAAAGCAAACAGGACTAGCATAGACAACGGAGTGCGAAGGGAAATGTGCCATTGCACCGGGCTTTCCTCAGTATCTGGCGGGCTGCGTGTGGACTCTGTATTCTTGGAAGCATGGCTAACTGATAAGGGTACGATGCCCGCAAGGCTGAATCGACGTATCATCTGCTGCCGCTACATCAAGAACTTTTCCGTGCGATTATCCAAAAAATACTTGATATTGCTAAGCCACCTGCAGCCACTGTTTTGTGTGATGAGGTTCGGTAAGGCCGGCTGCGAGACGGAGAATTGGGAACCATTGACCACCCAATGGGCAGCAAGAGAAACATATCATATCGCTAACATCTGCCATATTAGGAAACCACCATAACGCTAGCATGCGACCAGCTGAGGGCCTGTTCGTTTCCGTCTTGTTCTTCATCTAGCTATAGGCTATCGGGACTCTATTTAAAAGATAGATATACAAATAACTAGCTTTATATTAAGTAAAATAGACATCTAGACGCTACTAGCTAGAAGCCTATAGATTCCTCGTATAAAACACTTGTATAAGACTAGCACTCTAACTTCTCGCTATATGTCACGATACTCTGAACTAAAGGCCAACCCTCGGGGATCCTTTAGAGACCCCTCGGGCCAGCGAAGCCATAGTCACGTGCATAGTATATAGTCCCATCTAAACCTTAAGTAACTTCTTAAGGATTCGTCTTAACTCACTGTGACTGACATATTTTGTGTCTAGAACACTTTACACTATATCACGACATTTCAGACACAGAAGTAGAGTGATATTACATTGTTCATTGATGGTATTATATTACATCATAGGGAAAAGGCTAATTTTCCGCCTCTTTCCGCTAAGAAAACTCATGTCATCTGCGTCCAGTCTGCTCAATCAAGCTACAGACGTAGCAGAATCCCTAAACACCTTGTGCCCTTTTTACGGGTAAAGTTATGAGGCGCTTAGTCGAAGGGGTTGGTGCGGGTACCCCAGTAGGTGAGGAACATGCTGAGGCCAACAGTCTCGAGGACGCGGGCAACGGCACCAATGGCAATCGTGTCCATGGGGCGCTTCTCAGTGACGACTTGGGAGACAATCTGCATGCACGTTAGCCCGTGTATCCTTGCAGCTACCGTATCACATGATGGCTTACCGATGGGGCAGCAGAAGCAAAGAAGATCAAAGAACCAAGGTAGGCAGCTCCCTTGTAGGTCAGGGTACCGGTAGCGTTGATGAGAGCGCCAACACCGTAGGCCTGGATACCGGAGCCGAGGATGGAGCTTCCCCATGAAGCGGCGGCGGTGGCGGCCTCCTTGGAGTGGAAGTACTCCTCCTTAGAGTTTGCTTGCTGGGCGCGGCGGTAGGCATCACCGAAGATGGGGCCGAGGACTGCCAGAGAGACGGCGTGGTTGAAGGCGGTGCCGAGGGCAATGGCCGAAGGCTTGACAGGAGGGAGGTCTGTGAAGGAGAAGGAGTCAGTGAGGGGTTCTTGTTGCAATTCAACCTGACATGACACCATCGGTATACCTAATGTCATGTGTATGGCTCAATGCATATTGGGAGTCGCAAGAGCAACACTTACAGTGAAGGGAGGCCATTGTGTTGATGGAGGGAGTTTGAAGATGAGGGTGTTTGTGTATGGGAATTGGAGTGAAGTGTCGATGAAGGGCATTCGTACATGGAGTGCAAGCTTCTTTTTGTACTCACGATGTTTGCAGCTGACATGCCAATGACGTATCTGCCAAGGCCCCACTCATTGCGAGCAATTGGTCCCAGAACCTGCCCACAGCCCGCGCGTGGTCGCCAATTGACGCAAGGCGCATCCACTTTGCGCGGGTCTGGACTGGAGCGCCACTGATTAGTCGAGGAAATGGACTTGCTTAGCATGCTCGAGGGAAAAGCGCGGAAAAGTGACGGCTGGGCGTGGAGCGTGCGGTGCATTGTGCATTGTGCATTGTTGCTTGCAGTTGCTGCGGTTTGTTGTTGATGCGGACGCGGGCGATCAGGTACGTCACAGCTCGATAGGCGGGGAACCGGCCGACAGCACCACGCAGCCAACATGAACAGGGGAGCTCGGGCCCACACGTACCCCGTCTTTTACCTCTTCTGCCCGCTGCCCGCTGCCCGCCTGCGCTTCCACCCACGAGTAGATTGCGGCTATATGCTTTGGAACAGGCATAGCGCTCTCCTCCCCCCTCGCCCCCGTGTCCCAAACATACACCTTGCCTTTGGCGGCATCTGGCCACAACACAATGGAATCCCGCGCCAGTCCACGTCGTTGGCGACTCTCGTTCCTTGCTTTGTCCCATACATACCACACCTACTAGTCCTGCATATCCTCGCGCCCCTCACTCTGCGCTACTACCATCCAGCGGCCATGTTGATAACAAACAGGGCATTTGGTCTCGTCCTGCTGCTGCTGCTCGGCACTAGTCTCCTGCTATTCTCGCGCACCGTGGGACACTCGCTAGCAGAGTCTTTCTTTGGGCCTCATGCACCCGTTATACCATACACCACGCATCTCGTCCTGTTCCAGTTCAAGCAGGGCGCCAGTGCGTTTGCCATCAAGGAGGTGATGACAGCGACTCTGCATGTGTCAAGGCATTACTAAGTCTGGTTGCTGATAGATCACTTCCCGCTTCTTTGCACTGACCAAGGAGTGTGTGCATCCAAGTTCGAGGAGGCCGTACATCGTGTCAGTCGCAGGCGGCAGGGACATCTCGACGGAAAACCTCCAGGTACCTCGGCCCGCCCCCTCAACAAAAGGCCTATCACTTGGAGACTTACTTTGTTAGAATGGCATCAGTCACGCTTTCGTTTTGCAGTTCCACTCAATTGAAGATCGGGACTACTACGTGAATGAAGATCCAGCCCACAAGGCTTTCAAAGAGGCTGCCAGTGCAGTCGTGGAAAAGGCGACAGTTGTGGACTTTCAAAACGGCGTATTCACTGATGCGTTACGAGTCTAGGAGCAGTTTCACTCCGTATATCCAACCAAACTCATGGGCCTACTCAGCTGCTCTGTCAAATGTGACCTTCATATCGAGGTAATATTGCACATTCATAAGTTATACATAGGCTGCTGAACCCTCATGACAACTCCTTCTTGGTCTCTGGGGCCACTGCCTGCTCTTCCACCACAACATCTTCTATCAGCTCCTGCTTTGCTTGCTCTTTCTTAGCACCCCGTCGCTTCATCGGGTTTGCTGGCTTGTAGTAGTCGACATCCTCAAAGTAATGCATATCTCGCTTCATCTTGTCCTCGGGATATACCTTTCGCGGTGGGGGTAATATCCTGTCGTCTATGCCCTCCTTTTGCTCTACCCGCAACCTTTGAACCATCTCACGTAGGCTCTCGACACCTCCTTCACGGAATTGTGTGACCTTTTTGACGTGTGTCGTAAGTCCTGGGCTCAGACCCAGCTTTGCGGGCCTCCGTGCTAGTGTCTTTGCTGTTAGAGCAAAGCGCATATCTTTTGGTCCATCAACGAGTTCCAGGATAGCGGATTCGGCCTGATCTTCCTTGAGGGGCTCAATTCGAAGAACACGCGTGTATCCACCAGGTCTGTTTGCATATCGTTCTCTTATGGGGCCAAATAACTTGGGTACCATCTCGTTCGGTTCCTGACGCCTGTCAGTATGCCATTGCTATTGCCGCTCCCGGCCATCCATACATAGAAGATCTGCGTCGCTCTCCGCCTCGTAGCCTCTGTATTTTTCTTTCCAAGTGTGATGAGTTTCTCGGCTAACCGCTGGGCTTCCTTTGCTTTGTGCCATGTTGTCGCAATGGTTTCGTGCTTGAAGAGCGATGTGACGAGGTTTCGCAGGAGCGCCTGACGATGCGCCGACGACCGGCTGAGATGGCGATATTTCATATGACCGCCCGCCATGACGAGCAATTGGGTCGACTAGGTCGTGGGGGGAGGATGTGCAGGGCGTGGATGCCGTCGCAGTATGCAATACCTCCAACCCACGAAAAGTTCGGGCGGCCAGCCGGCGTTTACCCGACCCCACCCCTGCGTCTACTATCGCCGGATTATGCAAGTACTTAACACTAACTAATCCGTGACCTAAGCAACGCGACGCGTTTCTTTCAGACCCTCGCAGCGCGTTATAAGTCCCTGCACCCACTCACCCCTCCTGGTCTGCACGCTCTTCTTCATACTCAACCCTCCTTTCATATACACAAGTACCAGATACCCTTTAGTCGTAGGACTTTTCTAATTCAACATGTTCGTCTTCAAGCGTGGTATGTACCAACTTACCTTCACCGCCTCCGATTCTCCTAGCTGCAAACTTTCTCACCATGCTAACAATTGCATCCAGACGGACGTAAGGAACGTGTGCAGTTCGACAAGATCACAGCCCGTGTGTCGAGGCTATGTTATGGCCTTGATCCCGACCATGTCGACCCCGCCGCCATCACAATGAAGGTCATCTCTGGTGTCTACCAGGGTGTCAACACGACCCAACTGGATGACTTGGTAGGCCTGTGAACGTGCCTCATGCCCCTCATCATCCCTGACACACAATAGGCCGCCGAGACAGCAGCCTACATGACCACCACACATCCCGATTACGCCATCCTTGCAGCCCGTATCGCCGTATCAAATCTCCACAAGCAGACAAAGAAGCAATTCTCTGCAGTCGTGGCAGATCTCTACAACTACGTCAACCCAAAGAATGGCAAGCACCAGCCTATGATCTCAGATTTTGTGTACAAGATTATCCAGGATCACGCAGAGGAACTCAACTCGGCTATAGTATACGACCGAGACTTCAACTACCAATTCTTTGGCTTCAAGACGCTTGAGCGTTCATACCTCCTCCGCATAGATGGCAAGGTTGCTGAGCGTCCACAGCACATGCTCATGCGTGTCGCTGTTGGTATTCACGGCGAGGACATTGAGAAGGCCATTGAGACCTATGACTACATGTCACAAAAGTACTTCACACACGCCTCACCGACGCTGTTCAATGCAGGCACTCCCTCACCTCAGATGTCTTCTTGCTTCCTGATCGATATGAAGGAGGACAGCATCGACGGTATCTACGACACACTCAAGACTTGTGCCTTGATCTCCAAGACTGCTGGCGGTATTGGTCTCAACGTCCACCGAATTCGTGCTACTGGCTCATACATTGGTGGCACCAACGGAACATCAAACGGTCTCATTCCTATGCTCCGTGTGTACAACAACACTGCTCGCTACGTCGACCAGGGTGGCAACAAGCGTCCCGGTGCTTTTGCCATTTACCTTGAGCCGTGGCACGCTGATGTCTTTGGCTTCCTTGACCTCCGCAAGAACCACGGCAAGGAGGAGGTTCGCGCCCGTGATTTGTTCTACGCTCTGTGGATCCCCGATCTGTTCATGAAGCGTGTCCAGGAGAACGGCGAGTGGACTCTCATGTGCCCCAACGAGTGCCCCGGCCTCGCTGACGTTTACGGTGATGAGTTTGAGGCTCTGTATGAGAGCTACGAGAAGCAGAACAAGGGCCGTGAGACTGTTCGCGCCCAGAAGCTGTGGTATGCCATCCTCGAAGCCCAGACCGAAACTGGTAACCCCTTTATGCTCTACAAGGATGCTTGCAACCGTAAGAGCAACCAGAAGAACTTGGGCACTATCCGTAGCTCCAACCTGTGCACGGAGATTGTTGAGTACACTGCTCCCGATGAGGTCGCTGTCTGCAACCTGGCTTCTCTTGCCCTGCCTTCCTTTGTCGACTACAAGCGTGGCGAGTTTGATTTCCAGAAGCTTCATGAGGTTACCCAGGTTGTCACCCGCAACTTGAACAAGATCATTGAAGTCAACCACTACCCCGTCGAGGAGGCACGCCGCAGCAACTTCCGTCACCGACCTATTGGTATGGGTGTCCAAGGTCTGGCCGATGCTTTCCTCGCATTGCGCCTGCCCTTTGAGTCGGCAGAGGCCAAGAAGCTCAATATCCAGATATTCGAGACCATCTACCACGCTGCTCTCACTTCTTCCTGCGACATTGCTAAGGAGCTTGGCCCATATGAGACATACGAGGGATCTCCCGTCTCTCAGGGAATCCTCCAGTATGACATGTGGAATGTCACTCCTACCGACCTCTGGGACTGGGCAGAGTTGAAGGCCAAGATTGCTCAGCACGGCGTACGCAACTCTTTGCTCATCGCTCCCATGCCAACTGCCTCGACCTCCCAGATTCTCGGAAACAACGAGTGCTTCGAGCCTTACACTTCCAACATCTACTCTCGACGTGTGCTCGCGGGTGAGTTCCAGGTTGTCAACCCATGGCTGCTTAAGGACCTTGTCGACATGGGTCTGTGGTCTGAGAATATGAAGAACCGCATCATTGCCGAGGGTGGTTCCATTGCAAGGATCCCCAACATCCCCGAGGAGACCAAGACTCTTTACAAGACTGTTTGGGAAATCTCGCAGCGTACCATTATCCAGATGGCTGCAGACCGTGGTGCTTTCATTGATCAATCACAGTCGCTGAACATTCACATGAAGGAGCCAACCATGGGCAAGATCACTTCGATGCACTTTGCTGGATGGAAGCTTGGTCTCAAGACTGGCATGTACTACCTCCGTACCATGGCTGCCTCCGCTCCAATTCAATTCACTGTCGACCAGGAGGCTCTCAAGGTTGCAGACACCAACGTTGCCCGTGCTCTACCAAAGGTGCGAAAGCAACCGGGCTTCGTGCCGGAGGCAATCCGCAGCTCTGGTGTTTCATCGCCAGCAGCCCCACGACCAATGTACGCCACCAAGTCAGAGGAAAGTGCCAATGGTGAAAATGGTGTTGCCAAGGAAGATGTTGCCCCAGAGAGCAAGAATGCCCTCGCCAGCAAGCCTTTCAAGGCTGATGTAGATGAGGGCGATAGCCCGAAGATGGTTGCTGCTGACGCTGTTGGCAAGCAGGACGAGGAGCTTTCAAGCAAGGCCAAGCAAGAAGAAGACTCCAAGGACGATAGCGCAGCCCGTGATGGTGACATTTATGCCGATGCTGTCCTTGCCTGCTCAATAGAGAACCCTGAGTCCTGCGTCATGTGCAGTGGTTAAGGGTAGTTGTTTGGATACTGGTCATGGGCGGAGATGGATAAGCGTAGCACCCGGTTTGTGTTGCTCATATCATGTTTTGTTTATGAGGTTCGCTGTTTTTATGATTGGATATGCTAGGCATATGGCATGGAGGAATGAGTTTATGAGTTAGGTCCTGTTATGTTACCACTGCGCTTTAGTATATGCAGTAAACAGACGTTTTGTTATAAAGATGAATATGCTTATTTCGTCAATTTTCTTGAATGATATATGCTCCAGAGTCGTGAATGAACCACACATACAACCCCATTCCCGACATAGCATAGCTGCACTCATCATCCATCATCCACCACACCACACACCTATATCAAATGATTGGACAATATGTAGCTAGAAGATTCAACCCCAAAAATTTCTTTGGCAATCCACAATGGTGTTGTTGCAGTTACTGTTTGAGCTGCTTGCGTGATGGAGTCTGGGAGCTACAGTTGAACATGGCACATGACGATACTTTGGTGTACAAACATACACAGGAGTCAATGCATTTCGATAGTGGACCTACAATACAGCGTGTAAATTATTTCTCAACACATCCGCAAAACCTCTATGTCCTTACAAAAGTGTTAACTCCAGCTCTTCTAGCATGGCGACCATATGTCATCCATTGCCCCCCATCTACATCCCCACCCCCCTTTCTTATCCATCTCACTTCCATATCTACAAAGCCTTCCTAATCGCACTCTTAAACGGAATAATCTGCACCTCATCCCAATTCCATACCCCGCCCTGAACATAGACATCATTCTTCAGCCTCTCCACAACCTCCTCGCGCGTCGCGGCGCCAATCAAACACGCCGAGCCCTTCATCTTGGGCGGGTTCGTGTCGCCCGGCTGGATTGGTTCTTCAAGCATGGCACCTTACAAATTGTGCGTCAGCACAAAAGGGTAAAAGAAACAGAGGGGTGAAGGAAGGGGGGGGGGAACAACAAGGGAACATACCACCCCAAAGCCAAAAATCCTCCCTGTCTCCTTTCATTCCTTCCAGATGCTTGGGCCGTACCGCAAGGCGCTTGCTCAGCGCTTCCTTATGGTCGGGCACAATGACGAGCCATTCTTGTAGTGGCTGTTGCGATGTCGAACTCATGGTGCGTTGTTGTGCGAGGAAACTACTGGGTCCGTTGCGTAGGAGGTGGCAGGGTAGACTGCCGATAAGACGTCGCGGGGAGGATTGAAGCGTGCGACGGAGGAGGTGATGGTGCATGTATTGTTTTGGTGTCTTGTTCAGCGGGTTGGAATTGGATTGGAGACTTGGTCTTGTGCGCGATGTCGGAGGAGGAGGGGGGGTTTGGGGTTGGGGTTGGAAAGCAGGTGGGGCAGATGCGGGTGGATGCGGTTTATGGAGGAAGGTCAGGGTTTCGGAGGGACCTTGGGTTGCAAGATAGGGAGCCGATAAGGTGATTGCTAGTTGTTTATTATATGTCAGTCTTCTTTTCTCAGGTCATGTTTTGATCAGACTCGATTCGGCTGATAATGTATATCCAAGGGCGCGTTTGCGTGCTGTGTATGTACATATACATACATAGGGCGTGGTTGGTGGGGAACTCACGGTCTTTCGGAATGGAGCCGCATCTTCTCGGAACAACGCCACATCAGAGCGAAGACGTGGGGTAGAGTTGTCTAGGTACTGGGAATACGAACGTCACAGCTTTGCAAACATGCATGTCTTAGGTAGTGTATTCTACCAATAATCTACATGTATATGCGCGGCGTGTATATTTTTCAAGGTTCTTGATTTAGCAAACAAAGCATTCTTGGTAGGTACGGCTGCTGTGTGATATAGATGAGAACCGTGACAAGTCAATGGGCATTGTGTCATTAGAGAGATCTGATAAGACGAGAACACAAATATACCCATGATATATTCAAGTTTTTAGCTTTGAAACAAGAACTGTCCTTGACAATTCCTTCCTTGCGGATATAGAAACCAAACCCAGATCACGATAAGCTCTCTAAAACAAGCCAAGCCAATCCTTCCCGGTGTTCGATTCAACATAGTTTAATCAGACCTTAGCTGATCCTACAAAATGTTTGCTCAAAGGAGAGAATATGTCAAAAAAGTGTTTACTTGTGGTACATGTAAAGATAACGTGACGGATAAGCGAGTCGGTCAGGCAAGCGAGTCGGTCACCTCACTAACTTTGCGCACCTCTACAAGCGTATAGCTCTACCACATTATATTAGTTTTGATAGATATTAACGCAATAGATTAATTACTATCTAGAGTATCTTTCTTGCATGTACGTGAGTTATGGCCAGTCTCTCTGCACCTACTACAGCGCGCTAGAGCCTGGCGGCTGACACCTAATCACTCTCCTCCCTGACGCTCCTCACGAGTAATCTGCTCATCAGCCTCACGTTGAGCGAGTATATCCTCTCCAGCTCCCTTTGTAAGGACTCCACGCTTCTGTATCCGCTTCTTCTTACGCCGCCTACGCTCTAATACTACTATATTAGCTCTCTTAAGAGTAGCAATCCGATCGCGCATTAACTCAGCCGAGAGTATCATTACTTCTGCCCCCTTCTTAAGCTGGTTAATTGCCGCAATAATTAAAGCTAGCAACGAGTCTTGATGCCGCTAAACGCGATCACGTATTAATGTTAATTGAGCTTCAAGCTCGCGTGCGTTGCTAGGCGTACGAGCCTGCTAGAGAGCCTCTACTAGAATAGCTGGAGGAGTAGGCGTACGCAGCTGCACGTTAAGCTTTGATAGAACAGCGTCTAGCTAGAGAGGGACAAGGCCTGCGCCTTAAAAAGCTGAGCAGATATTGGCTGCCGTAAAGGATCAATCAAAGGCTACCTTAAACGCTGGCAGAAACTCTAGCTTAGTGATGTAGTTAATATGGTTGCGTATTAGGCTCTCCACCTCACGGCTGTACGCGCGCTTTAACGGTGAGAAACAGCCAACGTCAAGAGGCTGGAGTAGGTAAGAGGAGTGGGGCGGCATACAGAGCGTATATATATTGTTCTCCTTACAGAGCTCTTAGAACTTAAGAGACTGGTGGCTCTTATAGCCGTTAAGAATAAGCAGCTAGCGTGCCCTAACGACCTTGCTATCTGTATGCTTAATAAAGTGCTTTAGCCACTCAACTCCTAGCTCGTTAGTAGTCTAGCCGTTGTCACTGACTGCGATCGCCCAGTCGCGTGGGATCTCTGCCTCCTCGTACCAGGCAGATAGATGATACTTACCAGTAAAGATAAGGAATGGTGGGATAGACCAGCTAGCTGCATTGATCCCAGCGATAAACGTTACCCACTCTCGGCCACCTGGCTGGACAGCCTTTGGCCGGCCTCGTCTCTCTGAAGCTGTAACGACAAGCTGAGTAGTAATCCTGCCTATTGAAAATCCAGCTTCGTTAAAGTTGTAGACGTCCTCGTTACAAATACCGTACTTAGCCTTTATCTGCTCTATAAGCTTAAACTAGCTCTTAATTAAGACTAGATCTTCATATAGAGCTCTCTACCTATCGTACGCCCGATTAAAACGCGTTATAAGACTGTCTGTACGCTTAATAAAGTTAGCTAGCCACTTTTGCCCAACCTGGCTAGCGCCGCGCGCAGCTAGCAGCTTATCAGCTATATCGCGTATAGCAGCGTACGTAGGCGCAAATCCACATGAATCAAGATTAAGTATATAATCAACTATTACCTCCTCTTCTAGCTTAGTTAGCTTCTTTAAGTTGGGCTGGCAATCGCGTCGCGCGCGCTTCCTAGCGCGTCGGTCAATTAGTGTTGATTTTGGAATATTAAAGGCTATAGCAGCGCGTCGGGTACTCTGGATTTGGTTTCTATCTAAAGAAGAGAGAGCAAGCTGAATATCTGCCTCATGAGAGATTGACTGAGAAGCGTGGCTTGGAGGCATTGTACGCAAAGGTGTGGTGGGTGATCGAAGTTGGTGGGGTGACCGACTCGCTTGCCTGACCGACTCGCTTATCCGTCACGTTATCCTGAAATACATTGCCAAGGCCTATATACACTTCCATAAGCTCAACTATACTGTAAAACTAAAAAAAAACGCCTATAATGCAGTATGTTCTAGGAGCACAAAAAGTCTATTTTACGTCCCTGCAGCAACACATATACTGAGCATACCTGCTCCCTTGCAATTGACTCAACGAGACGCCTCTTTTCTCCTACCAGCATCACTTGAACCCGCCTCATCTTCGTCATCGCTATCGGCACCCAAGGAAAAAGATGAGTCGTTAGTAGGTCCGCGACCCTTCTCAGAGGCATAGCCATTACCTGACAGCTTCTTCTTCTTCGCACCGTTCAGATCGTCGAGCTCGTTCTCGTCAAAGTCCGCAGCCTCAACATCACGGCTCCGGTCTCGCCGTCGGAAGTTGTCGAGGCCCATGCCTGTAAGCAGGGATTCCCGGCCTTCGTCACCGCCATCAACACCTTTATATTCAGCGTTCTTGCGACGACTGCGCCAGAGGAAGAATGCGCAGAGACATGCGACAATGACAGTGACGACAAGGGCAGTCTCTCCCGAGCGCTTGTAGGCTTTCCACTCTGCTGCTTTGAGCTCCTTGCTCTTGTCTTCTTCGGCCTTTGTGGAGTTGGGATGATCACCGACACTTGTCAGGGGTCCCTTTTCGCCGTTGATGAGGCTGTTGGCAGGAGCACCGCCAATCTGTTCAATGTTGACGCCCATGAAGCGATCAAGCATGTCTCGAGTGCGTCGCGGGTAGTCGAATGGCACCATGTGGCTTGAGTTGTAGAAGACGACGTAGGTTAGGTTGCGCGCCTCCTGCCAGGTTCCGGCGGGTTCTCCTTCGAACATCCAATCTGACTTGGCGTTCTGAACGCCCGGGGAAGCCTCAAAGCCTTTTCCGCCGTTCCACTTGAGGTTCTGAATCATAGCCTCAGTGCCGACATGGTTGCAGATCAAATCCTTGTCACCCGAAAACAGCAGAACGGGAACCTGCTCAATAATCTCAGGCAGGAACTTGACAGAGGGATCACTCTTCCTAGCACGGAAGTGGCTAGAGACAGCACCGTTGCACTCCTGCCAGCCAGTCTTTTTGTCTGGGTTAATGTGAAGTGCTTGGATGACATCAGGTCGGCGGAGATAGGGGGTAACCAGGGAAAGGTCCGGAGGCCAGTTCATTCCACAGGATGAGTCATCGCGCAGGCGGATGTCATACATGTTGACGCACTGGTTCATCTCATCTGCTTTTGTGTTCTTGGTCTCTTCTAGAATCCTGACCATGATTTGCTCACACTCTGGTGTATCCACTCTGTTCATGCCGCCATCGCTGAGCTTTTCCGTGCAGACTTTCAGCTGGCTTTCGATGCGCTTGGCTGAATCTGTGCCGCTCTGCATGAGGCCATTCTGGTAGGCAAAGGGGATGTATGAGAGGTATTGGTCAACTGGCGAAATCCAGCCATTTCCAATCAAGAGACCCTTGAGTGGCCATGGGTTTTTGGCGGCGTTGATCTTATTTCGCTTGAGGATGGCGCGGGCAATGTAAGGAATGTGCTGTCCGGCATACGATTCGCCGGCAATATACAACTGTCACGCGTTAGTAAAAAAGCACTGTGTGACCATATTTCCTCTACTCACATCATCGTTCTCGTATTCGGGGAAAAGGGTGAAGAACTTGTCGAGAAAGGTAATCATGTGCTCGGCCATTTGGTCGAGTTCGGAGAGGTAGCTGTCCGTGTTCACGTAGCTGAAGCCAGTGCCTACGGGCTGGTCTACGAAGAGCAGGTTGGCGAACTCGTCCCAGGAGCCATTGTTGTACTCGAGCTGGCCTCCTTCGCGGACTCTGTAGGGGCCGACTTCCATCATAGCGCCGTCCATGGAGGAGCAGCCAGGGCCGCCGTTCAGCCATAATACCGTGCGTTGTTTGTCAGAGATGTGGCGGTTTTCGTAGTGCCAAAAGAAGAGGTGTCCGTTGTTTTGCGGGTCTACCTCAATGTGCCTGTAGGATGGTTAGACTGGCCACGGTTCTCGCCATCGCCGGCGTGCTTACCCTGCGTGCATCTTCAACAACGGCTCTGGCGCACCAGGGAGTTTGCGCACAAAGTAGTCGGCCTGTGTCTTTTCTGCTGCCATTATGCTGGGCAACCATGATACGGTGGCAATGAGGCCGCCGAGCAAGGCTGTTCGCCATCGCGACGGTGGATGTGAGGAGGCCATACTGGGGCCGCGTATGCGTGTCGGGATGGAAGGCCGCGGAGGTTGCGGTGCGCGCTGCGACTACCTCATGGGCCGACGGGGGGGATATGGGTTGGGAGTGGGGAAGCGTGGGCAGTGTGTGGATGGAATGTGCAAACAGGTATTGTACAGTCGGGTGTGGTTGTCGGGGCTGTAGCACAGTCCGGATATGAAGAATGTAGGATAGGTGGCTACTGGGCGGCTGACGGGGTCCCTGGAAATCGGGGTCCAATACCAAGGGCGGCAGTCCAGGCCTCGACGGCGGTAATATTCAGATACGCGAGACAGTCTACGCAAGAGCAAAAGCAAAGCAAAGCAAGAAAAGAAAGGATTTCTTTGACCGCTGGTTTGGCTTGAGCGACAAAGAAAAAAAATAAGTGGTCAAGAATACAGCACGGTACGAGTAGGGATATCGAGCACTTCTTTGGCGCATCGGCCGTGGTTCCTTAGTGTAAGCCAGCCAATCACAACGCCTCCCTCTCCGGCTCCCTCCAACTCCGCGTCTCGAAAAGACACGCAGTGCGCGCTGCATCTGATACGCCTGGGCAGTTCCACTTGCTTCAACCACGTATCACCCTCTTCTTTTGACCTCAGGCTTGCACGATGCCTGTGTTCACGGACATTGGAACACGCGTCTCCGCGCTCGTGTTGCCTGTTACGGAAACATGCAGCTTCGATCCCGCATTCCAAGGGTTTCGCAACATGGAAGTTCACGGCAAAGGCTTCTTTTGCACTATCGAGGCGACTACTACTATTGCGATTGCCTTGACTGTCGACACCATCATCCAACTTCACTTACTAGTACTAGCTTGCCACGGACATGCAGAAAGGGTTCTGGAGCATTGTCGCTCTCTAATCGGCCCGTCTCCCCAGCGTCTGGCTGTGAGCTCTCGAGCCACCAACCAGTGCTACACCACGGAACCTATGAAGGACTCAGAGTACTGTTATTAATGCTAACAAACATTCCCTGAAGTGGTACGTGTCTATTGTCGTTGAACACTGCGTGCCACAGTGGCGCATGGATGTTTCCCATGCTGCCAGCCCCGGACCCGGCTGCGGCTTCGAGGCTGGGCCTGCGGCTTGGTCCCATTCTCTCTAAAAGAGATCGTTTAAACTTTTGGCCGAGTCTTTGACGATCAGATCACGCATGCCCTGATGATCTGGTCAGCGTCATCCATCCTGCCTCCGAAACGTTGCATGTGCGGCAATGCGTACCTGGGGCATAATAGGCTGTCCATCGTTGCCCTTGACATAACGAAACGGCATCTGTGTGCTCTCGTTCTTGTTGATCTTCAGATCTGGGTGGTCTATATATGGGATCTGGTCGACGGGTACTGCGTTTCATGAGCATCTCACATCCACAGAACTAGCATCTGTGACGAGCATGGATGACGTACCCTTGTCCTGGACGCAGATCCTAGTCACACGGACTGCAGTGTCGGTTGTCATCTGTACTGGACCCAGACGACGGCCTTGATATCCCTTCTTGCGCAGCTCCGAAGTGCGGTCTACATACAGGCTGTTAGCTGATGGAGAGTACACTACCCAGCGTTTGCAGCATCACACACCTCGAGGTGGATCGTCTCCTAGGCGGCGTCAGCTCATGGCTACTCGGACGAGCAGTGGTTGAAGGCATCACGTGTGCTTACCCAGGATACCGCCGAAGAGAAAAATGTCAAAAGTGTCACCGTCTTCTGGGCTCAGGTCCTTGGAAGCTGCTGGATCGAGCAAGCATACTTTGTCCTTTTTGTCGGCATATATCTCTTCGATTCCCCTAGTCTCGACTTGGAGCCCCTTGGCGCCCTGGAGGTTGGCGGGCAAGGTCAAAGAAGTCGGGACAGAAGAGAGCAGGAATTGAGCGCCCGAAGCGTGGGACTCTGCTGCAATGGCTGAGTATTCCAAGGACGACCATTCCTCGAGTTCTGGGTCGAGATGCTCTACTACAAAAGTCTTGCCAGTGCTTGCCATTCTGCCTGTGATTGGAGGGAGTTGGGGAAAAGACTGTGACCTGAGTATTACAGTGGTTTTCTGGCGTGGAATTTCACAGCATGTGCTAAGCGAAAAAAGGACCGCCACGGGCGGGGCAGATGTTGTCTGGCCCGACGCCTCAGCGACGATTGCTTTGGGTTCGGATCGGGGGGTGAGATTCGGAGCCCTGCACCAGCACTTGGCTAGCCGGATTGCATGGTGGAGGGAGGGTGACCATCAGGATTTGATAGATGGCGAGACTAGCAGAGCGGAGCAGCCTATCAGAGCAAAGTCAAGATGCACCATTACATGCGGGGGGAGCATGGTCGCGCGGTGCCAACCAGAAGCACACCATTGCCATGATACAATTGACAGGAAGAAGGACAACGAGGGCAAGGCGAATCGACAACGGCATCTCCATTCAGCCGTCCCAGGGGCCCAAGGAGCCAAGGCAGGTGGCGCGTGACGTTGTGCGGGTGCTCAGTGTGGTAGGGGCTAGGGCAATCCGTCGTGTGCCTCGCACCCGCACGCTGCAAGAGGGTTGGTGGGCTAGGGCAGCGTAATGAAGTAACCAAGCACGATGGGTTCGCGGCAACGGCTCCTTTTCCCTGAATTGCTTTGTGCCTACTGCATCAATTAACCCGTCGTATCCAGTCACGCCCCTTGGAAAATAGCTGGGCCCGGCCCACTGCATTGCCTACGCCTACATACATATCTGCTGCATCTACCCCTCCTCGGGTTGGCCTCTCCAACGTTAAGTTGAACCCACGCATCTACCACAACGCCCACCGCCCGCGTTTGTCCATAAATCGCGCCTGTTCTGCACTTTTTGTCTTGCTTTGTGACTTGCATTCCATCCGTCTCTTGTCACAGTGTCTACAACTCGTCGCCTCTTTGCTCGATTGACTACGCGCAGCGTCCCGCATTCGGCACCTCTGGCGACTAAGGCTTATCGCATAGTCGGCTGCTGGATAGAGGGGCATTCCCATCTCCACCACCACTTCCATTGTCCAGGCACTGCCGTTACAGCAGCCATAAATCTAGACCAGACGAGTCATAGCACGCTGACCGTTGTGCGTTGTCAGGCAGTGGGCAGCAGCAGCACACGAACGAGCCAAGTCCGAGCTTCGTCTCGACACCCAATCGTCAGGGTGTGCAATCACACCAGACTTCGCCCTGTCCCTGTCACATCGCCGTCGACAGTACTCGCCCAAATTGGCCAACCCAACCCAACCCAACAGGTCCCAACTGTGCTATAAAATAACTTGCGCCTGCCCGTCCCTTGCTGTGGCGCCATAAAGAGCTCATATCATCCTCTGTCTGCATCTCTCCCAAGCAGTTGCCCCTCCCGACAACATCATCATCGCCTGCAATTCACAGCACCATAACAACAACACAACTCTCAATACCGCCACCATGAACCCGCACCAGCAGAACAAGGTGGATGTTAGCGTACGTCATAGCAATCCTGATACACCGCTTCTCCGCAAACGGCCATGGCTAACACTGCAGGAATAGAAACTGTCAGAGCAGGAGGCCAAGCTCTTCCGCCTCTACGGCAAGCTGCCCAACAAGAAGGACCTCCTCCAGAACAAGCTCAAGGTGCGTTAATTTCCCGCTTAGACATGCCAGTCTCCAATTGTTTGTCTAACAACTGTCCACAGGAGCGCAAGTACTTTGACAGCGGCGACTATGCCCTCTCCAAGGCCGGAAAAGCTGGTGACGTCGGCGTCACACAAGTCGGTCGCGAACACCCCAATCCCGAGAAGATCCCGCACATCGCCCCCTCCACACCCATTGGACAAAATGGATCCGCCAACAGCAATGGCAACAGTGCTGCTGCCTCGCAGGGCGATTTAGCTAGCAGCCCCATCAAGGAACACACATTTTTGCACCGCGAGACGAGCCTGAACCGGGAAACCTCGGCTTCGGAGTTTGAGACCGATATTTCCCAGGACGCTCAGGGTGGCCCTGTCAAAGCATAATTGGGCCTTCGCAACGTCAGAACCGTGCGCGCTCCCATTCGTTTGGCGCAACTTTGGATGACGGTGCCCAAAATGTATCTTTACGCACCGTCAAATGACCTGGTCTATTCTCTTTTTTGTGGAATTAGACACGGAGTTCGGACAGCCTTCCATGTCAGCTGAGGCTATTGTTTTCGGAACCACAGCGCCCGACGGCCAACAGTTTCTACAAGTAACAAACTCTGGTGCATGGAAGCAACCTTTACTTCTTATGTAGCGGTACATTTGACCATTGGTGGATAAACAAGGGGGGAATCTTGGAGCTTGTTCCAGGTGGATTTTGAAGTTTTTCTAAGCTTCGTGATATGGCTTTTGGGTGTGTATGCCTATCAGAGTAGAAGATATCATGGCAATATGATTACAGACACGTCTCATTCATCTAGTGTGTATGGCCTTGGCTCTTGCACAAGTATCTTTTCATGATTACCTTTCTCTCAGTAGAGATATTTGCTGTCACTTACTGAAATGGTCGTTGCAATCAATTTGACGACTTTAGGAACCCGCCAGCTTCTTCAAAGAATGCCTCGTACTGTTGCTGCGACTTGAACTGTATTAGCGTTGACGCGACTGGATACGCCTTTCCGATCTTTTAGGAAGCGGCGGGCTCACTGCAACATACAAGTCTCATCCGCTAACTAAAAGACTGACCTTTCTCTCCTCACCACCACTACACTGCTGCCAATATAGCTCGACGTGTCACTCGTCGTGCTTGCCATGGTGACCATCACGCATACTAACTCACAAACAAAAGCTTCGCTATGTTGCCCTTCGTCTGGAATGATATAGCTCCGAGCTGGATTACGCGGATTGATTTCACCTACGCACTGCCTGGTCTCTAGGTGGAATCTACAATCTTCTGTATTTCACGCATGGCCCTCCTCGCTATATGCAGTGCTGAATGAAATTAACTAGGCCGTTCATGCTTTCTCTCGGACTCACTGGGACCATATGATTTGGGGTTCCTGGTACTGCTGATAGCAGCAGAGTAGAGTGAAGAGAGGCCTCTACCTGTCTCGTGACACATATCCATGGGCTGGACCTGTCGTGGCCATTCCTTAGGGTATTTTAAGATGCCAAAAGTTCACTCTGATACTTTCTCGCTTCAACCCACCTCCAACACAACTTCTTCTCAACTGCCAACACTGCACCAACACCAACAAAGCTGATAGTACCGACCCATTACAACATGGTCACCACCCGGGCTGCGAAGCGTAGACAACTAGCGGAAAATTATCGAACCGTCGCCGCCTCCACGCCCGATAAGCCCAAGAACACGTTCCTTAAGTTACCCCAGGAGATCCGCGATCAAATCTACACCTTCATCTTCGCGAATAATGCGATGGAGTTCCGTTGGAAATACGTGCTGCTCCTTTGTGACCCATCTCCTATGCACTCCGGGAGACCATCTTCCCTGCAAGGTACCAGAGGTTTTCCATCATGGATGTTGACTTGCAAACAGATGTTGCACGAAGTCGTAGAATTCATTGCACGAACGCACAGTATAAAGTTAGTCCAAGAGACTCCATTGCCGGAGCGGGAGATGGATGGAGCACCCAACCCACTTGTTATTTCCAACAATGGAATTCGCACCATTTTGCTCTATCATCCGGAGAGGGGGTTTCCGAATCACCTATGTATCTAAACTGCGATCCACCCCAACCCACCACATCACTCACAAAACCCCTCCAACTCCCACCCCCTCAATTCCTCCTCAACCCCCTCAACGTCCCCGCAAATCTCCTCCTAGTCACATACAAAAACACCATCACCCCGCAAACCAGCACCACACCTCCCACATCCACCCGTGGATGTTCCACCGCCTGCTTCCTAACCTCCTCCACATACCCCTTAACCTGCCCCCCAACCCCTTGCTGCGACTCCAAATCCGGCATGCTCATAACCAGCACCACGAGTGCCGTCCACCCCGTCCACCCCTGCGCACGCACCCCCTTTCCGCTCGCGGAATCATATTGCTCCCAGACGAAGCCCGTCTCACGGTATGCTTTAAACACCGTTTTGACCACATTTTTGCGAAGCAGGATGTATGTATCCCTCGCCCTCCCTTGTTCCGGTCCTTTCGTTTGGGCAAGACGCAAGAGTTGGTCTAGGAGGAGGTAGTTGAAATTCACCCAGATAGGGGAGCGCGCGTAGTTTTCTTCGGTAGCGTACGCTGGGTCTTGCGGGCTTAGACTGCGGATCCCTTGTTGGCTCCAGAGATGCGTTGGGTCTCTCAGTAAATCGATGACGGCAGGGAGATGGGGGTGGGAAGGGTCGAGCAGCCCGGTTAGGAGGGGGAAGAGAGCGATGTAGCCTTTGTGGCAGGTGAAGCTGTGTTTGGCGTTTCGGACGACGGTGTCGCAGTAGAGGGAAGCTGAGGGTGACCAGTGGAGCGTGTCGATGTTGCGTTTTATGCTGCGGACGTGCTTTTGGTAGGTAAATGCGTCGTGCGCGTTTTCGGTGAAGAAGGCGATTTGCTCGAGAGTGCGGCCCATGACGCCGACCCAGCATAGGGCGTCGAGGTGCAGTTCGGTGAGGTCTGGAGGTTCGGCGCGTGGGTAGTCGGATAGGCCGCTGGCGGTGTTCTTGCCTGGGGTTCGGGCGCGCCAGCGGTAGCCTTCGTTTAGGTTGGCGGACGGAATGGAGTGGGCTTCTACGTCTCCTGATTGCGATTTTCTGAACCATTCGTAGTGGCGTTTGAGGAGGGGTTGCATTCTGATTACGAGGGCTTTGCCGGTTTCGGGTTTAGAGAGGTAGACTGATTCGCGGCCGTGGTACTTGATTGTGCCCCTGAGCATCTTTACGAATTTCGAAATGACGAGGTACATTGTTGGGGGACTGGCAATGTGCGGGAACTGATTGATGGATTCTGGGGGCGTAGAGGCTTCGGCTTCTGAGCCTAGGATTTGCTCTCGTGCGATCCAGCCGTCGTCATCCATTAGGAAGAGCCAGTCACGCATTACTTCCAGTGCGAGGTCTGCGTCCCATTCGAGTACGAGAAGGAGATGGAAGCCTTCGTCAAATAGAGAGCCTCGTGGGAATGTTGCACGGGATGGCGTATGCGTGAGAAGCTCATAGGGACCTTTTGTCTCTGGCGTTATGTGTTTGTTCGCATCTGCGGACTTTTCCCAGAAGTTAGCCGTGGTCTCGGCGTAGATGGCCGTTTTCGCTGTGACGACTTTGGAGCTACCAGTGAAATATCCCAGGCCGCCCAGCAGATCAGAGAAGACGCTTTTGGAGAAACTCAGATGCTCAAAGGTCTTGAAAGGTGGCATTGGATTGAAGATTGAAAGGAAGTTCTTGCCAAACGTTTGCATAGCTTTCTCTAGGTCTGTGGTGAGACTCGCGGCTGGGAAGTATTAGTTTTGCGGTGGATGTTGATGCCCAGCATGTAAGGTCAAACTCACAGGTCATAGTACGTTTTGCTGTTTCGGTGGAATAGAGAATATCAAACTGCAAGAATTTAGTGTAGCCCATAACTTTATGTCGTAGGAATGAATTACCTCAAACTCTCCATGAAGAACCATCTGCACAAAATGCAGGTTGCCTGCACCTGCTGCATTATGAATCACAATATCGGTCGGTCCAGGCTCCTTTCGGTCCTTTGTTTGGTCTTTCAGGGTATCCAAGAAAGTGGCTTCTTGCAGGCAGAATGATCAGCCAGCTGTTCACATCAAGACGATGGCTCATGGTAATAGGCAGAAAAAGGTCTGGTGTCTCGAGTACGTACATTTGGCCTGCCACAATCGGTCCTCTGTCACATTCAGCGACTTGACGAATGCTATCTCACGGTGTCCATCGCTGTTAATGGGAACGGGAATGTGTATTCCAGAGGCGCCTAGTTTTGGGTGAACAAGGTTCATGTTCACGGCATGGATAGATGTATCCTCGCCCTCTCCGAGCTGTTGGCGAGCATCTAACCTGCAATAGGTACACGCTTCTTTCTCTTCCATGCCCAGGTAGAAGATGACGGTTGTCTTCAATTCAGGAGGCGCATCGAATCTCGGCATTCCCTTAATCCTCAAGCCCCAATTACCCTGGTGCTGCCCTTCTGAATACTTTATGAATTCTGTCGTGATGTTGACCTTATTGCCATCATCTTCTATGACTTGCTGGCCACCCTTTCGTGTGTCGTATGTAGTCCAGCCATATCGTGCGATTTCTTCGCTTTGGTTTACATTATGCCGTAGTGCTGCACATCTTGTCAGTTGCAATTGACCCACGCCAACCTCAACTTACTCGTCCCAACGTCCTCTAGTCTCGCCCACATTAAACCCGCAATGACACTTTTGGGCACCCGGGGACGGAGACCTAGATAGACGTTCGGCCGGTAGGGGCCCCATAGCAGCGACTGAGTATTCGTAGACGGGTTCTCATCGACAGCGGATGTTGGTGAAACGCTAACCAGGACGAGGGCAAGGAGAGCCCAGGGAAGCATGTTGTAGATTGACGCGTTTCAACGCGAACTAACGCGTTCGGCCAAATAATTGTAAGCGTAGCGGCCGAATTGGAATAGTACAATACTTCAGGTCATCTTCTTCCCGTGTCTCTAGTCACCGGTGGCTGTTCTGCAATAAAATGGCTTTTGCGGACGTGAATGCCCAGCCACAACTGTCCTCAAGCCACGTCTTTGATGATTGGCCAAAGCACCCTATTGTGGAGCAGGAGTGACGCCATTGCTCAGTGGAACGCATTCTTCGCCAGGAATCAACTTCGGTCGCAAATCAAATTGTACACGATAAGACACATAATACTCTTTGCTCACCATGTCCAGATCTTGGGGATTACCGTGGGAGGATATTCAACCGTACAAAAGCAGCAAATTCAATGATTGCCCGCCCATGATCGCCATGTTCCGCATTCCCGATAGCCACCTGTCAACCACTCACAAGAGCAGGTTCTTTTTGTTCCACGCTATACGTGCCTATAAAGTGTGTATTGGTCGGCCGTAATGATGCAATATCTAGAGCTGGGGTAGAGTCTCGCCGCGGTAAACAGCCACTCTTCCCCCCGCGCGACGTCAGCAGATCCGACATAGATCCACCATGCCGAGACCCCCACAATCTGCATGTTGGCGCGCATCCGCAAGATGAAAAGCGCCGAGTTCCCGCATTGATAGGCTTGTGATTCTGATCGACCCTAGGATAGCAACGAACAAACATTTTGTAGAACTATTTACATTGTACACCAATAACCTAACACTACTGTATACGTACTACACATCTGCAACATGAACGAGCAAGTAGAGCGCTTGGTGAATAAGATCTGGGGTATTTGATACCAGCCTTCCATTCTAAGTTCTGTGTTGAAATCTATCCAGAGAAGTACCAGGACATCCCAGCATCCAAACGCTTAATGATCGCCATCTCAGGAATCCCCGGATCCGGTACGTATATTCACACGCACTACAAACCGCACTCTCCCAATCTAACAAGAAAAAAACCAGGCAAAACCACATTAGCAACCATGGTCTCCACCAAACTCAACGAGAAACACGCACAGCAATCTCCAGGCACTGCAAACAGCAACCCCATCTCCGCCTTCATCCCAATGGACGGCTTCCACCTCTCCCGCATCCAGCTCGACGCAATGCCTGATCCGCACAGCGCCCACGCCCGGCGCGGTGCAGCCTTCACTTTCGACGGTGGCTCCTTCTACTCGCTCGTAAAGAAGCTTCGCGAGCCCATCTGTCCCGAGACGGCAACGCTGTACGCCCCGAGCTTCGACCACGCGCTCAAAGACCCCGTTGAGAACGACATTGCTATTGCACCGTCTGTCCGCATCGTCGTTTTTGAAGGCAACTACTGTGCGCTTGATAAGGCGCCTTGGAGCGATGCCGCTGAGCTTATGGATGAGTTGTGGTTTGTCGATGTAGATTTCGAAGTCGCGCGCAAGCGGTTGATTCATCGGCATGTCAAGGCTGGGATTGCGCGGAATGAGGAGGAAGCGGCACGGAGGGCGGATGAGAATGATCTGGTTAATGGGAGGGAGATTGTAGAGCAGAGGCTAAGTGTGCACAAGGTTATTGCGAGTCGAGAGGATCCAGCGTGGGCGCCGGAGCAGCAGGGAGTTGGAGGTGGAGAGGATCGTGAGACGAAACCTGAAATGGCGAAATTTGTGTAGAATTTGCTTATCTCAATCGTATGTTGACCGTTCTCTGATATCGCAAAAAAAAACACAGCTTTTTCATGTCACATGCTGGTTATAAACTTCAATATGAGGTGCAAGGAGTGATAGTGATGAATGTCATATAACAAAAATATATACTGTATAGAAAAAACCCCAATTGTGCCGCCAACCGCAGCCAAAAACCTATATACATCAACTTTCAAGTTGCCCGCGCAGCCTAAGCTACAACACCAATCCTGTCAAAGTCAGGACCATACGCGCTTCCAACTCCCGAAATGGTAATCGTGTTGGGGCCAGAAGTGCTGAATCCCGACAGTTCGACTCCGTAACCCTTGCTAACGTCTACGTTCCAGTTGTAGCCTGTTAGCGGGAAGCTGACAGTCTTTGCCGCACCGCCGTTGACACTGATTGATGCAACGCGCTCGTTGGTTCCGCCCATGTAGTCGACGTTTCCGTTGATGTAGTCGAAGCTCACCGTCTGTGTGGCTTTGGAAGTGCGGATGTTGGAGAGCGTGACGCGGCCGCCGTTTGAGCCGCCAATGTTGCCGACCTTGTTGGAGGACGTGCAGCCCGAGCAAGGCGAGGTGTTTGCGCCAGAGGAGAGAGAACCGGTGGATACGGAGACGTAATTGTACTTTGGCTTGGCGGCTGTCGAGCGTTGGATGTTGGACAAGCGGAGTGGGACAGAGCCGTGAGCTTTGACTTGTTTTGAGAAGGATGAGCCGGTGGTGGTGGTGCCAGCCCAGATGTCCTTGATGGTTGCAGAGGCGATACCTAGGTCGGCCAGTTGCACAGTGAGGGTGCGGCCAGTGTTGCTGAGATCCACAGCCAAGACGGCCATGTCTCCGTTTGCGAGATCTCCTGCCCAGAGATCGCGGTCGCCGGTCCATCGTTGGCGGAGAGTCACTGGCTTGACAGCCGAATCCTGGTTGATAGCGATGAGATCTTTGTTCTGGAGGACAGTGACCAACTCGTTTGACAATGCCGCAACATCAGTTGAGATCATCAGCGCAGACTTGAGCATAGCCCACGCAGCGAAATGTGTGGCTTGTTCGTCGAAAGACATGGCAGAATTGCCAACCTCGAGTAAATCGGCATCGGCAATGTGTCCTGGGCCTACATTGCCGGATTTGGCGATATGGATAGCTTGGTTGTAGATCCGGAACATCGAAGCCCAGCCAGAAGTGATGTCGTCTGACAGACGGAAAGAGGTAGAAATACCCTTGGTCCACTCATCAGGTCCCTCTAGACCAGCGGATGTAGAGTAGGGGACACCCCATTGGCAGATCAACATTCCGGGAATGCCAACCTTTTGCAGCTCTTTCCACATGGCGCCCATTCGAGTAACAAAGTCGGTCCTGGCATTCTTTGGGGCATTTTGATTAGCGTTGGGTCCATCTGCATAGCAGTTGTCGTCTACGTAACTGTCAGCTTTCTGCTGTTGATGAGGTATTTTGGAAACACATACATTTGACGTATTCAGTACCAAGTGATTTGAAAAAAGCGGCATCCGCGGCCTCATGACCTAGAGAGCCCAAGACTGGACTTGGTGACTGAGGGTCACACATCCTCACGCCTGCATCTGAGTACATGGTCCACTTCATTCCCTTAGATCTTGTTAGGTCGGCCAATGGCTGGAGTCCATTAGGAAAAGCCTTCAAGTCCACTTTCAAAGCACCGTTGGTAGAACTCCGCTGTCCGTCTCTTGAAGCCCATCCGCAATCGATCTGGAAAAACTTGTAGCCTGCAGCGACAAATCCACGGCTGGCAAGAGCGTTGATGGTCGTGGTGATTTTCTGGGCGTTGGGACTGCATGACATTTGGTTGTATGAGTTCCAGCCCATGACGGGTGTCTGCTGAAACGACTGGGCTGCCACATGGGAAGCACCCGCGAGGGAGAGAAGAAACGAATTGGTCCAAATCATGGTGAAAGCTGTAGCGAGTGAGCGTGCTCGTTGAGAGGTAGCGTATCCTCGTCATGGCCGTTCTCTACTATTTATACTACATCTTCGTCCAATTTCTTTAATAAAACAACAGACTTATCAGTGATGATTTGCCGGTGGCTGACGCATGATGCCGGCTGCATGTCGGGATGACTGCTCGGTCAGGTAGTCCTTGCGCTTTGTGCTCTAATTGTGCAGGGAGAAGATGACCAAACAGAAAGACAGCGCAACATCTTTTTTCCGCGGAATAATTTGGGGGATCCTCAGAGCCCCATAACTGCGGAGGCTAGTGACGGTTAAGAAGCTTAGCAAGGGGTGACTCCACACTCGGCCTACTGCCTTGATTACCCCGCGTCTCGTCAAACTTGCCGTGATCCATGTTCATTTCGCTGCCTCGCTTTACTCAACTTGGTATTCCGCAATCGAACGGTCCCGTACATATAACCTTACCACGGCTACATCGTCATCGTTGACTGTTGTGCATATGGTTTCCCGTATCTCAGTCGGCTTAAACGCCGTGATCGCCATTGATAGCCCGGGCACGTGGACAAAGTGGGTCATTGCTCGCTAGGGCATGGGGTTTACGCTTCGGTTCTGGGGAAGAGTATGGAGTTTGAAGCAATCGGATGCTCCGAAGACTCCAAAGACTCCACAAGCTCTCCTTCAAGGGATAATGATAAGCGGAGCATATTCCGAGGCTCTGTTCTTGGCGCGTTTATAAAGTGGTGCAAGTCGCCATCAGCCCCTCATACTGTGTTAGCACTTCGTACGGAGTCAGTGGAGCGGGGCACTTATCGACACTGGATGAATACGATTGATCCTATGCCCATCTTCTCTACAACACTATCTAGTCTATCTCGGCAGTTATAGATGGTTGCTGAGTAGCGTTTTAATCATCAGTCATGGCACGCAAATACCTAGGGGGCTCGGGTGAGCGATTAACTGTTTGGATCTCAATCGCTGCCAGTACAGTGCTAGTGTAAGCTAAATTTACATATCACTTCATGTTTAGTTGCTCATTTTAATTAGATTTTACGGGTACGACCAAGGCGTCTTTGGCAATGTCATCATTTCAGAAAACTTCCTTCAAACTTTCGGCCACCCGTCCGCGGACATGCAGGGGACTATGACGTCCATTTATAATATCGGGTGTTTCATTGGTGCGATGAGCACTGTATGGACAGGTGACATTCTCGGCCGACCACGACAGATCATACTTGGCTCGGCGATTATAGGGATCGGAGCCATTATTCAAACATGTAGCTGGACTGTCGCGACCATGATGGTTGGTCGTATCGTTGCAGGACTTGGCACCGGAATGAACACTTCAACCGCTGGTGTATGGCAAGCAGAAACGAGTAAGATGAACAGCCGAGGAAAGCTTGTTATCATTCAGATGGGTATGTTTCTCAGGTTTGTATTTATCACATGAAGTGACTGACCATGTGCGTAGCCAACTGCATCACTGGATTTAGTATTTCAAACTGGCTCACTCTCGGCTTCTCTTTTGCGCCACGCGACATCGCATGGCGCTTCCCGCTTGCCTTTCAACTCTTCTTCACCCTCTGTATATTTGCCATGTGCCCATTTCTACCAGACTCGCCGCGTCTCCTCATCCGAAAAGGCAAGCACCAAGAAGCACTAGAAGTTCTTGCAGTACTTGAGGGCCATGGAGCAACACCCGAGTCAGCTTCTGTTATTACCCAGTACAACATCATCAAAGACATTCTGGATCGCGAGAATATGAACACATACACCTGGGTGCAGCTGCTCACTGGAAAAGGTCCAAGTGGCGTATTGCGACGCATGCTCTTGGGGGCGTATATGCAAGCAATGAACCAAATCAGCGGAATCAATGTAACTTCGTACTACATGAGTTACATTTTCATCAACGCTCTAGGCATCTCAGAACTGCTGTCGCGTATCCTGGCCGCAGCAGGTTCAGTAGACTACCTGATCTTCGCTTGTTTGGCATACTTTGTCATTGAGCGGTACGGGCGCCGGAAAGTCATGATGGTTTCCGCGGGCGCATGCTCCGTCTGCTGGATTGTCATAGCGGCATCCCAGGGGCAGACGGAAGCTGGTGGAGACTCGTACAAGCTTGGAATTGTCGCTGTTTCATTCTTCTTCGTATTTTTCGCTAGCTTCGGTATGGGTGTTCTAGGTGTTCCGTGGCTGTACCCCACTGAGTAAGTTCTGTCTTACACTGTCAAGAATGTAAGCTGACATGGGTTGTAGGATCAATGCGCTCGAAATGCGAACAAAAGGTGCATCGCTCGCCATGGGTATGTTTGAGCTTTCCGGCTGACCTGTAAACAAATAGCTGATAAACGAAAGCCACTAACTGGATCTGCAACTACGGCGTTGTGCAAGCTACTCTTCCAGGCATCCAGAACCTTGGGTACAAGTTCTGGATCATTTGGGCCGTTATTTGCTTTTCTTTCATCCCAGCCACATACTTTCTTTACCCAGAGACAGCTAATCGGACCCTGGAAGATATTGATCGCTTCTTTGAAACGAAGCCTGGTATCTTCGTTCATCGTAATAAGCTCGCTGTCCAACTACATCGTCCTATTGAATTTATCGAAGCCGACGAAAGAATTGCCACGCATGAGCAGACGAAAATCTCCGAAGAAAACAAGGAAATGAGTGCGGAGTACGTGGAGAAGAAGGAGACTGTTTGAGGTAGCTGGATCGTGAGTATCCTGGCATTGGGCACGCCTAGACTTCGATTCCAGTAGAGCGGGATACATCCTCAAAAGTTAAGCGAAACGGTTCTAACGTCTGTGGGATTTTCAACCAGCACATCCTAATTTCGTTCTCCAGCCGTTGTGACTGATCGGGCAGGTTTGTTAATTTGGGGGCACTCGGGTCGCGAGTCAGACGTAAACTACACGCTTAATAGAGTAGAGGTCAGTCAGCGCAGGGGTATACGTCTTCGAAACAAGCCTTAGTACACAATGCTTCTCGTACAACTAATATACACGATACAAGCAGCGAATAAGCATCTGTCGTATTGCTTAAGTGGAGAAATTGCGGACAACGGCCCGCCAATCCGTGGCGTGACTGTGCAACTGTAGATTTTACACCAATTCTATGTATCAATGATTGCGGAAGCTATGCCGCTTCAAGGGTAGCGCTACATGGTGAGGGGAAAAGAACGCGGAAGGGAAGCTAGATAAGTGTAAGATTTTTAAAAGGAAGGCAAAAGATCAATCAAAATAGAGCGGTAAGTCTTGGAGCTTTTGTCATGGTTTATGAACGACCAAGAAACGTGCCCGACATTGCCTCTTTCCAGTATTGCAGAGTGAACATGATATATTCGTGCGGGAAAGCTTCTCCTGATAGTCTGTGCGCTGAATGATGTACCCCAGCATAGCTGATACCAATGCTTACTTGTAAAAAGCTTTGTCGGCTTAATCTTAACTGCCGGCCGTTACGCTGCAGCAGCTCGGTACTTTCTCTTGAGATGACGTAGTTGATTTCATGCATTGATCTAGGATGGTGCTAAAAAAAATAGCCGCTTCAGTGCTGTTATTGTCGCTGATGAATAGGTGAGCGAGGTGTAACGAGAAACTTTGGCAGAAAGCAGAGATTGCATTCGTTTCACATTGTCTCTTTGTTTTTCCATGTCTCAGTATCAAAAACTGATTTCACGACATATGCCATATGTTCCAACCTCTACGGTTCGTTACAATAACCATCGACAAAATTCACCGTCAATGTATTCCGCTTCTCTTTCATCAACGTCTGGCGTCCAACGCTCAGTAACTTCGAAACGTCCTGTCGGCAATCTAGACAAAGTCAGCCTTTACACTTTGAAAGCGAAAAGGTAGGAATAATCACCCAAAAACAGACCCCGTAGTTCCTTTCCTTGGCCACTTGCTAGCCACGCACATGTCTGGCCGCAAAGCGACGAGTCATCCTTGAAAAGATGCTTGAAAAACTCTTCATCTGTAACATTCTTATCATACTTTTTCTTCACATCCTCTGCAACACCAGCTTCGTTATGTTAACATCCTGAAAGCCTTGAGACGGAAGCATGTCAACTTACCTCCACCCATGTTGCCTCGCACACCACCTGGATGAAGCGCATAGATGTGAATTGCAGGATCCAATTTTTCCAGCTCCATCTCTTTCTGCAGCGTATGTGTTGCGCGGATGAGCGCTGCTTTGGAAGTCACGTATCCAAGTGTCATGGGTACATCCACGGTTCCAGATCGCGATGCGATGTTGATGATGCAGCCGCGTCCACGGTCGCGCATTTGCGGTAGAGCGGCGTGAATGAGCATCAAAGGCTAGTAGTATTCCAATTAGTCTAAGTCTTCTTGTTTCCCTCTTATCCAAATAGATGGTAAGAACAAAAAAAGGGAAAAGAAACAAGTGAAACTTACAGCTTTGAAATTAACCTCAATCTGCTTCCAGAAATCCTCAAACGTACTCATGATAAACGGTCGTTGATCAAATATCCCCGCATTATTCACCAGCACATCAATCGGCCCCAACTGCTTCGTTACCTGGGCCAGCACTTCTGTCAACCGCTCCTGATCCCGCACATCGCATCCGAATGCTTCTACCTTGACGCCAAAGGATAAACATGTCCTCTTGGTTTGATCTAGCTTGTCGATGTTGATGTCCAGGAGGGCGACGCTGGCGCCAGATTTTGCTAGGGATTCCGAAATGGCTGCGCCAATGCCCTGGCCTGCGCCTGTTATGAGGGCTATTTTTCCGGAGTTGGAGCCTTGAAGGGCTTCGGGGAGAATGGGTCCGTAGGGGACATGTTGCAGAGGGAGTGTACTGATGCCGAATTCTGCGGGGTCCATGGTTGGGTTTGGTTTGTAGTGAAGATACTATATGTGTACGTTATTGTAAATAGGAATTGCTATCTGAATTACTGTTATTTGAATTCCAAATTGTGGGACGGTACTCTTCCGACGAACATATGTGTCGGATGTGAGCGGGGGTAGTCTTGGGGTAATTGCAGCCCCACATGATGGTGTGGGGTAAGGAACAGACATCTATCATTGCCGGCTTTGATACACTCTTGCATTTTCTTAGGATAGCGCAGTACCTTTGATCGCGTCAGTACAGAAGATCTCCTGTTGTTGGCGAAAAATATGGAAACTGAAGTAAACAGACTTGGCGCAAAGAACATACGTGCTTTGTTCACAACCCCCAAAGAAGATCAAGTTATGGTACTTGTCGCTTTGAATTTCCTCGATTATGAAATACAGACGTGCGACTTAAACCGATAATTCAATGCCGTTGTGGTCATACTGAGCCACAAGTGACGACACGGAGATTTTCTCTAAAAGATGGAGGATAAAGTAGAAGGAATGCAGTGACCCTATCTGAGCACCCAGTGGGTTTCATTAACTATACAACACCAAGGAATACCACACAAAAAGATTCCAGCATGAAGAGAGGCGATTACTCAACTGTTACTGAAAAGCCTCATATTCCGCCAAAGCGCCTCTGATAGGTTGCGAAACGAGTTGGCCTGTCCACATACGGGTTGAGTAAGCATGATGCTGCTTCCAAGACGGCAAGCCTTCTCGGTAGTGCAAAAAGACTCCACTTTAGCGCGACACCTACCTGGATACCGAAGCATGGATAGCTTTCTCAGGAAATATCTAAAATGTAAGGTTTCCAGCTCTTTAAACGTTGGTACTACTTGCAATTCAACAAAGTCGGATCGGTGCTTGATTGGCATATCCCAGTCAGTTGTACTTTGCAGATGAATTATAGTATAAGTAAGCTAGAGAATCTGTACTCAGTTTCAATCGCCAATTTTAGGATACTTCAGTCGCTCTTCAGCAATGGCCTTTGCACGCAGGAGACACCCCGCTTCACTACTGGCTGTACTGGCTCTCTTTATTCAGTCGGCTATCAGCGAAGCAAACTGTGAAGCATCTACTTTCCAAGGCGTGAATCTCTTAAATGGCAAGATCCTCAACATTGCCACACAACTGCATGCCGGTCTTTCGTTCGAAGCTCCTGCAGAAGCGAATCATTACTCGGTCAATGTGACAGATCTGAACGCCTGCGAAGTAACTATCACCTACACCCACCCTGGATACAACGATACCATCAACACTTCAGTATGGCTACCCACTCCTGAAAAGTGGACTGGACGATTTCTCGGTGCAGGAGGTAGCGGGTGGTCCACAGGACCAGACACTAATACCACGCTTCCTTGGGCAGCCAGTGAGGGCTATGCTGTTGTCGCAACCGACGGTGGACACACTGGTGGAGATACCGAGTGGTCGCTCGTGAGTCCTGGAAACATCAACTGGATCCTGTTACAAGACTTCTCTTCAATTACATTGAATGATGCTGCGACGCTTGGGAAAGCTGTCACCGAAAAGTACTATGGTAAAGCACCAAGTTACAGTTACTGGAATGGCTGCTCCACTGGTGGAAGACAAGGACACATGATGGCGCAGAGATATCCGGATCAATATGATGGTATTCTCGCGGCTGCGCCAGCTATCTATTGGAGTCAGTTGATGCTGCAGCTTTTTTGGCCACAGGTGGTCATGAATGAGAATGGTATGTGTCCCATCGAAATATTAGGATGTCCTTGCTGATGTTTGTAAGGTTTCCCTACCCCATGTGAGCTGGAGGCCATTAATGCAGCTGCCATCCAATCCTGCGACAATCTCGACGGCCTCGAAGATGGAATCATATCTCTTCCCAAAGAGTGTTCTTTTGACCCAGCGACTGTCATAGGAAAGGAATACATTTGCCCATCATCAAACAAGAGCACAATAATCACAGAAACCGTAGCTACAGTAGCGCGTTTTATCTGGCAGGGTGCAACCACATCCGAAGGCGACTTCGTTTGGTACCCAGACAACATCGGCGCTCCCTTCAGCGGCCTTGCTAATACGACATGTGAAAATGGCACGTGTGTTGGTGTCCCATTCTTCTTACCCGAACTCTGGATCAGAGACTTCCTTACTCTTGATCACGAATTCGATACCACACAAATTAACAGGACCTACTTCGAGGAACTCTTCCATCAATCCTTCAACCTTTACGACTCCATAATAGGAACCTCGGATAGGAATCTCGACAGCTTCCGCAAAGCAGGTGGAAAACTGATCAATTGGCAGGGGCTTGCTGACCAGTATGTTTCACCTGATACCACGACACATTACGTCAAGGAGGTACATGAGCGCGACTCAAATGCGAGTGATTACTATCGGTTCTTTGAGGCGCCGGGTATAAATCACTGTGGTGGTGGACTCGGATGGTATCCTGGGGAAGGGTTAAAGGCGCTCATTGAATGGGTGGAGAATGGCGTGGCTCCGGAAACGCTTGCGGCGGAGACATCAGAAGGACGAAAGGCAAACCTCTGTTTGTGGCCGAAACATTTGGTATATGTTAGTGGTAATCCGGACGAGGCGACTTCCTTCGAATGCCAGTAGACCGGTAGGAGATCTCAGGGGTCGAGTTAGATTCCAGAATCGCTGAGCTGAGCCCAAGCGATGTGGGTTGTAGAACAAGGAAACATCAGATCGTATCCTCGAAGAATGATAACAGGAGCTTCCAAGAGTTATCTTCATATTTTTGAGAGCTAACAGCGAAGCAAGCACTCTCATTTGTCCGAACGAGACTCTCAGTTTGTGACGTTCTTATCGTTATCGTCACGTGAGCCAGCATCCCACCATTGAACTGGTGGCATGATACTTAGCTAAACCTCGTCACCCCCTGTACTACTCGAGATAAGCATCCACTCCCTTTCAGCCTATAAAATGCCCGGATTACTTTCTCTTCCCACCGAGCTCTTGCAGCAGATTGCTTCTTCACTACCCTGCTCCTCAGCCCTCAATTTACTAAGTGTCAACCACCAGCTACGCAAAGCATGTAACGACCGTCTAGTCTTCCAGCAAATAGCAAAACGCGATCTGAACTACTCTTCTCTCTCCAAATGGGGAATTCAAGATTCCTTTATACGATTCAAAGACGACGATCCCATTCTAACATCAGCGTCGCTATCCGAGACAATCCGCCTAGCCTTCGCAGCCGAAAAATGTATCAAATCCTCCACCAAAAAGTCTGACGCGTGGATCTTCAAAGTCCCAAAGAACACAAGGAGATACGACGTTCTCGATTGGCTCCCCCACATGATAGCCTTGGAACATTCCGCCGCAACCTCCCTAAAACCCGAACCCTTTGTCATAATGTACAACGACCTCGTCACCCACAAAGCCCCGGAAAACGACCTCATCACTGCAAGCTTCATGATTACCCGCACGTTGCTCCACCAACTCCGATACTGCGTCAACGTGGAAAAACAAGTCAAAAAACCACTGGACAAGTACTTCGAGGCAAACCCCGGCAGGTCCATCTCCCCTCATGCAGATTCAATCACCTACCTCCGCAACCGCGTCCGCAGATACGGCAGGTTTAACAAATCCTTCCGCCTCGACGAAGCCACCGCGCTTCTCCCTACTTTCCTACTAGAACTAGCCGTGTACCAGCTCTTCCCCGAGCAGTTGCGGCGCCAACTCCCCTCCGTATCAAGCATAGGGTTTGCATCGCTAATGCGGATCCCACCCATGTTCCCGCAAGATGCTACTACCAGTCCCTCGTTTGCTGAATGCCATGTGGAGAAAATGGTGAGGCCGATGTTCCTCGCGGGAAAATGGACGGGGTATTACTCTGAGCAAAGGGACTCAGTGCATGTGCGCTCGTTCGATCCGCCTATGAGCGATATCAATATCGTGGCGCGGGTGCCCGAGGGTGCGTCGGATGTGGCTGCTGTGATTGATCGGGAGACGAGGGGTGTAGATTCTCATGGGGAATTCTCGCTACAGGGCCGCGTCAAGAAGAATGGGCAGGTGGAGTTGGTGAAGCGGTATCTAGTGAGCGGGTACACGTGGCCGTGGATGGGTTGTATGACGCCGTTTGGTATTGTGGGGACGTGGGGAGACCAGTCGGATGAGCTTGACGAGTTTGATAGTTTTGGGGGCTACTTTTGGATTTGGAAGGAGGAGTGGTGTGAGGGGGATAGGTGACACATAAAAGCATATCTATCTACAATTGTCTTTCCTGTATTATTTAAAATGGGGTTGAAACATGCGAGGCAAAAGAACTAAGCTGTGTTTGGGGTATAATGTCCTTCGCATGCAAAACAGGAAAAAGAAAAGGAAACAGGCGAGTTTTATCCAGAACATCTCACTCTGCCTCCGCATTCTCCGTCTCATCCAGGGCCTGCATAACCTCTTCCATTTCTTTGGGGCTAGTGATGCCCCAAACACCCCCTCCCTTGACGGACCCCTTCATTCCCACTTCTTTGCCTACCAGATTCCTACCGACTTTGCCCGGCCCAATACCCACATAGCGCATGATCTTCTCTTCTTCATGTAGATACTTTATGCTCTTCCACCATTGCACTGTTTCGACACAGCTACGCGCGAGTAGGTCCTTGAGTTGATCCTTGTCGGTGAATGGTTTACCAGAGACATTGGATATGCACGGCAATATACCAGGCCATGTTACTATATCACGCCCGTTTTTGGTCTCCCTGTACAGGATCTGCTTCATGGTCTCTTGGGCGGGCTTCATGAGAAGGCTGTGAAAAGGGGCGTCAGACTTGAGGCGGACATGGCGTGGATCGTGGCCACCAAATTGGCGGAGATTGGTCAGCAGCGTGTTTATGCGGGCAATGCTCCCACTAAGTACAATCTGGTTCTTGGAATTGAGGTTGGCGATGGCGACTTGCTGAACGGCAGGAAGAGAGTCGTGGGAATCTGCCTTTGAGCCAAGTGCAAGGAACTCGTGTATGCCTTGAATGAGAGATTGCATGTGCTCTTCCGATTCACAGACCAAAGCCACCATGCCGAACTCGCCGCCTTCTTCTGCCACGGCCTCTTGGCTGCATTCTGCCATGACCTCTGCTCGCCTCCGCACCATCTTCAGTGCATCGCCAAAGGTGAGGTAGCCGCCGGCGACGAGTGCAGCAAACTCTCCCAGAGAATGGCCAAGGGTGATGTCGACACGCTCGTCCGTCTTGAAACCAAACTCCTTTTCCAATATGCGCAGGATCAGAATCGACGTGGCCATGATGGCTGGCTGCGCATTCTCGGTCTTGGTGAGCTCAGCATTAGTGCCGGATTCTATGACTTTTGTGAGAGGAAGCTGGAGCGTGTCATCGATTTCCTCGAGAATGGGTTTCGCGGTTCCGGGAAAGGCTTCTAGCCATGGCGTGCACATGCCCACGCGCTGGACTCCCTGACCTGGCTTCAGTCAGTAGGCTGTGCCGCGAGGATGGAACATGACGATGGGAGGGTACCAGGAAAGAAGATGGCCGTCTTTGGTCGCTTGATTGGTGCATCTCGCACGCCGCTCATCCAGCGTCGTGGGGCAGGCGGGCAGCGGTTGACGGGCTGGCCGCATTGCATGCAGCGTCGCGACAGACGCGGGCATGCGTTGACGACGGGCGAGAGAGGGCGAGACATGGCGAAACAAGCGGCTACGGTAGTTCTGGAATCATGACTGAGAGACCATGTAAGATTCGCAGACATGGGGAGCTCCTGACGCGGGGAATTGACGTGGACCCGGCCGCCCGGCTTACTTAGTACTACGCCCCCAGTGGCATTACCGTGGGGTCGACGGGCCCCTCCCATGGCCGAGGTCCTGCTTTCCCGCACACCCCACCAATGCTGCTACTACCATGACTCGTGTCACATGACATACCCACATATGTACATATGTATTCAATGTATTCAACGTATTCAATTGATACACATGCATATGTACATACAGCTCCGAATCGACTACAAAGCCATCATGCACCTTGTATGTTGAGCCCAGCATCAACCTGAATCCGCATACCCGTCATGCTGGTATTCTTTGCCAGCATCACAAACGCAGCTACGCAGTCGTCCATGAACGTTTCATGCCTCAGGGCTGCTGTCGCCTTGAGTGTTTTGATGCGCTCTTCCGAGTACTTGAGTCCCTAAGGATTGGTCAGCATTGGACAGTGGGCGGCCGTTGTGCGACGAGAGATGTGTGCTTCGTACCCATTCAGTTAGCAGCAAGCCAGGAAGAACCGTGTTGACGCGTATCGTGGGACCAACAGTCACAGCGAGGCACTTGACTAACTGCAATTGCGCTGCTTTTGTGACGGCATAAGGCATACTGCTCCCTCCCTGGCCGATAGCCTGTCATGAGTTAGTCCCCGTCTACCAACCAGTCAAGTACGGAGGCGACATACAGCAATACTCCCAGTCGTAATCATGTGCCCGCCGTCAGAGTTGGCGTCAAATGTGGCTCTTGCCTCGGAGAGTAACGCCTTGGGCACTTTGACGTTTGCATTCCAGCACTTGTCCCACTCCTCTTCCGACATGGAGTCGAGATCCTCCCACGCAGCAAAGCGTGTCCATCCCTGAATTTCCATCAGCTAGCATTCTGTCGATGCAATACATCATTGCATAATAGCATGCGTACCGCGTTTGAAATGATCAGATCAAGGCCGCCTAGCTGCTTGATCGTCTCCTGAACTACTCGTCTCGCATCCGACGTCGACGTCATGTCCTTTGATCCTTAGTCCCATTCCTACACTTCCAAACGTAGGGCAAACCATACCGCTTTGATGACTACAGCTTTGACTCCCAGCTTTTCACATGCTTGCTGTACCTTCTGGGCAGGCTCGAGGCGGTTGAAATAGTTAATGGCAATGTTGGCGCCTTCATTGGCAAAAGCCTTGCAGACCAGTTCTCCCAGACCACTGGGAAATTGTTAGCAATAATTTTTCAAACAACCAAGCCCGATATAGCCATTTGCTATCAAACTATCACTCCTCGTCACTCACGCTGATCCGCCGGTAACAAGGACGTTTCGACTTCTGAGGTCGTACGGCATGTTTTGCTGCTGATTGGCGATCTTGGTCCTTATTTTGAAATACGGCAAATGAATTGATTGTCTCGAGGAAAACTTGACAATGTCAGGTTACGATAGGAAGGCCAAGGTCGAAGCAAGCCCACAACAAGTATGTGTGTAGGTGTGGGGCAAGTGCTTCCCGAGCTATGTGCATATGGCAAAAGCACCCCGCCTCAGTCGTACTACTAATAACTACTTGTTCGAATCAGTACCTCTACCTCGGCCCGCTTCATCACACCATTCACTCATGGACTAATCCAATCATCAGTCCCTATACACCAAGTTCATACAGCATCAGTATACCCATTCATAATGAGCTGACATGTCCCGACATCCCGATTTACGAGCTTATATTGTGGCCATCGAAATAATGGTAGCTAGGCAACTCAAGGACTCTAACATCGTGGCTAAAGTCAGGTGCGTAGATACAGGATTGACAACTTAAAACAAACCGACTGGCTTCAGGAAGACTTATTCGACAAGACTGCGCACGCCTGCCTCGAGCGTTTGCAATCTGTGAATTTGACTGCGCCTTCAATTCTCAGCCGTTTCTCCTGCCCGCACACTCACATCTTCTTATACTACTTTCCGCCCTGAACTAATATATCTAAAATACCCACATTGAAAAGGGCGGAATATACCACTCGAATACTACGCAACAAAAACTATTTGCGTGCGCTGCGCTGAACCAAAGTTGGGTTGGGCGACCACAAAGTATTTGCACCACTGGTGCTCGTGCCTGCCAAGAACTTTCGGCCATTCATCACGTCCGACCATCTTCATTCTCAGTGCAGCACGCTTCTCTTCTCCCTTTCCTTCTCCTACCAATCCCACATTTGGAGTCAACATTTTTTTATCCCTTAGGTATGGATTCTATGGTCAAGGAATGGACAGTCCTTTTGCATCGTTGTTTAGAGCGCCGCGTCCATTCTGATGTTTTCGCTGCCGCAGTCGCGCAGCTACACGCCAAGTCTCCACTGCCAGGCCGGAAACTCGCCGCTCTGCTGCTTCGCCCACGCGTCGCAGATAACAGCAATATCGACCCACGCATTGTAATTTACCTCGAGCAACTCTTATCGCTGAAGAAGCTTGACGCCTCGGACGTTTTGATTGTCGCGCTTCTGTATTCTAAAGTCCGACTACCAGTCAAGACAGAAGAGAAATCCTCAAAAGATGCGCAATGGAGCAACCCGCCAGAATTGGAAGAACTCATTTTTCATCGTTTGCACAAGGTCTTTGCTGCAGAGGAACGTCCCGTCAACAATGTTGAGGGTGTGCACACCCTAGCTGTTGTAGCACGATGGATGCAGGCAATGGTCACCTCGCATACCAGCGATACCATGATTCAGGCCATGGCTGGCATACAACAGCCACAACAGCAGTCCATCAATGTGCGAGAGGGTCTCGCTATGCTAGTGGTTGGGGTAATCGAGAATTCAAAAATCCTCCGAATACTGAATCACCCAAAAGCTAAAGGTAAGCTTTCCTTGCTCACAGACTCCAACACCTTCACGAAAGGCGTAAATCAGTTGCACACAGTTCTGGAAAAATTCGTATTAGTGAGCCGAATAAGAGGGCCTGGTATTCACTACCGCTGTCTGTAGTTGCTGCTGTTGATAAACCCCCCTGTTTCAGAGCAGTGACTATGCGATTTCACCCCATTATGAGACCAAAGAGTGTTACTCACAATTGATTAGAGGTGCGCAAGGAACTCACGAAATCTCTCTCATCGTTTATCCCATTTCTCTCAAACAACTCGGTGGGATCTCAGACATCTCTGTCGCTAGCAAATAGATTAGAGATCTCGCAAAAACAACACGACTTGTACGAAAAGCTTCCAAACGTCAATGGCGAGGGAAACGAGAGCGCTGGCCTTGAAGTTGCTGCGCTTCAGCTTGATGCAGTAATGGAGCTGCCACAAGCGAATACGCGAGCTGGTCTCTACGTATTTCTGAATTCATTAGTAAGTCATCACGTTGCTGACCTTGTCCACTCACCACTAACAGTCACAAGCTTGTTGCACGACCACTAACTGATGACTTTGTTATCATTAGCCACTTACATACGCGTTACAAGCTAGAACCTCAGAACATGGCAACAGAACTAATCACAGCTGCCTTTGACATTCTCGCCAACGCCATGTACCGCAATGAACCCACTCAAACCTTGTTCTATCTCAAGTCTTTTTTGATCAACAAGATTCCTACTCTTCTGACGCAGATTTCCGGCTCGATATTTCCAATGACAGTTGAGATGTGTATTACCCAGGCGCTGAGCCATGTGGATCCAAACGCTTTCCCGTCTTTCTCGCAAGGCTTCGACGATATCATGGGAAGCAACAACTCTCTTTCAGATGTCAGGCAGGATTATCTCAATGCCTGTGTGCTCCACGGTCTCCTCCCAGCGGGTACTGTAGAGCGCCTTCTAGGGGAGGCACCTATGCAAGGACCACCCGCAAAGAGATACGAGAGGAAGGAATTGTTCAACCAGTGCAAATTAAATTTCGATAAAGTCAGCGTATACATCGATGAACTCGAGAATCTTGATGGAAACGCTGGTGCCATTGTTGCAGCTATTGCAGACGTATGATCCGATCCTTTTTTCAACTACAAAATAACATACTAATTTGGTCATAGTTCATTTCACATCTTTGCGATACACAAACGACCATGTATCTAAAACAGCTTTGCTGTTTGATCTTCAAGAAACCCCAAGCAATGGATGTGATGCTACAGTTCACCTCGCCTGCGAGCATACTACGACCGTTGTGTCAATTTCTCGAAGACTGGCATTATGATAGCGATCAAGGTAAGATGTCAGTTGAAAACGATGTGTGCGGTCTCTAAACAGAACAGGCGAATACCAACCCGTATACGACGAGTTTGGCGCTATACTTGTTCTCATCATGGCTTTTGTATACCGCTATGATCTGGTATGCCATGACATCGGCATTGCTCACGATACATTCATCGCAAAGCTATTGCAGCATGGACATCACAGCATCCCGCCAGATGAGTTGACTGAAGAGCAGGGTGGACATCTTGGAAGCTGGCTCAAAGGTCTCTACGACTCGGACAAGGAAGGCTTGAGTAATGAAGTATTCGCGTCATGTCGGCCGCAAGACTTTTACTTGATCGTACCAACCCTTTTCCATCAGACAGTAGCGGCTTGCTCCCTAGGCGTTTTGTCTTTTGAAACCGTCAAAGGTGGTTTAGAATGTAAGTACACACCAATTCCGCCATTTTTGTATGTAGAAATACTAACGAACATTTAGACCTGGGTGAAACATTCCTCATGCCGTCGCTAATCGGAGGGTTGACCTGGATGGCTTCCTATGCCTTGCTACAGACCCACAACGACCTAGACGCAATCACACGCATTTTCAACGCGATTTTACTCTCTGCACCATCATCCGGAGATGCACAAGCTATGCACTCCACCATCATAGCAATGGTGTCAAGCCGCCTGGAGAAGTGTTTTCGTACACTACAGCGACGAGAACCGAATCGCAACAACCTCGACTCCTTTTTGCAGGCTATCAAAGTTCACACACACTATGAACGCACCGTGTTTGCCACAATGAAGGAGCTGGATCAATGGACAAATGCACCCAATAGTACATTGAATACTTCACTGCGACACACTGTGCAACAGCTCTCACAATGGGCTTCAACGGCCTCGATGCAACCAAATCCGCCAAGCTACACACACCGTCAGCTTTACGCTTCGCTGAAGATGTTGGGCGCGGCCCGGACATTACGGGCTATTGTAGACGAGTTGAAGACGCAAACTGACAGTGGTAACGGAGCAGCAGCACTTGATGTTGGGGTATCCATTGTCTGCGCGCCAACTGTTGAGGATAGCCCCATCTCAGTAGACTGGGTTGGAAGCACGGTACCAGCGCCCACACCGCAACGAACACGTATGAACCTACGAGAGATGCTGAAGCAGGATTTCGACAATGCAGCCAGCCTAGTCGCTACCGATCCCTTGACCGCAGAGACAATAGTGCGTTTACACCGGCGCGTCGAAGCACACTTTACATCGCTGGCGGAGAGCGGACTCCAAGCACCTCCAATCAACATACCAAGCGTCAATATCACAGATATGCAGTCGCAATCCATTTCCGAGCACCTGAACCGCGCCATGGACGACGCTGCAGCCGCGAGTATGGTTGAGGATATTTCCAACATGGATAACAAGGCTCTCCAGCGCAGCATGGACGAGCTGGCCAGCACTGAGGGGCTGGACCTGTCGGGTATCGGTATGGGCAATGGCGATGCAGGAACTGGCGATATGAGCACGGATCTGGGTAACTTGCCGGACTTGGACCTGGGTGATATGGGAGGTATGGGCATAGATATGGATATGAATATGGACATGGGTGGAGGCGGAGGAGGTGATGATGACTGGGGACTTGATTTCGACAACATGTAGATGATGGTTGGATACTCTAGCATGATGTAAAGTATTGATAGAGGGGGTTGGGATATATGTTGGTTAGTCAGACTCTGTTTGAATACGGAGTAAACGTATTCCTCATCCAAGTAGTGACTTGTGTGATTCGGATATATGTTCAGCTACTTGGTCAGCCGACCACCACTCTAACTTTTGCCATGCAGACTGGAAACAAGCCAGGACATACATATCCAAACAAGACGCGAGACTAATATCAACATGGTATTGGACAGAAGCAGCGGCAAAAGCAAGACAAGACTTGAAGAGAAAAAAACAGGGAATACAAGTGTATACAGCTGCGAGTCTAAACCGAAATATGAGCATGACTACTTACTGCCGCGGAAGAACCAGCAAGGCAGATGATTTCAAAAGAGGGCTAATGCGTAAAGCATCAGACCATTCCCTCGCCACCCCTTACACCAACTCCGCCTCTGCATTCCTTTTTGCGCCAGACAAAGTTTGCGGGGAGGTAAAAAATAAGATTTCTGAACGCTTGACGGACAATAACGGCCAAGTGGAAAATGACATGAAATGAGCAACCAGATGGAGAGAGAGAGAAAAAGAAGTACCCCAGAACACACCTTAAAACTCTATACGTAAAGAAAAAGGGTCTTATGTATCAGTAATCACGACTCATGATGCGACGGCGCATCCTCCAGATGCTGATCGCCATCACCCGCATCTGGGGCCCGCGGGCCAACCATCCAATCCTCCATGGCCAGCCACTGACTCCACGTCTTCTCCGCGCCCTCAATCTCTGCAAGCTGAACTTCCTGGAGCGGCTTGAGAAACGGGACGGATTCGTGGGGTGACATGTCGTACTGGCACTTTACTTTGGCCCAGCCGACGCTCTTTGCGGTGAAGAGGTAGTTGCGACGCTCGCACTCGTGCATGGGGCCGACGCCCTTGCGCCAGTCCTCGCCGAAGAAGCCATGCATGATGCCTGCGCTGTCCATGCCTGTGACGACCAGGCGCCGGATAAAGGGCACTAGCGAGACCCATGCTGGCGGCGGCGGCTGTGCGTGGTGGCCACCTCCACTCCCACTGCTACTTCCTACACCAACACCACCCATACCGCCGGGCATGCGCGACGAAGAGACTGGGCCTTGGCGCGGCCAGCCCATGTTGTAAGCGGCGGGCCCCGAGGCGTGCGGTAGCGGGCCCGAGGAGCTCAAGAGCGGGTTCTGAGACCATTGGAACGGCAGGGAGATGTTGATGAGGGCGCAGACGGCCTGGACGCCATTGTCGTGCTGGGCGTGGTCGAGGAAGTAGCGCTGGCAGCTCTGGTAGGCGGGGTGCCATTCGAAAATGTCAAAGTGCGGTTCTGCGGCCGGCTGGGGTGGTGGTCCTCCTCCTGCTGCTGATGCATGCGCATGCGGCGACTCTGCTGCTCCCGACGACGAGCTGCCGCCACCGCTGTAGCGCGCAAAGGTTCCACCGCCGCGTGCTTGGAACGTTGGGTATCCCGCGGGGAAGTTGGTGGTAAAGCCGGGTAGGCTTGCCATGGCGAGCGCTACTACTGCAGGAACAGCTGAAAAGAGGTCGGGCTCGGTTTGGGGGGTTCTGGATTGCGTTGGTTTTGGTTGGTCGGTTTTTTTGTTGTAGATAGTAGAGAATAGGGATGGGGGGTTGTGTGTTTGAGTTCAAGGGAGTGGGAGTTGGGAGAGAGACAGAAAGATAGAAAGAGGACTCAGGGTGTTTTTAAGAGCATGCAAGGTCGCGACTTACCGAGCTGCTTGCTGCAGAGATGGAATTTCGCAGCTCTATTGGCAGGTGGTCGGGATTATTTTTTTTATAAAATACCAAAAACGCGAGAGGGGAAGAAAGAAGAATGGACAGGGTCTCAGGGTCCGAGGGCAGATTATGGTGAGCAAATAAGATCAATGACGAAACGACCTGATGGGAGATGAGGTCAGTGCCGCTAGACGAGTACGTCGGGTCGAAGAGGATGCAAGATGGATAGGATAGTGACGGTGGGGTGGGATTGAAAGGGAGCTGAGAAATGGAGCGCTACAAGATACTTTATATTGGCGAGAGGGTGAGTGTTTGTGGCCATGAGGCTCCATCTAGTACTTACTTGTATGGAGCGGTGGCTTCGGTCGCGGCCGCCAGCTTTTGCCTTGAGACGACCATCCCAGCCTTATTGAGATGGAAGCAATTTTGGAATAATCCCGGCGGTGATCCAGTCGAGGCACCTCGGCTCTAACATGTCTTCTGGTGTGGAGCCCAGCATGGTGGCTATGCGTTCGCGGGCTCGCGCATGGTTGACACCCCTGCCAAACCGGTCTATGCTAAACCACTGTACGAGCGCGGGCGAGTCGTCAACCTGCGCCTCTATACATACTTGCTTACCTGCGGACATGGATTCTTTACCATTTCATTGGCTGATCCCGTATTGCGCTCTGGCCCATGGTTGCACCCCTCTCGTTCTGTTTCCTTGAAGGCCGCAAAGGTTATGCTGTACCATGCATGGCCCTTGGTCCGGGGAGAGGATGGCGAACGAGGCCAGATCTAGGCGGCAAGGCCGAGAGATCCATGCACATTGAATCACAATACATGCTTACCCCCAAATCGTACACGGGGTTTGGTCATATCTTGGGATTGTCAATCGCGGGAGAGTGAACCGTGGCAGTGGGTTGTGTGACGGATGCACATGTAGCTGGAAAAGCCACAATAAAATGCGGCCACCAGTGCGCTGGCTTGCATTCATTCCAAGGTCATGGTAACCCACCATCAAGGTTGTCCAAGAAGAAGAAGCTCGCCGATCCCATGGGGTTTAGGCTTTTCTTACCAGATGTGAGGCTCACACGGTCATGCTGTGTAACATGTAGCCGCCAGGCCTTAGAGGCCAGACATGGAAAAAGCCACCGTCGGCGTTACAAATATAAGTAGATGTACATGTGTATACACATACAAAGCTAGCGTATACAGACGACCCGAACAATAAAGGTGAAGGGTAACTTGGCATGTGCATGTGACATGTCAAACCCCTGGCCGTGGGTGCGATCGCAATCGCGATGGTTCAGCACCCCGGCCACAAGCGGGCCATGATGTAACCAGCATCTCACCGAGCAGATCCGTGATGCCGCAGACGTCCATCCCTCACCCTCTTGTCGGCCCTTTGCAGCTTCACAAAGATAAATTTGCATCCGAGACACTACCGACCGTATTGGCAATGGCTCAGTCGTCCTTTTCATTGGCTTCGCGGACAAAGGTGCGCAGCAGGCGGTTACATAATATGGCACCCATCTCTGATCCATGCAGCTTCCCAATGGCTTGTCCATGCCCACCATCCAACTGGGCGTATATTTGACGTCCGGCAAGGAAACGTATCAAGCCGTGCGGTGGGCACTAGAGGTAAGCAATCTGTCTGGCAGTATTTCCTCGTGACTAGTGCACAGCATGCTTACAACACCAAGGCGGGATATCGGGGGTAGGGCATCACGGAGGAGCAGTCTGGCTCTCTCCCCAAAACGGATCATGGATGACGCGTGCAACAGGGTCGACTCGGCGCAGATGTACCACAATGAGCGCGAGACGGGCAAAGCCATTACCGATTTTCTCCAAAGCGAAGCAAATGTACACTCGCTCAAGCGCGAAGATATCCACTTCACGTCCAAGCTAGCGTCCAATTCTGCATACGAAACGGCTCGTAAAGCTATCAAGAGATCGGTCAAGGAAGCGGGGCTGGGCTACATTGACCTTTTCCTGTTGCATTCCCCATATGGCGGCAAGCAAGCGCGGCTGGACAGTTGGCGAGCAGTCGAGGACGCAATCGATGATGGCGAGGTCAGGATTGGAGGCGTGTCTAACTATGGCGTAAAGCATGTGAGTAGTCTGATCTGACCCTAGACCCTGGCGGCCATGATGGACTTTGCTTCACTCCTCGGTCGGGAAGTCCCGTAACTCTTGTCGCCTTGGCGCGAACACCGAGCCTGAAGAGGCAATCTGTGCAATGGCTTTTCAATTATTGAATTGCGCAGAAACGAGTCATTGCAGCCCTTAGGCACCCGACTTCGCCGAAGTCAGCTGCTGCCGCTGATGCTTTGCAAAGCGCTGCTTGCGGAGAGTTTTTTTGCTGACCAGCGGCCAACTCTAGTTGCAAGAGCTGCTCGACTCGAATCCGAGAATTGCTCCAGCGATCAACCAGATTGAAGTGCATCCCTTCAATACGCGCAAGGACATTACCTCGTTTTGTCAGCAGCACAACATTGTGGTCGAGGCATATGCCCCACTTGTTCGCGCGTTGCGGATGAAGCATCCGACGATTGTGTCCCTCGCCAACAAGTATTCCTGCACCCCTGCCCAGCTGCTGGTCCGCTGGAGTCTCCAGCACGGCTATGTTGCGCTACCCAAGAGCGTCAAGAAGGAGCGCATGATTGAGAATGCTCAGGTTGGGGGCTTCGAGATTGAAGCTGCCGACGTGGAGGCGATGGATGCTCTGGACGAATACTTGGTGACTGGTAGGTTACTCACGTGGCTGCAAGCTGTGGTTTTGTAGCTTTTACTAACAAGTGTTTTTTCCTCTTCCAGACTGGGACCCTACCGATTGCCCTTGAGCGTGGAGGTGATCAGGTCGCGTGCGTGGGGGTTTGGTAGCCAAGCCGTGGAGGATGGGGATGTCGGGGTACAATGTACATGCACGCTTTTACACACATACTACGACCAGACATGGGCAAATTCAATGTTATGGAATTGCATGAGACGTGGGTACTACAGTGACTACCTGAAGACTGCAGTCCCTTGTTGCTATTGCTACCCGTGCAAACTACTTAGCCAATAGAAAACACGTCCACGCAAGCTGTGCAATGCAACAATAATCGAGGCCGAGCATTCATTTACAAAGACATGCAATACTACCGTTACTACTGCTAAACAAGCCAAGGTGTCGCGTGTGCCTACACGTCGGGCACGGGATGCATGGGTTGCGCCCCCAGCCCACATGCTCGCGGCGGCGCCCGCCCTCGCCGTCTTATCCTCTGGCCTGACAAGCGACTAGCAAAACCTCAACGTAACCCGCCCATGGCGCCGACGTCGGCATCCCTCGCACCCCATGGATAGACAGCCTTTGACTATGTGCAATTACAGCGCCGCTACCAGCCTGCAGTGCCCGCATCCCGCCTGCTACACGTGCAAACACGCCGCGATACACGGCCTCGCCCGCCCATTGGCCCGTTGCTTATCAGTGTAAAAAGTGTACACCACGGTTTGCATCAACATGGCGCACAGTAGCCTGCCCGCGACCATTGAGCGTCCCCCCGCCGCCCAGTCGCACGGCCTGTGACGTACTGAATTCGACTACCATTTTGCTCCGCTACCGTCGTCGCAATGCCCTCCCGCCAGCGGCGAACCCTCCTGCCCACGGAGACTGCTATTATATATACCACTGAACTTCTGCTCCTACCTCTTCACAGCAACCTCTCAGACTCCAACTTGGTCAATCTTCTTACCCACACACTTCTCTACCAAGACACTCAACTTCCACTTCACCATGTCTGAGCCCGAGTTTGAGCAGGCCAGGAAGGGTATGTCCGCGGCCTACATTGGCCTTTACCCATTGCGCCAGCACAACTAACCCTCTCCCATAGAGCTCGTCTCCACCCTCGAGGCCTCTTCCCTCTTCACCAAGAACCCCGAGTACAAGAAGGCCCTCGAGGTAGTCTCTATCCCCGAGCGCATCATCCAGTTCCGCGTCGTCTGGGAGAACGACAAGGGCGAGTGCCAGGTCCAGAAGGGCTACCGCGTGCAATTCAACTCTGCACTCGGTCCCTACAAGGGCGGTCTCCGTTTCCACCCCACTGTCAACCTGTCTATCCTGAAGTTCTTGGGCTTTGAGCAAATCTTCAAGAATGCCCTCACGGGACGTATGTCATTTACCCAGACCCATGTTACTTTGTGCATAACTAACATTCTTCCATAGTCAACATGGGTGGTGGCAAGGGGGGTTGCGACTTTGACCCCAAGGGCAAGTCCGACAATGAGATCCGCAAGTTCTGTGTTGCCTTTATGAGGGAGCTCAACAAGCACATTGGTAGGTCCCTATCCCTAGCGCGTCTTTGACATTCCCTTGGTGGGGCATGCACCCGCAACGGCCTCGCATGCCTGCATTCCGACTGCACGCCATTGAGAAGCCCGCGGGTCAACCTTGCCTATCTTCCCGTCTACTTTACGTCTATCCGTCGGCGACGTTTGCTGTCTTCTTGGTACTCCAATCGAACATTTGACTTACGTAAATTTACAGGTGCCGACACCGACGTTCCTGCGGGCGATATCGGCGTAGGAGGCCGCGAGATTGGCTACCTCTTTGGCGCATACCGAGCGGAGCGCAACCGCTGGGAGGGTGTCCTTACCGGCAAGGGAGGCTCGTGGGGAGGTTCGTTGATCCGCCCCGAGGCCACTGGCTACGGTCTTGTCTACTATGTTGAGCACATGATCAACTACGCCTCGGGCGGAAAGGAGTCATTCGCCGGCAAGCGCGTCGCCATCTCCGGTTCCGGAAACGTCGCCCAGTTTGCTGCCCTCAAGATCATTGAGCTTGGTGGTACTGTCATCTCCCTTAGTGACAGCAAGGGTGCTTTGATCGCAGACGACGACAAGGGCTTCACCCCAGATGTCATCAACCAGATTGCTGCTCTTAAGCTGGAGCGCAAGGCGCTTACTGCCCTTGGGAACCACAGCTACAGATACGTCGAGGGTGCTCGCCCATGGAAGGAGGTCAAGAAGGTCGACGTTGCTCTTCCATCAGCGACCCAGAATGAGGTCTCCGAGGACGAGGCCAAGGCACTCATCGAGTCCGGTGCCAAGTTCATTGCCGAAGGCTCCAACATGGGCTGCACACAGGAGGCTATCGAGGTCTTCGAGGCTCACCGTCGCGAGAACAAGGGCAGCGCCATCTGGTACGCCCCCGGAAAGGCTGCCAACGCCGGTGGTGTCGCGGTCTCTGGTCTCGAGATGGCCCAGAACTCTCAGCGCCTGTCTTGGTCCGCCGAGGAGGTTGACGAGAAGCTCAAGGGCATCATGAAGGACTGCTTCGAGAACTGTCTCAGCACCGCAAAGGAGTACTTTACCCCTGCCGACGGCGAGTTCCCATCCCTTGTCGGTGGTGCCAACGTTGCTGGTTTCCGCAAGGTCGCTGCTGCCATGCACGACCAGGGTGACTGGTGGTGAAGACTTCGCCACTGATTTGACCATCTTTTGTACTTTTGTATACCTTACGATACCTTTATATTGGATATGGCGTTTGCTGGTTTTAGCCTTTGTACATAGATACCTCTTATGAGTAGAACAATTACGATTCAAACAATACCTTCTTGCTTGGTGTTTTTACTGTGATTGTTGATGGTTGGAAAAAAATTCAATAAGACATTTGAGTCTGCCTCCAAACTGCAAAAACAAAAAAGAAAGATCATATCCGTTATCTTTGCTTTCTATCTTCTCTCACTTACCCCTCTGCGCACAACTACGTAGACGCAACCCCGAAGACCCCCCACCTACCTCCCTCGTCACACGTGCTGAAAAGCAAAAAAACAAACAAACATACGACTGCTATCTGCTTCCCTTCCGTCACACCACCCGTTAAATCAAGAAGAAATAAATCCTGCAAGAAGAAGAAAGCCTGTACACTTCACACCCCTCATCACGATCAAACACCCCCGTCACTATCCATCGCACATCAAAGCTATGTAGCATAGCTAAGCTACCCTAAGCTCATTCCTGCATCCATCCTAGCCTCCTTGCCTCTGCATTTCCCTTGTTCCGTGCATTTACTTAATATACTAGGAAGAAAGATTCTTATAACGCAAAACGCATAGTCACGCGGGGTTACGCGTTTGGGAAGGGTGGGGGTCAAGTTGCCTTGTATGCAAACGTAGCTCTAAATGGATGGATGCATGGATGCATGGATAGACGGGCATGTGAAAGTAAGAGGGCGTGTGATGGTAAAATGTGAAAGGGTGTGTAGGTGCAATGTAGGTTGCAGGTTTGATAAGAGGAGTTGTTTCGCTCTTGTGATGCATGTCACGATTAACAGTAGGAATCTTCTGATCTTTGTTGCGAGTATAGTTAGTAGGTCTGAGCTTCGTCGCATACTACGTACCTATATTCGCTACCCGCCGTCATTCATCTTGCGCATTCTATACACACACGCAACTACATACATTCACTATTAGGATTTGGTCGCATGCTCTACACACATCCACATCCAGGTGTTCTTGCTTTCGGAAAAGCATCGGAAACGCGTGTTTTGCCGGATGCATTGCCGTGGGGGGCGGCGGCATTTTGCCTGGACTCCGACTCGGTGGAGGTACGTACTAGCTGCTAGCGCGAAAGCGGTAGGGAAGGCGGCGGCGGGCGCCTGGCTTCCGACATCGATATCGGAGTGGCAGAATAAAGTACGGGAAGTGTATCGGGAGATGTAGGGAAGGAGATTAAGGTCGGGAGAGGTAGGGATGGTCTTCTGTTCTAGTTTCCTTTGTTTTCTATGTGTGGGGATGGGCGTTGGACACGGAGTATTTTTGTTTTGTGAGAGGAATATTGTTCCACAGAACGCTTGTTTCGTAGGCTAGAGTAGTGAAATGGTCGAGATGATTTCGAAACTGCAAGTTTTCCTATGTCCTTTTTTTCTTCTATGCAAAACATGTGGTCCATTCTTTGAGTAAATCGTCTACCTCATCATTTCCTCGAGACGCCGTTTCCGATGGCGAGCTCGCTATTTCTGGCCCCGCACGATCCATCTCTTTGATATCAACTTCGAGCTCTGTAGTGCGTCAATTTTGGTTTTTCAGAAAACGGAGTACAACACTTACCATAATCTCGTTGCTCAAACTCAAATGCAGGTGCAGGCGCAGATTCAGATACTGGGGGTAGCGGGAGGTGTACTGGCACCTGTGCTGGTGACGAAAGAGCTGGTGCATATGCTGGCGAGGAAAGGGGCGGCGCATATGCCGGCGAGCGAGGTACGGGCACACATATCTCCACTTTTTCTGAAGGTTTCTGTGACGTGGAATAGTGATAGGAATAACCCGAAGCTGATCCAAAACTAAACGTCTGGGTCTGCCTCCGATGGTCTGGCAAACATGAAAATGGATTAGTTCCGTAGCGTAAATGATCGTCTTCTTTAGCATGCGGTTTACTGCTGCCAAAAAGTGTAGCTGGAACAGATTGACCTTGTCTCTTTGGTGTTTTCACGTAGGCTATGTCCTCATTCTGCCTCTTTGTTCCTTGCAGTCGTACTGGGTTTTTCTCCTGCTTCACAGCCTCAACTTTATCCCCTGCACCTGTCTCAATTACAACAATGGATTCTTTCTTCTCTTTTCCCAATATGGAACTTTTGGGTTTGTATCTTGGGATTAGAGCCTCTACATTGATATGCTTTTCCGTTTTTAGCATCACGTTTTTATTTCCCGTGTTCGAGCTACCAAGCAGGACGCTATCTAGATGGGAGCGAGCAGCAAAGTAAGATCCAATGGCCATCTGATGATCGTCTGAATGGTCATCGCCTTCAGATGTACTTGCCAGAGCTTGTTGCAGTCGTTCGATGCTTTCCAAGAGTATTCGGACATGCTGAGCGCACTCTGCAAGAGAATCAGGAGTCATCGTAGAGCCGATCGATTTGGCGACCAAAGTTGAAACAGATCTACTGTCATCAAAGGAGACCTCATCATCCTCAAGTTCAGTGTTACTATTGCTCGTCTTGAATCTTTGCAACGACTCCTCATATCTCTTGGTGGTGTTTTTTTTGTTTTCCAGTAACTGTCGAATCTCCTCTCGTTGTCTAGCCTCGGCTTCGCGGTCAAGCTTTTTTGAAGATACCTGATATGCATGCATAAGCACCTGCATTAGAAGTTGCAGCGTGCTCTTGAGTTTGTCGATGTGGCTTCGCAGCAGCTCAATCTTGGGTTCCCGGAATGGTAGTATTAGTCGACCTATCTTTCCCTTTTTGCTCTTATTCAAAGTCGCTTCAATTTCTCCAAACATTCTAGAACATTCGTCGAGAGTCTCGTTTGCTGTCGCAATAGCACTCTTCGAAATCAAGCTCAAGGTATCGTCTTGCTTAAAAATGCCGCCCAATTCCTCAATGACGAAGCTGGTAAGCTTGATCTCTTTCGCAACATCCTTGATCCTACGGTCAGCTGTCGCCACACTGTCGGCATACTGATACAAAGCCTGTGAAAGCTTCAAACCCGTCCCTGCCAATTGCAAGACACTTGCCACAAGGCCAATTGCTTCAGCCATGATCCTGCACAAACAAACCCAGTTTACTTGTTCTTTCAAAGACGACTGCACCCGTGAAATATATTTTGAAATGTTGCTTTGGTGAGTGGAAAATAAATCTAGTTTAGCCGTGTCTATCACGTGTGGCTGCCTGATCGATTAGAGCATAGCGGGGTGGGCGCTGATCCCGTGACTCGCGCGTTTCCGTTGCTGACTTCGAGTTTACCCCACAGTTCCTAGCATGTTCATTCTCCTTATGTTATACATGTAATTTAACTCCTCAAAACATTAAGCACTTATAAGACATGTACAATGCTCAAGTTTTACAAGGGTAGTCACGGGTAGACTGGCTGCGCCTTTCCTCGCGGAAACATGGCGCATTCTGAAAACCTGCACTATCACTAGCCAGCGTTCCTCCGTCATCATTGAGCAATACGACCCCTGTCCGTCAGCCGTCTTTTCTCTGATCGTCATGTAACAGCTCACGCTTATTGGACGCCACAGCTGTTCAGCGCCACAGAACCACGATATGATATCATGGGGTCCAGCGCGTAGAGGACTTGCTTAATTGTTGTTCTCGTTGGAGGAGCTTCCCCGCTGTGGGAGTTGACGCGGCTTTGATTGTATTCACACAGATTCTGAGTTTCTCACAAAACTTGCTGATTCAATTATCATCCTCACTGAGCCATTCACGACCTTGAATAATCCAACAACTCAATCTGCTCCTCGTCATTGGATTGCCGATAGAACTTTGACTTCTACCTGCGATGGGCGACGGTTTTCGGCAACCTGCAAAACTCCAAAAACGTAAGAGTCGAGAACGACAGGAACTTGAGCAGATGACCGGCGGCTTGAGTGGCCAACCAGCAGCCAACCCATCTCAACCTATTTCCAGCTACGCAAATATGACACCCGCTGAGAAAGAAAAGCGGTCAAAATGGCGCATGTCCAATCCATTCTCATCCAAAGACAAGGCATCAAAAGAAAGCATCGGCCAACCTCCAAAGGACGCAGAAAAAGAAAACCCTCGTAAAGATATCGACTCTGCTTACTACAGTAGCGAACGCAGCAGTGCCGACCCAAGCCTCGTAAACCAAACACGTCCGATCTCTGGTGAACAGTTTCACCGTCAATCATCGAACAACCAAGTACCTCTACCGCATAACCCATCGTCCAATGGACATACACAAGACAGTCTTGCGCCACCTCAGCAAACAGCCCAGCATCGTTCGAGCCATGAGGATGTGGCTAGAGAGACATACCGCCAGGCTGGTACGGGGAACATAGTCACAGTTACAACTACCACGACGACTACGACCACCACAACGACTGGTCCAGGAGGTTCTACCACAGTAATGAAACCTCATGACGGTAGTGAAGAGGGCCCACAAAGTGTACACACCTCTGGTCCTAGTCCGCCACAGCCGGCTCCGCCTCAACCTGATAATCACCACCCCCAAGGCCCAGGCCTGTCTGCTCAATCTGCCATACACCACGACCTGACTCCCCCAATACCTGAGAACGGCCCCCCGCAAGGAAACACACTCTCACCTCAAGTTTCCCAAATCGCTAGAGACTCGTCTCCACCCATTCCAGCGAAAAACAATATACGGCATAGGGTAGAGCTGGACTCAGTCTCACCGGGGATACAACGCCCAGATCCCATGGACGAAACTGCCAGCCCAGTCTCTCCCAGCAGTCCTTCACGTGCAAATTTCTCCTACCCAGCTCGGGCACCACCTCAAGGCGCTCCTCGGCAGTCTCTCGGAAACAATATACCGCCTGTACCACCCATGCCCGAGCATCAGCATGCTGTTATGCCACTATTCGTACCAACCCAACAACTACCCGACCTCCACCCTGGCATGGAATCAAACGACGCGAACCGTCCAGGGCCCTACCGACCAGGCCATGACCTATCCAAGCAAAGCACAATGACCAACCTCAAAGCCGCAGCCGCCGGCATTCATGTACGTTTTCCCTCCCTCAAACCTTTTTACTCCCAAAAGCAAAACCAACCAGTACTCCTAGGGCGCAGGAGAAACCCTCCGAGGCACATTCAACGACACCTTCGACCGCCGCAACCCCGCCGCCCACGCAAAAAACCAAGCCGTAATCGAAAAAGGGCGCTCGGAAATCGAAGCTTCGCGCGCGAGGCAATATGCAAGTCAGGCGCAACAACAGCAACAATATCAACAGCAACAAGCGTCCGTAAGTGGAGACGCAGCAACTCATACTCCTCAACCAGCCGAGGCCAAGACACCGTATATGGGACCGCCGGTTTCCGGCTCACAGATTGAAGGTAGGAGTGGGCATGGGAGGGGCAAGTTGAGTAATATCATGAAGAAGATGAAGGAAGGACCTACGACGTCCAAGGAGGGGACTGCAGGTCATTCTTAGTGGGGATTTTGCTTTTTTTATCTATCTAATATGGCATCAGCGTGTTTGAGAAGCAAACCTGGCATCTAGAAAAATGATGGAATGGATTTTTGGGTATGGATATGATGATGCATTAGCGCGTTTTGGAATTTGATTGTCAGTTGTGTGCCCGTGGGTCGAGGTAACATTTCGTGGCTGTTGATTGTTGAAACAACATGTCACTATTAAGGGCTGAGATTTGCATCTCGAGTACCAGAGCGCTGGGACGGAAATAACACGTACGGGATTATGTCACAGCAGCGGTCAACAAAAGGTTTGGGTGAATTGAATCTCGTTTAATGACTATGGTAATTACCTCATAACTTCGTAACATGCATCTTGTTCTGAAATTAAAGTCGCGGTGTCGTGGGAACCAGCACACGCTTAACCGTTGACAATAGTACCGCCGTTGGCGTGGATAGTCTGGCCGCTGATGGAGCTGCTGTCGTTGCTCGCCAAGAAGACAAAGCAAGTAGCAATCTCACTAGGCTGCGACGGCCTGCCGATTGGCGCGGTGAACTGCTTGATGGCCTCGTCGTTCATAGTCGCGGGGATGAGTGGGGTCCAGACAGGGCCGGGAGCAACAGCATTGACGCGAATACCCTTTCCAACATACTGGTTTGACAGACCGCGGGTGAAAGAGATGATGGCGCCCTTGGTAGAGGTGTAGTCAAGGAGGTCTGGGCGGCCGATGTATGCGTTGATTGAGGCGTTGTTGATGATGGTAGCGCCGCGCTTCATGTGTGGCAGGGCGTACTTGGAGAGGAAGAAGAATGGGTGTATGTTGGTGTCAAAGGTGTGGAGCCATTGATCCCTGTGCATTATTAGCCTTGTATATATCAACAATCCGCTTCTGTACTTACTCGGAGAGATCGCTGATATCGTTGACCATCATCTGGTAAGCGTGGTTGTTCACAAGGATATCAATGCCACCCATAGCCTTGACAGCCTCGTCAATGACCTTTTTGCAGTTTTCCTTTGGCTTGAGGTCGATGGCGAGGGTATGGCACTTTTGGCCCTTCTCTTCAACCATCTTCTTGGTCTCTTGGGCGTCCTTTTCTTCCTCGGGCAGATAAGCAATGAAGCTATCAGCACCCTCCATAGCAAACAAGACTGCTATTGAGCGACCAATGCCTGAGTCTCCGCCTGTGATGATGGCCTTCTTGCCCTTTAGCTTGCCGGCAGCTTTGTACTTTTCTGCGCCGCCTTCAGGTGTGGGAAGCTCATCAACCTTGGGCATGGGATCAAGCTTTGATTGTAGACCGGGCACCTGCTGGTGCTGAACATCAGGCTGGAAGCCTGGGATGCGTTGTTAATGGTGGCCAGTAGTTGATGATTATTCGTGCTTACCCTGCTCGAACTGTCCCTTGTCGGAAGACATGGTGTTTTTTGCAATGCTTGTGCCTGGAAATTAGATGAAAAGGAAATGAATTCTTTCAACAGTTTCGTGAGGCAGAGATTGTTAGTACAGTTGTGGTTCACGTTCAGCATGAGACTTTTATTGATGTTGGGAATTTACCGTGACATCACAAGGCGGTCACTGCGCGTTCATGAGCAAAGGTGGAGCAGTACTCCGGAAGCGTCAGGGACGCTGTACCAGGACCTTTCCATCGACAATAGAAAAGCATCAATCGATGGTGTATCACAAACTGCACGAACTGGTGGGAACTGCCTCAGCCTTACCCGTGGCTTGACGTCGTTTCTGTGTAGCCACGTGATCAGGGCGCATATCTGTACAGATATGTATTCTTTTGCAACCAACGTATGCTAGCTTCAAACACCAGCAATAAGTAAAGCTCTAAACGTGGGGTACGGCTGCAAAGGGCTGTGATTTCAAGTAACTCGACTGGCGCGCATCGCTACGTCATCACTCGTGCACAGCCAACAATAACAATGCTTCTTGCTCGGGTCCAGACTCTAAATTGCGAAACTCTACAACACTCCATTTCCCCTTCTACCGCGATCAACAGCAAAACCCCTCCTCACAAGCCCACAATGACGCTCAAGAGGCTATTCAAAGATGCATATGACGTAGCCGCACAGCCCCACTTTTAATCAGGGTCCAGCAACCACAACCCGCTATGACCGCATCCAGCCACAGCCCACGTCGTGATCGCTGACCCCCAGACACCAGCCGCCATCATCACCCGCTTTCCAGCCCAATCAACAGCACGCCTAGATCCAATGCCACGACAAACTACCACACAAGAAACGTCATGCGACACGAGCCACCAACGTGTGTGCCAGGGGTGCCAACACCCAAGTTGGCTTGACGGGACCCTGCATGACGTGAGATGTCGATGATCACAACTCCATCTGGGCGGCTGGACATTGGAGTCCTTGATTTCTTGGTCTTGGGGACGCTTCCACCAAGGGTCTAGAGGCCTTGAGATAGATAGGCAGATCAACAGCTGAGGAGCAGCAGAATGATATAAGATGAGCTATTGTTGCGTGTTTCGTATCTCCATCTTCACAATACATCTCTCATCAACTTGAACAATCAACACACGCAGCCAACAACTCAACTACCATCATCAATCTACTTTACTTTATCAATCACCAAAAATAAACTCAATAACCATGCCTCTTGCACGCCGCTCCGCTCCCCGTACTGCCCGTACCACCCGCACTACTGCACGCCCATCTCTCAAGACCCGTCTAATGGGAGGCCGCAAGACACGCACTCACACCAAGCGTGCCCCCGCAGCCACCACCACTACCACTACCACCACCAGGACCACCCGCACTACTGGTGGTCACCACGGTCACGCCGCCCCAGTTCACCACCACAAGCGCCATGCCACCATGGGTGACAAGGTCAGCGGCATGATGATGAAGCTTAGGGGTTCTCTGACTCGCAGGCCCGGCCTTAAGGTAAGTCGAAAACAACCTACAACGACAAGCGATTTTCTAATCATTTCATAGGCTGCTGGCACTCGCCGCATGCACGGAACCGATGGTCGCAATGCCCGCCGCGTCTACTAGACTTTCCAGCCGATTTAGGGGCAAGATTTCTTTCATGTATTAATAGCGCTGTAACGATTGTACGATATGAGGACAGATACCCAATATTTTGAGCGTTTAGCATTCAATAAACTGTTCAAACCTTAATATGTTTCCCAAGCCACTATACGTAACTTGAAAAGACTGCAGCAAAAGTGTATGTTCATTGGTGAAACAACGACGCAACCCTATTTGCACGAAACACAGTGAAGATGATTAATCAGATGGATAACTCGAAATCCACAGACTTATAGCATTTTTGTGCGCAGGTATGTCAAAGGGTTGGGCAAAATGAGTAGAAGGAAAGAGTGATAGTATGCATCTAGTAGTCGATTAGGAATTAGAATAGACACGATAACTCCATATGACCTAAATTACGCCATGATAAAGTGTAGGAGGGACATGTGCCTAACAGATGATAAGGTCATGGCCAGGGTTTACCCGGCTTAACTCCGCCCCATAGTCGACCAGATCTACTAGCGCGGGCATGCAAACCATGCAAACACCACAACTAGCATCGACTGATCTCATATACGCAACCCTCCATCCGTGCAATTGCGCCCCTACTACAACATTAACTCGCACCATGCCACCGCCACGGCTCTCCCCGGCTTTGATACGAGCGCGGCCTCAAGCACGATACCAATGTCTCCGCCGCATAGCGCCCCTCCGCCATGCGTCCACCACACCACCACAGCAAAATGACATTAAGCCCGTCGTCCCTTGGAAAACCCCAACGAGCGTTTGGTCTCCCGAGAACCTCATTCCCCCACCTAAAGATGGCGAGATACTGCTCGAGCGACGCCCAAATCGCGCCCTGCCACCGTATGTCGAATCCCAAATCCTCTTCTTCCCACCTGTCAGAGAAGACCTAGAATTCACAAAAAAAAGGAATAAGCTTGAGTTAGAATGCTAACAACATTGCTAAACAGGGTTCCACCCCTAATATCCCCACACGTCTTGCGCACGTTCCCTATCTTTGTCATCGCAATGGCCGTCTCCCTCTTCGCCTTCTTCAACTACCAGAAGCAAGAATCCTCCGTTGTAACCGCAACCCTCTACGCACTGCGCACTAACCCGCTCGTGCGCGAGCAGCTCGGCGATGAAATATATTTTGCGTCAAAGTACCCGTGGATCAAGGGTGAAATCAACCAGGTCCATGGCCGCATTGATATCAGCTTCTGGGTCAAGGGAACCAAACAGGCGGGCGAGGTGCGCTTGAAGTGCAGGCGAAAGGGAAGAGGTGGATTGTATTATACACAAGAGTATAGTTTGACGATGGAGGATGGCACGAGATTTGAGTTGTATGATCCACAGGGCAATGCTATTGATCCGTTCCAGGAGATTGCGGTGGAAGAGTGAGGGGTAAAAGTTGGTTGAAAGAGGGGCGGAAGAGCGTATCTGCAACGAGCGGAGGGTCCATGTATGAAATTGTGTGGGTTGGAGGGTTTCAGCAACGCACGTTGCTGGGTCGGTGGGCTGAACACCTCGAACAATGTTCGTTGACGTGAAAAAAAACGCCAACCCTATATGAACCGTCCGATTTACTGTATAACACGTGTACATATAGATATATGCATCGCACCATGTAGCAACAGCGAAAGATTCGCATTGATAGCAATGGAATTAAGGACAATACTGGACATTCCAATCTATAACCACGTGTATATTAGAAACACCAATCCTGAAAGAGAGTAGAGAAGCATCTCGAAAAAAAAGAAGAAACAAACAATGAAATGATCGTAGTCCTGATTTGCCTTCATCGAAGAAGGAGAAAAAAGATATACTCAACAGGGGCATCCATCATCTAACATGATAAAGCTCCCCCGGAGCGCCCGGCCCGCCTTTCATCCCGCCATTCTCGTAGTAAAATCATTCTTTTCCATGTAAAAAGAGAGAAAGAGAGGAATGTAGTACTGCCGAAAAAGAGAAAGAAACGCCCGCTGTTATATCTAATCTGTAGCAGTAATGCATTTTGTGTAATGCAATCAATCAGTACAAGAAAAAACAAGAAAAAAGAAAGTGGTATCATGATTTCGCCATCCATCCTCCACCCCCAACCCCACACTTAACTTACTCTCCTCTTGGCCTTGTCCCCTCGTCAATCATCAGCGACTAAGACAGACGAAGATCCTTCTCAAATCTTATTACTATCAAAGTCAAACTCCGGACGCCTCACACTAGGATGATGCGCAAGATTCGGCTTAACAAGGTGCGCAAACTGCGGGTTGACATTAAGCGGATAGCTAATCTCCGGCATACGGGCAGTCTCCTGCTCTTGCTCTTCGCGCTGGCGCTGCCAGAAGCGCTTGCGGGAGGGTTCGCCGGAGGTGGTGCGCGAGTAGATTGACGATGCGGGCCGGTTGGAGAAGACGTTGAGTTTGGCGGGAGACGTTTGGGAGTGGTAGGAGGGGAGGAAGGATTGGCGGGCTGTGCGGAGGGCACGGAGGGGGTTGAAGTCGAATTGGGAGAGGTGGTGGGTGTCTGTTTCTTTGGGTTGGGGTTGTGGTGGTGAGCCGCAGTCTACGGGGGGAGTGGGCATGCGCATGGGTGGGGTACGGGAGGAGGTGCTGCCGGTTTGGTGGGAGGAGAGGGTGAAGGGTTTGAGTTTGGACTCATAGTTTGAGCCGGTCCATTGGGATTGGGTTTCGAGGTCTTCGTGAAGCGTCATGGCGCCGCGGGAACGGACCATGCGGGCGGTGATTTTGCGGGATTTATCGCGGAAGATGAAGCTGGCGATTATGTTGAAGAGGCCAATGACGAAGGAGAGGACGCCCGAGGCGACGAGGAGACGCCAGAAGGGCATGGTAAGTGACTTTTGGCTTGTGGCTTCCTTGTTCATGTTGCCGAGGAGGTTCATGCCGATGATCATCATGGCACAGCCTAGAGTGACGAAGCCATGAGAGGGGCTCAGGAGTGGCCAGTTGCGGGCGAAGAAACTGCGGAAGAGCGAGCATTCGGATACGATGAAGAAGAGCCCTGCAAATGCGGTGATGACATGGCTCGTGGCATCGAAGAAGAAGAACTGAAGAGAGTCAGCTACCAACAATGTTGAAATCAACCACTTTCACGTACCTTGGAAATGATAAAAGTCTTGACAAGCATGACAACACTGCTAGCAACTACTGAAGCCAGAGCAATGATGTTGAGTCCACGAAGGACGTTGAGAATGATGTAGCCCGGCCCGGCCAGGTGTTCAGCTGAGAGAAGCGCCATTTCGTTTTTGTGTATAGAGAAAGAGTTGTGGATGCTGGAAGATTCAAGTTGGCGTCGTGGGGCAATTGGGTCTGTCCAGCAGTTGGTTGAGTCAGAGGGAAAGGCGCGTCTAGCGACAAAGGTTGGAAGATAGATAGATAAAGAGTGGGTGTTGGTTTTAAAAAGGGCAAGGTTGAAAGTGAATTAGAAGGGGAATTTCCCACGCCGTCAAGGCAACAGGCCTCTAACAGTAGCAACAATGGCAAACAATAGAGACCGAGAAGATGAAGAGTGAAAGGCGAGAAAAGAACCCAAGGTGAAGAAGGGGACCTCAGGACAAAACTGACCCGCTAGCTCTGGCCTGGCCGTTCTCGTGAACCTTACAATAGCACAGGCGGGGGCGTATGGCGCTGGATGCTCGCACGGCTTCACGCTCGAGTGCTTCAGGCTTGAGTGGCTCAAATGAGCCCAAGGACTATTACTGCGCTTGTGCTGCCGGCTCATGTGAAACGCTCCCCGCTAGCCCCGGCGGGAACAGCAGAGCAACAACGACCCAGTCGTCCAATTCCCAGCTGGCGAGGCTGGCAGCGAAATTGTCGCGTCGGCAATCATACAGGGTTGCTGTGGGGTTCTAGCATCCAGACGATCAGGCATGGTCTGGTCGACGTGCGGCAGTCGCGTATTGATTGGCTTTGGGGCCTTAAAACCACATCGCGTAGCCGCAGGGATCTGGTTTCAGGTTTAGAAACATCTGCACGCCGTGAGCCCCACGATCTGCGGGCGGCAAGATATGGGCAGACCTTATCTCGTTAGCACTGCCGTGTCACCAATGCGAGGCGTTGTTGGGAAGTGGAACCCGCTGCCCCCACAGTCTGGAAGCATCTTGTGTGGAAGCGCTTGCGGTGGAGGGGTAAGGTTATGGCGCCACGCCAGGGCCTGTCATCACCACCCAACTTTAAATCGCGAACCAGTCCACATGTCCACTTCTCAGTCGACATTTTTAACTCGGCAATAGTTTCAATAGTCGACACAGTGTGCACGTCACTGCCAACATGTTGTGCAGCTTGTTGTTTTTGTTTTTGTTACTCCAAGATAATTCACTTGATTGGAAATTAATCGGGTATGATGCTGTAAACTGAGCCAAGACAGAAAGCCCGGAACCTCCGCTATGAGGCCGACATTGGTGTTTGTGATAAATCAGTTGACGGTAAGTCCGGCTCCAAGTCTCTTCCCCACCCTGTATACACGTCGTGGTCGTGGCAGTCGACCGTTGACCTGTTTAGCTCATTAACATATCGATCTACAAGCGTCGTACTTGGCTGACTCACTAAAGTTCCATCCCGGAAAGCCAACTCGACCCCATCGTTCATTGGCACCGCATGGACCGGGAGATTGAAGACTTCACGCAACGACCGGGGTTCATCACATTCCCTGGTGACGGCTTCGTTTTTTGCGGGGTACCCTTCTACTTCCGAAGATTGAGTGTTCCATGCTCCATCACTTTCATCATGAATGTCCATTCGCCTATACCTTCGAACGTGCGCTAGCCGTTGGTTTGAATCGAATAACGCTTTGCGTGAAGGTCTTGCCCGGATCTCTGCCACTTTCATGACCTTCTCCTCTGCAGTCATCAACATGATTGAAGGCCGAGTGCTACGAGGGTATACATGGTGAAAGCTCGTCTCGCGCTTGATTTCAGAAGCATACTCAGCTATGTCCTTTACAAGAGATGAGTCAGATAACTTGAAAAGGTCGGGCGGTAAGTCACCGTTGGAAGCGGTGGTAGCTGGCGATGGAATGAAGCTGGAATCCGGTATTGCCGATGTGATTGCAGAAGACCGAGGACATGCTGCACTGTTGAATTCATTTCCTTGGCTGCTTTTGATCACGGTAACAGGCCGGACGGCATGCTTTCGGTCATGTTCTTGCGAGCATTGCATGATATACTCTCGATATTCCTCCTCGTATCGAGCTTTAAATGCTGTGTTGGCAAAGCTATACACCAAATGGGCCCCATGCAAACCACTCGCCTTGTCGCTACGAAACTCTTTGCGTGAAAGAACAGCCTTGAGGCTCTTTTCCCATGCAGACTGCCCCTTTTGAAGGTAATGGAATTTTTGGACCAGCCAATCAACAATCTGCGAAGCCGTCATACTTGCACCATTTGCACAAGCCAAGGCTATCCTAGCTAGCTCTTGGTTTGTATGGCGCTTCTGACACGCGGGTGAATACATGTCACCCAGATCCGAACGTAAGGAAATTTGGGGAGACACAGATGGGCTTATACCATCGGGAGAGCCCTCTGAATTCACATTTCCCGACTCCCGCTGCACAGAAAGCAACTCACGCGAGACTGTGTCATCAGTTGAAGGTGGTTGTCGAGAAACGTGAGTCTGAACCTCATCTACCATGTGGGAAACATGTGGTACAATTGCTGGTGGCTCACCCATTTGTGTTGTCTCTGATGCGCCAGGTGATTTTCCATAATCATTTTCGCACTGCTGTCCGTTGCGCGGTGACTGGAAGGAGGCATTGTGGAGAGTGTATGTTCCGCGTGTTGCGACTGCTTGAAGTACGGTTCCTCGTTCTGCATTATTGGAAGCAGAGATTGGCTCTGTGGAGTTACTGGGCTCTAGGTCGTTGCATGATGCAGGAAGCGTGTAAGGCGTTGCATGATCATTGATCTTCCCTATATTCGACTCGAGCGTTGGTTGATGTGAATAAAACCAAAAGGAAGTCTTGGTCTCATCTGCTCGAGTAGTTCCAGCCATTGAAAAATTGAACTTGGTCAATTCTGTGCTACTCGTTGTGGGTGGTATATTGCAGCGAGCAGCGATATCAGGAGTCTCAGGTATCTCTAGTTGTCTTGAAGAACTGGTAGTTACGAGGTTGACTTGAGCTTCAACACTTTGCTCCTGAGATGATGAATCAAGATTGTCAGGCTGACCCAAACGGTGCATATGTGCTCTCAGGTTATCTGAGAGGCCAAGGGGCTCAGTTTGGGAAGATGGCTCAAAGACTTCCTTAGGCCTATATAAGCTTTCTAAACTCCTTGCGCTTAGAGAACTAGCACGGAAATCCCGAGTATCGACAAGCTCACTAGCGGTGGTCCCCTCGGGAGGTCTAGACGACTTCGCAGCTGGAAATCGTGCGCTTCGCGGCTTGAAGATCTCTCTCGCTGCAGAGTATCTAACTGAGACCGACTTCGAAGACACTAGGGGCTTAGCAGGTTTTTCAGTGTCGCTCAAACATGTTGAACACCTCCAATGTTGCCTGACGGTGTTAGCCTTCGTTCAATGCACAACGCTACGATAGCTTACGGGTCAAGCCCTTGGGTCAATGACGGTTTCCGACAGCTGTCATGATATGTTCTAGCACATCCTGCACAGGCGATAATTGGGTTATAGCTTGTGGCTGTAGTTTTGTCGCATACTCGGCAAGTGGGTTTGAAAGAGGACTCCGACTTTGACAGCGCTTTTGAGGAACCGCGAGCTTTCTGTATCAGGGAGGCATTGCGGCTTTGGTCTCTTCGCGCATGATAGCCAGGAGATGCTTGTAATGAACGTAAAGTTTGTGACTGCCTAGAAAGATGTTCATGGTTGCTTTGCGCACCTGTGTAGAAGGCAGACAGTCCATGCAAGCTGCGAGGACGAATTAGTTGAGCCTTGATACATACAACAACCTGATGCACAATACCTATCCTTGGACGCACTGAGGCCTGTCAAGTTTGAGAAATCTTGTCTCACCTGTGGCTCGTCGCAGGCTGTACGCTTACGCTTGAGCGGGGGTGGTGATATTGCAATCAGCCGAGGAGTTTGCCTTCGGCCTGGGATAGCACTGGGCTTCGATATAGGATCCCGAGAATCCACACTGGGTCGGTCATGTGTGGATACGTTGCTGTTCGTGCTAATATATGATAGTCGTCGTTCTTTGGCGTATCTCATCTGAAGCGCTGAATAGGAAGAAAGAATGAACCTAGCACGGTACATGCGGGTTAGCTTTCTATTACAACGCAGGAACGGTGTGTGTCACGTGAGTGGAGAATGCGTCAGGTCTTTTCAGTTTTATGTAAAGCAGCACTTCGCCCCATCGGAGGCTCCTCCTTCGGTTCCACTGCGGGCAAGCAAACACGGGCAAAATGCGCCAGAATGCAGGATGCCGCAGGGCAGCCACAAGGCAAACCGTCACAATGGTTCGGCGATCTAACCTTTTACCAGTGGTCATCACGCATACGGAATACGCGTCGGTCTGTAGTGGGGCTTAGCTTACCTGTGCTATAGCAATAGGGCTGAGTCTGGTGAGACGCGCCTTGGATGGAATGCAGAGTTGGGCACAACATGGGTGAAAGAAGAATAGAACAAAATGCAAGCACAGTGGTGTGAATGTGGCCATGCAGACGCGACACAGGATTTAGCAGTGGGCTAGCGCGGAGCGAGCACAGAAGCGAAGGCAGCCAGGGACCTCGTGGTCGTAAAGATTAACCGTTACAGCGCGTCATCACGTGATGGCTGGGCAAGGGCAGAACCAGACCCCCCGCCCAATGGCGCGCCAGTGGGGCATGCGCGCATCCATCTGGCCTTTGGGCGCATGTGCTTGCTTGCCCGTGGTGTCATTGAGACAAACACTTACGCTCTTTTTTTATTTGCAGCGCAAGCGGGGCCACGTCTCGCCGCACGCAGTAACCATGGATTTCCTCAAGTCTGCCGTTGCCTCTGCAATTTCAAAGGGCCCAGCGTTTGGCTACACATTTGGCGATCGTGTCGACTTGAACGACTCCATCTGGACGCTGCACAATGGCACAAAGCGAGTATGGCCCAGATATCTGCACACAAACACACACGCAAACAGCTGTTGACAACTGGGGGCTAGGACGACGGCTCCAAGTGCAGCATCTTTTCCTTTGACATCACGGCAAACAAGTCTCGACTGCCTCTCGCCCGCAATGCGCTCCGAAAGTTACGAACCCTGCGCCACCCAGGGGTAGTCAAAGTCCTCGATACCGTCGAGACCGACACATACATATACATCGCCACAGAGCGACTCAGCCCGCTCAGCTGGCATGTAAAGAGAAGGAGTCTGACTGAGGAAACTACCAAATGGGGGCTGCACAACGTCGCAAAAACGCTTAAGTTCGTAAATGCCGATGCTGCATCCATACACGGCTGCATCCGTCCAGCCTCCATCTTCTTCAGTGAAAGTGGCGAGTGGAAGCTTGGCGGCTTTGATGCGCTGAGCTCTGTGAAGGAGGATGACTCCATCATACCCACCTATGGCAGTCTCATACCTGATGCAGCACGATACATGGCGCCAGAAGTTTCCAAAGGAGGATGGGAAGTTGTCAAGCAAAATCCAACACACGCTCTGGATGCGTACAACTTTGGTATCTTGATCTTTGAGGTTTTCACTGGCAACTACAACAGCAGCGACCAGTTGGGGCAAATGAAGAGCATCCCTCCAAGCATGCACCAATCCTACAAGCGCCTTCTCAATCCCAACCCCAAAGCACGTATGAGCATCAGTCAGTTCTTGGACCAGGGAAAGCGTGTAGGCGGGTTTTTCCAAACACCACTGATTCAGGTCACGGATGATATCGAGAATCTTGGTCTCAAAGCTGAGGACGAGCGGAATGAGTTGCTTGGGTTGGTTTCCCTGCGATAATACCTTGACCAAAGATGCTAATTCGTATCAGGAAGCTGGATGCGGTCGCAGACGACTTTCCTGCTGATTTCTTCAAGATGAAGGTACTCCCCGAACTGCTCAAGTCAGTAGAATTTGGGGGTGGAGGTGCCAAAGTATTTGGTACAGTGATGCAAATCGGGCAGAAACTATCAGAGGAAGAATATGAGGCCCAAATCACGCCAGTCGTGGTACGATTATTCGCCAACCCTGACCGAGGCATTCGTGTGTGCCTCCTGGACAATCTGCCGCTGATGATCGATCATCTCCCACAAAAACTTGTCAGCGATAAAATCTTTCCGCAAATGGTAAGCCGCATCAAGAGAATCTTCAAGTTTGTTCTGACCTTCATAGGTTACTGGGTTCTCAGATGTCGCCCCTGTGGTCAGAGAACAGACAGTAAAGGCTGTTCTTACGGTAGTGCCTAAACTTTCAGACCGAATCATAAACGGCGAACTTCTCCGCTACCTAGCAAAGACTGCCAATGACGAGCAACCTGGTATCCGGACGAATACTACGATTTGTTTAGGCAAAATCGCACGGAACTTGGGTGCAAGTGTAGGTTTATTCAATATGTGCTTGGAGTTGTAGCATGCTAATGCCTGGACAGAGTCGAGCTAAAGTTCTCTCTGCCGCCTTCTCACGTGCACTTCGCGACCCGTTCGTACATGCACGAAATGCAGCCCTTCTGGCATTGGCTGCAACCGCGGATCTTTTTAGTGAGGAAGACTGCGCAAAGCAACTTCTCCCGATTATGTGCCCGTCGCTCGTGGACAAGGAGAAGCTTGTGCGTGATCAAGCTCAAAAATCCGTTGATGTATATATTGCACGTATCCGCAAGTTTGCTGCTACCATGCCTGAGACTGTATTGCCATCGCCAGGACTTCCAACTGGTGCAGGATCTTCGCCGCGCATGGGGACCCCAGCCAACGACACTTCGTGGGCTGGCTGGGCTATCTCAAGCTTTACAAATAAGCTGGCAACAACAAGCGGACAGATGCAAGCTGGCTCAGGGGCTAATGGAGCAGCTGATCAGAGGCCCTCTTCTGTTCCGGCTGTTACAACTCAACCACCAGTTCCGCTAGCAAGTAAGCCAGGCATGACACTCCACAGCGCCAAGAGCACTGCGTCCATACCCACCATCGCATCACCGGATCTAGCCGCTGATTTTGATGATGAGGCAGAAGACTTCAACAACGATTGGGGCGGCTTTGTTGACGAAGAGGACAAATCAAAAGAGGACGAGGATCCATGGGGCACGCCAGCAGTATCAAAACCAACATCTACTACAGTGTTTGATGACAAGGGTGAGCCTGACTTTGCGGGATGGTTAGCAGCACAATCGAATGCCAAGAAACCCATCAAAAACACTCTACCCAAAGGTCTCACCAAGTCTACTACACCAGCCGTCAAGGCATCCAGACCTGTGATTGGAGGAAGGTCAAGTACAACAGGATCGGCAATGAGGAAGGTCGTTGTAGCACCGAAGGAGACCAAGAAGGAAGAGCCAAAGGCGAATGAGGAGGAAGAGGAAGGGTGGGGCGATGCATGGTAGTCGTCTCGTGTCTTGTAGACGACGTCGATTGTTCAGCATAGCGAAGGCGTCTTGCAGGGTAGATTGCTTAATAATACATGTCTTATTCGATACTGATGTGTAGTTTTTAGGTCATGACGGTCTAATGGATACAGTATGTTACACTCATTACCACTCATTTGAGTTTACTCTTTTTCCTCCTTTTCACGCTTTCCGAACGTGTACGCCAAACCGCAACCTACGACGTTGACTGCGCAAAGAGCCAACGATGCTCCTCTTACCACGCCTCGTACAGTGAATTTGTTTCTGATGCCCTATCTTCTTGTTAGTTTTGCAAGCATCGATTGGCTTAGGTGGCGAGCGAGCCCTTCACCCGTGGCAGAATTGAACATACCTGACTCCTTCGCATAGCAAGCAAAGCATATAGCCCACTCCATGCAGCAGTTATACCAGCTGAATCCGTCTTGTAGTTGCTCAGATTCAGATATGATGAGAACAGCAAGACTGGTGGGAACATCATAGGGAAAATTTGGAAGGGCCGAGCATGTTGGGCTGTGATGAGCGTAGCCAACAGCGTAGGTGGTACGGAGTTTTCTGTAAATAGTCAGCCAGTTTGATGCGTACATATGCCAATGCCAATGCCAATGCCAATGCGTAGAGTGAGGCACGTGAGTGGTGGAAACAGGAAAGAGGCATGACAAACGTACCTCCCCAATTGCGGAGGGATTGAAGCGCAGATTGTTTGGGTGGTTGAGACATTGTAGATACGGCAAACTTAAGTGGGGGGCAACAATGGACAGATTGTATGTATAGAGAGGTGTGTGATTCTTGGAGAAATGGTTGCGCAAAGAGACCGGGGTCGAGGGATTGGTGAAGTTCAATGACGTTAGGTCAGGAAGTGGGCCGTCAGCCCGTGCCAGCCTAGATTCGGTCAACTGGCCTCGTCGGGTCTCGCGAACTTCAATAACAGATAGCGGCTTTAACCCACGACTCGAACCACAACACCGCACCGCCGCTTCCGCACCACTCGTTTCCCGCACCCAGACACACACGGTGACTTTTGATATAACATAGGCCAGCCATCTATTGCTTGCGCATAGGCTTTTCACTAACACCGCTGCCCACACGGCGGCTTAATCTCCCCCATCCACAAAAGCACACGCATACCCCACACAACAATAGCCCTCCGGCCAACATGTCAGGCAAAACCTCTGGCTCCGACGCCAAATCGCGAGAACATCACGACGGCAGCGCCGGCCGAGCCTTCACCGTAGAACAAAAAGCCGCCGTAATACGTATCAAGCAATGCGCGCCAACCGCTTACTACAAGATCCTTGGGCTTGAGGAAGTAAAAGCCACCTGTTCAGACTCGGACATTAAGAAGGCATACCGCAAGCTCTCATTACTTACGCATCCGGACAAGAATGGATACGACGGTGCAGACGAGGCGTTCAAGTTGGTCAGCAAGGCATTTCAGGTGCTGAGTGACCCGGATAAGAAGAAGAAGTACGACCAGTTTGGATTGGACCCTGACGCAAGGTTCGATCCGCGGGCTGCGGCGGGAGCGAGTGGTGGTGGAGGCCCGAGTCCGTTCGGAAATGGATTTGCAAGGAGAGGGCCGGCCGGCTTTGAGGAGGAGATGACACCAGAGGAACTATTCAGACAATTCTTTGGCGGCGCTTTCGGAGGGCCTTTCGGTATGTCCAGTACCCTCAGAGACACTGTGCTTGGCAGTGGTATCACAGTCCAAAAAGACACTGTAAACTAACATATAACGCAGGCGGCATGGACACCGGCCCAGGCTTCGTCTTCAACCTTGGTGGCGGCCCAGGAATCCGCGTCCACCAATTTGGCGGCGGCCACCCACGCAGACGCCCCGGCACCGCCGCGCCCCCCGGCTCCGAAGGCCAACAAAACCTCTCTTCTGCGTTTGCGAACCTCCTCCCCCTCCTTTTCCTCTTCGTCCTTCCCCTCCTCTCCTCCTTCTTCTCTTCTTCTTCCTCTACATCCGCAGGCCCCAACCTCGTCTTCGAAACCCCCCGCACACCTAACACACTCAAGCGCGTCTCCTCTCGCATAAAAATCGACTACTACGTCAACCCCAAGGACGTCCACGACTACACTCCTAAAAAATGGCGCAAGCTTGACGAGGTGGCCGAGCAGCAGTACGTTCACATTACAAACACGAGGTGTCAGTCCGAGAAATACAAGCAGAGGCAGCTTATGGAGGAAGCCCAGGGCTGGTTCTCGGTCGATATGGAGGCTATGAATAAGGCGAGGAATATGGAGTTGAAGAATTGTAATAAGCTGAAGAAACTGGGGATAGATGTTTACCGGGCGTGACAGTAACTTATGATTGTATTGTTTTTCCTAGGCATATTATGGACTGTGCTATTCTTCCTGAGTTGTTGGATTGAAATTTTTGATATGAGCGACCTTTTTCTTTAATTTTTTTAGTTCAGATGAGGGTGGGTTTGGGGCCAGAAAATACTTGTTCAGATGCACACGCATGGCGTATGGGGGTTGGGGGCATGGGCGTTTTGCTGATAAAGCGGTGCGGGTGGTTTGTTTCCTGACGCAGCGATTCGATGTTCTTTCTCTTCACCAAAATGAAGTCTTGCTCGGGCTTTTGCGTCCAGGATATTTCATTTCTTCATCTTCTTTTTTGCTACCTAAGATTATAAGAAGGAAGAAAATAGAAAAAAGTATCGTAGCATTGATATTGTACAGGTGGATATAGTACACTTGGTTCGTCAGACATGAAGGCCTCTCATCTCCCCAAACAATTCATAACCTACACATTCAACATGCCCTTTGGGGCACATCAAAACCCCCAAAACCTCATAACCCTCGTCTTAACCGCCTCCCAACTATTCAACTTGGGCCTAACATCTAGATAAAAATTCAACGCCTTCCCCGCCTTGCCCTCATCCCTCCCTGCATAAAAATCAATCACATACTCAATCTTCGTGCCGCAACGATCCACAACCCAGTCATGGCGATCAAACGGTGGCTGGTACCCCATCAGACTCTTCCAGCGGGCACGCGGCGTCAAACTTGTGCTGAGCCCAGAGAAAGAAGCGAGTTTGGGACCCCCGCAGGCTTCAGAGCCGCGGCCTTGCTCCCAGCGCTTGATTTCGTGCCAGGCGCGCTCGTTGACGGCGTTGTGGATGGGGACTATGGTGCGCATGTCGGGCGCGGAGGGGTCGTAGGCTTTGCGGCGCATGGCGTCGAAGAACATTTGCTCCGAGGGATAGATCCAGTTTCCGGTGGTTTTGTCGGCGCCCGTGTCGCGCTCGTTGTTGGCGGGGGTTTGCGAGGGGGTGTTTGGGAGGGCGCGCGGGATGGTGCTGACTTCGCGGTCGGTGCCAAGTCGGATTTGGGAGAAGGCGCTTGTACTTGTTGGTGGAGGGGAGAATGCGGTTTGGTCGAGAGACGAGGAGTCGCAGGATTGCTGGACGGCCGATTGTGATTGTGGTCGTAGAGGTGTTGCTGGCGGGGCGGCGGGCGTGGGGATGGGTGTGTGGTGGGGATTTGGAGGCGCATTGGTGTTTTGGGCGCGGGCCTGAGCAAGCCATGCCTCGCGAGTCTTATGGTCGACGGGACAGGCTGCTGCGGGGTCATCTTTAGAGGACATTGTGGTGATGGTTGGCTATGTTGAATGGAATTCCAACTTGTTAGGTATGGTGACGGTAGTGGTTGGAGAAATGTTACGCACGGACTCTGCGGAAGTCGGTTCGCTGTGATTGGCTGGCCTTGTCGTGGATTCCTGTGCAGCCATGGACAACTTTTCGGTCAGCGAAAATGAGCGCGAAGGTATTTAGCGTTGTACGCTGCAAGGATTCTAGACAACAAGGGCATGTCTCCCAACGAAAGGTAATCTCATCATTTCTAGATACGATTGGTTAATATGTCTCGATAGATTACGAAAAGGTGTATTGGCTCCTTCTATAGGCTACGGAGGAGACTCCTGCATGTATTATTCAGTATCAACCGCCAAGGTTGGATGGATTTGCTGCCACCTCACCCAGGATCAATGTTGATTGGTAAAACATGCTCTCACTACCCTTTATGTATGGACAACTCAGTTATCTTCCAGCCCCAAAGCGGTGTTGTTCCGACTCCCCCTTGGCGCCTTTTCGGTCCCCGCTTGCTAGGCCCTACCGTACTTAGACCCTGCATATAAATAACAACATCACCACGTCCTCCGACTTTCACAGCCTCTACTCCCCCCAATTCCCCCATCTATTGACACTGATTTGAAAACACATTCTCAAAATGTCTGACATCCACCGTGCCAGCACGACTGCCCCCGTCAACATCGCAGTAATTAAGTACTGGGGAAAGCGTGACCCAAAGCTAAATCTCCCCACCAACTCTTCCCTTAGCGTGACCCTTGCGCAGTCCGACCTCCGCACCCATACCACAGCCTCTTGCTCTTCTGGCTACCCGAAAGAAGACACCCTTCTTCTCAATGGACAGTCTCAAGATGTCTCTGGCGCCAGAACACAAGCATGCTTCAGGGAATTGAGGGCGCTGAGGAAAGAGCTCGAGGCGAAGGACTCAAGCCTGCCCAAGTTGGCCGATCTCCCACTCCGTATTGTTTCTGAGAACAACTTCCCTACCGCTGCTGGACTGGCCAGTTCAGCTGCTGGTTTCGCAGCACTTGTCCGCGCCATTGCAAACCTATACGAGCTTCCAGCCTCGCCCACAGAACTCTCCCGCATCGCTCGTCAAGGCTCGGGCTCAGCATGCCGATCGCTCTTTGGCGGATACGTAGGCTGGGAGCAAGGCTCTGCCGCAGATGGCAGTGACAGCGTAGCTTTCCAGGTCGCACCTGCAAGCCACTGGCCAAACATGCGTGCCGTTGTTCTGGTCGTCAGTGCAGCAAAGAAGGGTGTGTCGAGCACCACTGGTATGCAAACCACAGTCGCAACCTCGAGTCTCTTCCAGTCAAGAGCCAGCGAGACGGTACCAAGGCGCATGAAGGAAATGCAGGATGCCATCCAGAACAAGGACTTTGAGGCATTCGGCAAGGTCACCATGATGGACAGCAACTCCTTCCACGCTACCTGCCTCGACACATTCCCACCCATCTTCTACCTCAATGACGTTTCCCGCGCTGCTATCAAGATTGTTGAGAGCATCAATGCAGCGGCAGGCAAGATCATTGCAGCATACACTTTTGACGCGGGTCCAAACGCTGTTGTGTACTACCTTGAGGAGAACGAGAAGGAGGTAGCAGGCCTCTTCAAGACCATTCTCAACGAGAAGGATGGATGGCAAGGTCAGAGGGGACAGGCTGTCCAAGCCAATGCAGAGGCTCTTGAGAAGGTCAAGTCTGAGGCTGGACCTGCCATTGCATTGCTAGAGGAAGGTGTCAGCAGGGTTATCTTGACGGGCGTTGGTGAGGGACCCGTCAGGACTGAGGAGAGTTTGATTGACGAGAAGGGCGAGCCTGTCAAGAGCGACTAGAGTTGCGACTCTTGATAAAGAGGTCTGGGAATATAGAGCATGGTATGATATAGAGCACAATGTCATCCACCCCAACTGATGCAAAACTTGTCTCTATTGTGAGACTACAAATAAGAAAGACGTGAAAATCGATAAAAGCAGCGCATGAATTAGGTGGGTTAAACTGTACGACTCATAAATATGTAACCCTCTCTAGGCAAGGATATCTGCAAACAATGCGTTACGCCATGGTATCAGAATCCCTTCCCCAAACATACCATTCAACGCCTTGGAAACAAGAGTTAAAGAAAAAGAAAGGCCATTTACGCAGATACTGGTTGCTGTCATCTAGTCCAAGACGACAGCAAGGATAATGATGACCAAGACAATAGCCAGGATAAGCAACAGAATGCACGCCTTACTCCTAGCACTCTTCTGGTAGTTGCTAGCCTGCTTAAGATTTATATGCGCGCCTCGCGACGCATCATGCGTCGTCTCAACATTTTCCTCGATGATATCGAGCTGGGCCCCTTGCTCATGCACCATGTGTGCGACATCACGAAACAGCTCGTTGAGCTCGCCGACCGACTGCTCGATATTGCGGATCTCGGACTCGCGCTCGATGATGAGGGATTCCTGGAAGTCGACCTCGTCCTGGTTTGCGAGGCGCAGCTGCTCCTGCTCCTGCAGCTGGTGCTGGCCGTAGTCTCCCCGCTCTTCGCTTGGCGAGGTTGCGTCCTGGAGGGCGGTGCGAGCGGCTTGTGCGGACTGCTTTTCCTTTTCCAGCGCCTGCTTCTGCAGTTGTTGGAATTCGGTGAGGGAGGCTTTGAATTCGCGCTGCAGCTTCGACTGAGTGAATTTCTGCGAGGGCTGTTGTTTCTAACGGTTAGCTAAAACGGTGCTTGTGTTTTTCCATGGGTAGGCTCCGGTATCTACGTACCCCGACATCCGGCCATGTGGTGATCTTCTTGAGGCTCTCGCCGAGCTCTTTGAACTTGTCCGATGTCTCCTCGACGGTTGTCTTGACGCGCTCGCGTACACGGGCTGTCTCGTGCTTGGTTCCTAGCTTGGCTGTCTCTTGCGACAGGCGGGCGACATTGCGGGTGAGGGCAAAGAGGTCGTCGGACAGCTTGTCGGCAAAGTCGCGGAACTCGGGGTCATCAGCGTAGGCTGCGTCGTCTTCCCGGCGCCATGATGTAGGCTGCGATTCGAGGGCACTGGAGCGCTGGAATGACATGATGGTACTGAACAGGGGGAGAGCACACGATGGTTCGGTTACACAGTGATAAGAGGAGTCTAGAACCCAGCGACTGTCGACGTGACTGCGGGCGAGTGATATGTTGATGCAATTGTCGGTGCCTGGGGGGGTTGGATTGGTCTGGTCTGCTCGCTCGGACGGTTCCTGCGACGATGACGACGAGCCGCGGCCAAGGGCACATGGCACGGGCGGGCCCGCTGTTATGTAAGCAAACATGCAGCAACTTGTAGCTCCGCCGACCCATGTTTGTTTGACGAAACTTGGGCGTCTCTGTATCGCTGCAACGCCCTGCGCGCAACCACTTTTCCTGTCCCCCCCCCCACGTTTTTCACTGGCACGACGCCATTTTTTATTTCTTGCTATGCTATAGCTGTTTCCTCACTCATACATTCTCTCCAGCCGCGACTCACCGTAGCCATGGCGCTCGCACAGCTGGGCACTCAAGTGCGCCCGTATAGAGACTACCTGACACCAGCTCTCCACCGCAGATTCAACAGGGCGAGCAAATACACCTTGTTGCTCTGCTACGCGATCGCGTGTTGGATGGGCGAATGGGCCAACCGTACGATGACCATCACGGAACATGAACCCAGATACTAACTCACATACAGCTCTATGGTCGTTTTTTCCACTAGGCCTTACAGGCATCCGGACGCTTCTGCTCTTCCTCTCCGCGCTTTCCGTCTACGTTCTTCGCGTTTCCCAATGGCACGTCGGCCCCCGACAGACGCCTACCCAGGCCCAGACGTTCACAAAGTACTTCTTTCGCCTGTCCACTGTCGTTACTCTCCTCGCCTATGCATTTTCCGCTATGATCTTTGTCGAGACGTATATCTGGTCAAGGGGCCCTAAGGACAGGCTCGCATTCATCGAGGCTGGGCGCATGCATGAGCGGTTTAGGCTGAACGAGAGACCACTCTACCTGCGCTACTGTTTCTACCTCCTCGCAGCCGCACAGTCCGTTGTTCACTTGTGGAGGGATTACGACAAGATTGATGTACCGGCAATGAAGCCCAAGAAGGACCGTGGCGACGCTGCACCGGCGCGACGAGCATCCAAGCCCAGACATGTCCTCATCAAAGAATTCAAGGGCATGGCAACCAAGTCGAGCTCCCTGGTTGCGACCATTGCTGTTGTTGGATTTATTGTCTACTTCCCAATCACGCGCAACCTGATCTGGAGTTATTACTACAGCCTCGGTCGCTATCTTTGGAGCCTTTCTAAGACCTCTACTCCCACCGGCCTGGCTCCTTTCTTGCCACTGTGTCTCATGTTCATTACCGAGGGAACACTTCTAGTTCTACTGTGGGAATTTGTCAATAAGACTTTCGACGTATACATTGCACAAGAGCCGTTGAAAAACGACAATCCCATTACAAATGATTCAAAAGACCCGAATGGTTCGCTCTTGAATGGGCTCAAGTCGAAGAAGGACACTGTCAAGGTATGGAGAGGCGATGCATGTTCGTGATCATGGCTGACTGAATCTAGGCAATTGCTTTCTGGGAGCTTGCTCTCATTACAGACGCTTTCCCCGACCGCCGTAAGACACTATACAGTGAAATGGATCGCAAAAAGGCGCCTACCCACGAGCAAGTTACAGACTTGTGTCTCGGCGAACTGAAGTTCCTCATCGAACGCTTAAGTCTTGGTCTTGATCCTGCTTACAATCCGGTCGCTGGAGATGGCAAAGAGCAGTCGGCGGTACCTGTCAACCTGGTACCACGAATTTCACAGCCCCTCAAGGACGACAAAGCGATTGCAGCACCGCCACCAAAGCCAAATTCCAGATTGGAGCATTTCGAAGCAGCAACAGCGGATCTCGCGAAATCTCACAGCGCTCCTGGTAATGCCCAAAAAGCGTATAGCCGCGAAGCTATCAACAAGGGGCTGAGCAAGGCACAAGAAGGTGCCAAAGAGGCGGAGTCACTCTTTACAACGTACTACAACAAGTTCGTGTCTTCCTCAGTTGGCGCCCTTTTCAGACAATCCATTCAACGTACAGCAAGCATTGTTGTTCTTGGAGCTCCATACTCGCGAATTTCGTCAATTTGCAACGCCGTCACTTCCCTTGTGAATCTGGCCGTGTCCTCTCTTAGCGAAGATTCGCTCGGTCGTTTCCACGAAGGTATTCCGGCCGTGGTACGCGTGCTTACCATAGCACTTAACAAGATCGACGAATACATGGAGACAGTTCCGATACACCCAAGCGATGTCGAAACACTTGCCAAACTAGAAGCAGAGAGGAGAAAGGTACCTGAGGTCGACGAAGTCCGGGAATGTCTTCGGGAAGGATTGGAGCGGATCCTCGGTAGCTTCAATGAGTATCTGAGTAGTATGGGACTCAGCAGACTGGAGATTATGGAGGCGAAAAAGGCAGCGAGTGCCAAGAAAGCACCTGAAATGATTCAAGCCGGGGGAAAATAGTAATGGCCCCGTTTTGGTTCTTTGTGTAATGTACTGATATGTAGATCTTTTGATATACCCATGTTGACCAACAAAAAGTAAAAAAAAAGTTGCCAAAGTATTACGCAGATATTGGTAGCAGACCAAGATTGAATGGATGGAAACAGCCGAGTGATATGCATATGCCGAGCGTAGATACGAGGGATGCCCCATTATGTACCATGCTAAACGGAGAAGACAGCTGCTGCTGTATATAAGGTTAGCCTTACAGGTGCTTTTTCTGTGGTATGCACTAGCAAAGTGAATATTGTTCTTCGTCTAACCTTAGCTGATACGTCGGTAAACCAAAGCTGGTTGTACTATTGACTTACTAAGTAAAACACATTAGGTATGTATACGCTTCATCCTCCTATCGCACAACACACTTGGACTGGAATAACACTGAAATAGAATAAGATCATTAATCTTACTGCTGTGTTTCTCGAACTCCTACTAGGCCAGAATAGCGCATCAGCAACGAGTGTCCATTGCGGGAAATGGAAGGCCTGGATCACAAGCGTTGCGCAGCACTTCATAATCATATTGTTGAACAAAGCCGGGCTCAACGAGGCTTTGCATTTGACACCCTCGATAAATAGACATGGTGGGAATGCTATGGTGGTAATGCAGTTCTTGCGAGTATTTCTTATCGTCTTGATGCCACCGTTGCCTCTTTCCTCACGACCGCTTGGCATAGATTTGCAATGTAACCGGGTACTAAGTGTCATTTCTTCCATCGATACCTGGTCTGTTTGTGCTTTCCCGAAAGACTTTGGCAGGATGTAAGATATACCGAAGACGAGGACGGTTCGAATAAGCGGCGCTTTGTCATTTTTTACTGGGCGAATGGGGCTCTGGGTGCTACTCATCCATTTGGACTAGTTTTAAATTAAGACGAGTGTACGGCCATGCAGCATATACCTAATCATAATACCGATATTGCCATGAATAGCCGGCAAACGTTGTTCCCTCTTGAAATGATTCTTGGTGGCTTTGTCGATATGATAGACCAAGGTAAAATCCTGGCGGTTGAGGATAGTTATGATGGAGAACAAGAGTGTATAGAACCGTGGATCATGCCTTTATACATATACTGAAGAAGATCTCCAAGGCACTCTCCAGGCTTTTGAGCAGCTGGTAGACGCTATCCACGCCAAAATGCCATCTCAGCCGCCGCAGAATGCTCAACAGGGTCTGATCGGCCTTGTGAATGGTAGTAATGCAAAGAACCTACCCTCGAACAGCTTCTAAAATCGGTTCCTCAATCAGTGCTCACAGTCTGCCTTCACTTATATCGCACCAGGGATAGGCATAGCCCAGCATCAGGACAAGTAGAAGCCGGAAAGCTCTAGTCACTTCTCCTCTTCTCAAATACAGATTCTGTCTATCAAGTGACTCATCCCACGCCATGGGGTGAGGATGTGCGTATCTCGCCGTTTGCACATGAGTTCGATCACGTCTCATCTTACCCACCTTCACCACAAAGTATTTAGAAATGATATTATTCTATGTACGAAAATGCTAGACGTTACGTATATATTAGTATTCTCAAAACTCATGTTTCTTTACTATAATAGTGTATAGCTACACCTCATTAGTCATGCTCTTTTTGGGTGGGTATAGTTTTCATCCGAATATTTCCGTCGACCAAAAGGAGATATAGAGATGTGGAGCGAGATGGATACAAAGGCGTTTTGGTCAGACTATCAACTGCTGAAGAGTTGGTGAGGTCCCAAGTAAGTGCATTGTCTGTGGTTTCATCTTAATGAACATTCTTTTCAAGAAACCAAGGAACCGAGAATGGAAAGTATGGCTACGCGCGGTAGCAAGATGTAATGTACTTTTCACAATCTGGTCTGCAAGAATCTGCCTCCTATCTGTAAAGATTAATCCTTACGCTTTACATTGGGTATTTAATGTAACAGTTAACCACATATCAAGCATTCTGCAATAGCAAATAGTGCTGGTCTCGCATTTGATAGCTTCTAGTGTTTGAGAGACGAAGTACTATTGCGACGACATTAGCTAACGCTGACTCAAATCAGCTCTGATATGTAACAAAAGAAACTCTGGCTTTCTGGAGGTCCTGCTGTAAACTGATCTCTGATACCATCCCAATACTGTTCTGCTACGAATCCGTCGGGAAGACGAATATCAAACTCATTCACCACTCTTGCAATGACAATCTGTAGTTTCATATTGGCTAATGTTTTACTAACGCAATTGTATGGTCCTATGCTGAATGGGATAAATGCGTTCTTATTGAGCACCAACTCAGGTTCCGATGTCCATCGTTCAGGCAAAAATTCGTCCGGTTTTACAAAGTTTCTTGGATCGCGAAAGATGGCGAAAGGCGGCATTTGCATAATTGTATTTCCAGGAATAAAATGCGAATTGATGTGTAATCAGATGATGGGGTGACGCGCTGAGGTGCAAAAAAGATTGATGGCCATAAACGCATTGACTCTTGTATCACTGCGTCAAGCATTGGAAGTGGCCGCTGGCAGTTGAAAGATACGCAGTCACGAAACTCCTTTCGTATCGCATCGACGTATTTCGGGTTTGTAGCAAGTTGCATCAATGTAAACGTCAACGCCGTAGACGTAGTCTCGCTGCCGGCACTGATGATGAGTCGCGATTCGCCATATAGTAGTTCTAGTCCAGCTTTATCGTTAGGAGTGTTCTTGATGAGATGTCCCACAAAATCGGTATTTCCATCTGTCCGCTTCTATTCTTTAATATCAGCATGGATGGAGCGGACTTCTTGGAACGCTTACGGCGATGCGCTGTCTCATTTGGGACACGCTCCAGTCTTGCCATTCTTTCATCGGCCCGGCAATTGAAATGACCACCCCAAGTGTGTCCATAAGCCTAAATGCTAAGTTTAGTCCAGGATACAATAAATATTTTTAATAGTTGTTGAAGTTCATAGTGAGTAACATACCAAGGCATATGGTACATAAGGCCCATGGTACATAAGGCCCATAGCAGATGAGCTACTATTGAAAGTATTGAGAATGCTTGCCTCTACTTCACTTTGTTTGCCTTCCAAAAATCCTATTGATTCGCCAAATGCAAGTTTTGACATAACGTCATAACTATAGTAGCTGCAATAGTGCAATGGTTCAGTCGGTTCGCCATTCTGTTTGTGCAGTTGAGCAAGCAGCTTATCTATAAACGCCTCAACGAGTGGAGAAAAGGTAGAAAGCGCTACAATTGTCAGTGGATAGCATCGTCTATGCTGTGTACAGAACTTACATTCTTTCATACCATTATCCCAAACCCTATGTCGCTGATGGTGGAAGACTTTGTCTCGGTTCAAACGAAGAGACTTTTCCATAACATCGTAGAAAGGTCCCTTGGTTGTCATGGAAGAAAAACCCAAAAGCGGTTGTATGGCACTCGGGTCGTAAATTGAAATTTCTCGGGGACCTATTGCCATCGTTGATCAGCCTCAAATCCGACAAACAAATCTTCGGAGCAAATGATCAAAGCCAACCGCATTGTTAACACTATCGGAAAGACATTCCATACCCGTTCTTACATAATCACCATACTCCTTTCGGAGACTCTGTTGTACGCGATGCCAATGCCATCTTGAATCCCAGGCCTGTTTGACAGTCCACAATTTCGACAATTTTGCACCAAATGGACCTGGAAAATGTCTGAGTGGATGCCAGAATGCATGGTATAACAAGATCCATAAGGAGAGAGTGCCCCAAAAGGCTACATATGAGACAACAGTTGGGCCGATACCCTGATAGAAAGTAAGGAGTAAGAAGAAGAGACTCGAAAAAACAAGTCCTGGGAGAAGAAGATGATCGACCTCCACGCGTCTCAAAACCAATTCGTGAAAACCAATTGATATGTAGAAGTGAACAAAGCACAATCAAAGCCTCTGAAGAGGGTTCCATCTTGAGATGTTGTGCATAAATTACCTCGCCGATATGAGGAGGAGTGGATATTTGTGTTATGCTACGCAATATGGGCATTAAGTAACGATAGACATACCTCAAGCCTAAATTGATCACGGCCGAATCGCTGCCCCTGGAACTAGTCAGTTCTCATACGCTCCATAGATTGCAACTGCGAAGACCGGTCTCACGAATCCGAAGATAGAAACAACCTGCATAACTAAAGAAGGTTCTGACGTTGCGGATTTTACGCCGGTTAGTAGCGAATAGCGGTTAGTTAAGCATCCGTCCATATGGCGGTACTTCAGGGACTCAGTCAACACCTCAGGAATTCTACGCTAGGACAATTCAACGCCTTCCTCGTAAGCGATACGAGGCTCTTCCTAGCGCTAATACATTTGCACATAGCACATAGTTAGTTGGTGTTCGATGTAGGAAGAGAATTCTGTGTAAGATCTTTTCCAGGTCTTACGGATTTTCACGTCAGCGTTGGTATACAGAGCTTTCAAAGACCGAGAACCACTAGCTGAATAAACTAAGAACACTTCGACCGTCTGGTTCAGGAGGTCATGCATGTTACATAGTACAAAGTCCCCATGCAGATACAAGCTAAACTGCAGCACCTTACTCTTTGTTACTTGTCGGGAATTTATAAGTGGGGCTACATCCATGCACAACCGAATCAAGGCCTCCTACTCCGTACATCCATTTGAAAACAGTAGGCATACCAGCATTCATACTTTGATAAGTACATCGCACGTTAGATGCATACTTACTTAACCTGACCTGACTTTATTTCATCCAAGTACATGCCAACTGGAACGGGCCGTTGCTGACTCGAAACTTCCTGGACTTTTCGAAATCTCTTTGGACGCTCTTCACTGATGCAGGGCATACTGTCATCGCCCGAAGGCGTGATACCAGACTTTAGTGGCACAAGATCAACTCTACAGCAACGGATACTGGTTTCATACAGCGCGATCACCGCAATTTCAACATTCTTCCTAGGCCTTCCATTGTATACACGAATCTTTCTCAATCGCAATCCAGGTTTTGATGATTTACTTGTTTTCTTCAGTTGGTTGGGATGCATTGCCTGGTTCGCTATATGTACTTTCGGTATGATCTCCGCTTTGTGGATAGTGAGTGAAAACTGACAGAATAACATTTCGATTTGGATTCGACCACCACGCCTGGAATGTCACGCCTGATAAGTTAACAGGATATCTCCAAACAATCATCGGAATATGCATCATCTACGTCTGGACACCAGCACTCACAAAGTTCTCTTTGCTCTTTCTGTATTACCGGATAAGCACTCAGGCTTGGATGCGAATCGCAATTTACGCGGTTGGGATATTGACATTTGGTTACAGTCTTTCTATTACCATTGTTGTCGTTGGACCTTGCAATCCCAACGCTCATACGGATGGCAAATGTTTGAAAGATCTGAACTTTTCTATGGCTATTAGTAGGTCATTATTCTAACTACTGGATTCAACTGTACTAATTGCTTGTAGTCAATATTCTCACGGGTTTCTTCATCATTCTATTACCGCTTCCAATGTTACACGCTCTTCAGTTATGCATGAAGCAAAATTTTCTTCTGGGTGTAGTGTTTACGTTAGGATCTGGGTAAATTTCCAAACATGACCTATTACGCTAGAATATCGACTAACCAAGCGGGAAATCTAGGATCATCATCGTCCCTATTGTTCAAATCATTTACGTGTACAATTTCATCGGCAATCCGGATGTTACATTTTACCAAGCCTCGGCTTGCATCTTCTCTGAAATTGAATTGAATGTAGAGGTCATTTGTGCGTCAATGGCTACATTGAAGCCTTTCTTTTTTCGACACATGTCCTTCTTGTTGTCTTTTTCCAGAAACAGCGAAAGATCTAAGAGTTGGGCTTTAAGTTGGCTAAGACCATTTCGAGGTTAAAACAAGAGTTATGTATTGGGCAGTCTGGATAATCATAAGGCGAGACCGATTCAAAACAAAGAGGAGTCCAGTATTCAAGTTTCGACTCAATTTTTTGTAACTTCGACAGAACAACCGTTGAAGGACAGTGATAGCACTGAGAGAATTATCGTAACCAATATGAGAAAAGACATATGATGGAGGTAACATAATTTACCGTACCCTACCGCCACGCGCGCGTGGCCCCACCAAAACAACCTCAAAATTAGAGTTATGGAGGCGCACTAGAAAGCAATCATTGTATTATATCTTAGCAATAGAATTATTAGACTCAGGCCCCCCTAGTCCGGCTTAAATGGTTTGGATCAATTGCCGATTTGTTCCATCGAGTACGTTGAAGAAGAGTGTCGAAACCATGGAGATCAAATTGGCAATCGATGTGAGCAATCGAAGTTGGCGTGACGCAATTATCTAATTCACCTTGTTGAGTACAATATACGTACAGAAAATTGATTTGAATACTCGCTGAATGGGCTTTCAAATAGGAATAGCTCAATTACAGGGTGATGATCGAAGATGACATAGAGGCGATCCTACATCCAAGCAGAACTTGCAGCGCACTATTTTGCTTGAGTGGGTTTGTTGCAGTGTGCTAGCCACTTTCGTGTGCACGATGATAGCGACCCAAGCTCCGGGGACTCTGGGGAAATTGTTGCGAGCGATGTATTTGGAACGGAGGAACTCTTTTCTACATTAAACATGTAACGGAATTGTGTGCCTTAGCGTTTTTTTATTTATCTGCTCCACCTCATATCTATTTTTATAGTTTTATAGTTTTTTCAAGCTTGGCAAAGGGTGTGACAATTGGGAGATACGCGGAACATCTCCATCCGACCATGAAAGTGATGTTTGAGAGATTACTATGATTTAAGAGCACTGATCGGTGTATCCTTTATGGTGAGGCACCGGCTGAAGACATCTATTCCCAAACGAGTTTGGTGGTGCCAGTGAATGAGGGTGTGAATCCTTAGGACCTTAAGCTGACGGGAGCAACCGCTGAAGTAGCCGAATTAAGAGCGAAAGTTATCAATGGACCTCAAGATTTATCCCCAAGCTCTTACACTCTGTTCTCTATCCGCTTAACCTAAACACCAATCATTTATGGTATCGGACTAAACTGCAACACTCATATTGCTGAGGCAAACTGGCCGACGCCACAGTAGTCGACGGTGTTTACGAAGCCTCCTGGAGCTTTGAATGGACCATTTTCTGATTTTCTGATTGACCCTATATGCCCACGAATCGACTATGAAAGCGAATTAGTAGTGATTATCGGGCAAGACTGCAAAAAGGCATTAAGCCCCAAGGAAGCACTGAATGCTGTATTAGGATATATAGTGGGCAATGATGTGAGTGGTAGGGACTGGCAAGCATCAGATGTGAGCGGCAACCAGCATGATTACGCCAAAAGCTCCGATCGATTTGCATCGATCGGCCCCTAATTGTGTCCGCCAACATCGTACCAGATATCGGGGAATTGAGGTTGCAAACCTCGGTGAGTGAGGAAGAGCGACAGGTTGCTCAGTTGGACGACCTCCCATTCGGGATTGGATCGATCATTATGCATCTCAGCATGACAACAACCTTGAAGCCCGGAATTGCTATCATGACTGGAACTCCTGGAGGTGTTGCTGCCTTCATGAAACCACAGGCTTGGCTTAAGAATGGTGATGTGAATGAAGTTATGATTACCAATATTGGGGCAATTAGGAATAGATTAATTTGTTGAGAATTGATTCTGAGGGAACAAATATATATTTCGATACTTTAATGTATGAAACTGATAATCGTGGAGAGCGAAGATAGTGTCATGTCTCACGGCGTGTATCTTACTGTATCCGAGACTGATAAGATCTCTCGCCCTCTATTATCTAACCAGACTTCCACGAAGATTCTGGAGCAGCTGGCCAATGTTATCAAACCTATAACTGAAGCCACTCGCAGGTTGCTAGAGTTTTTTAAATATATGCATATATGGCGGTGAATTAGAGGCTCTGTAATTACACATCTATCCGTTACTCCTCGCTGTTCAGGTTTATTTTCTAAAGACTAACTTCGTTCTCCATGGTAGTCCCAAATTCAGTTAAACTGACGCAGAATAAAAAATCCTCTATGTATGATTTTGTTGAATAAGGCACCCCATGGTTTGAACATGGCCCTCATTGCGGAAGGCAAAACCATCGCTCCTAGGCTCCGGATATAAGTAATCGTACTAGCTCCGGCCGACATCCGGTGCAGACCATAGTTCCAGTGCCGCTAATACCATGTGCTGACCAACACCAATTTTTGGTGTAATAATACATACAATTTACCGGAAATGACATTCGTTCCGAAACATTTTCGTATTGTATTTCGAGACGACCCCCCGTTTACCACTCGAAGATACCATTCCATTCTTGAGGGGCTTAAGTCGCCCTCAAACGATAGAGTTAACTATAACCCTAGTTGCTGACGGTGCCATTCATTGCATGACGACAAGTTACCTTGTCTATAGCCCTTGCCTTGGTTAGTTCATAGTTGCTCCATTTTGTTTTAACAAAAGTTACAAAGTTGGCTACCTATTGAGTATAGGAAACGTAGCTGAGCAACTGACTATTGGCAGTTATTCTATGGACATCTTGGTTGTATGGCTGTATACCGTTATTTTATTTGTGTCAAAATGACAATATGTAGCTGAAGAGTTCGGCTCGAGGTCGTTTCATGTATTGCCAAACCACTGTTTTACATAGCGGGATAGTTAGGACTTTCACAGCTAACAAGATCCTACATCTAGCTTGATAGATAAGCACATCGCCGTCATTGCCAACAGCAATAATGACCTTCCTATTATTTATGCCTGGGATATTCTGGACAGCGTCGGAGATGCTCACTGCTATGTATAGTTGGGGGGCAATGCCCTCGCCAATCTGGCCGACTCTTTAGAGGCTACTCTTGGTACATTGCGTGCTGCTGTTGACAGCGGCCACGCCAACAACAGTTTGCAGGTCGGCCAAAGCAATTATGATGCTGTCAAATTCCTTCTTCAAATTCAGGCAGTGGTCTCCATATATTACATGGCCAGCCGTAGAAAGTTCAGGGCTGTCAGACTACAAGTCTCTCAGCAAAAGCAACAGCCCGCAAGAAAAAGGCTAAGAACTATGTATTGTCGTTTCTCGAAGACCATGGTTAGAAAATGTCACTTGAATTTAGGAGACATAAATCAAAGCATCAAGATGCGTCCCTACGCGGCGGAAAATCCGATCTACCGAAATCAGCCCATCAAGTCGCAACGGCCGCAGGCGCCTTGCTGCAAATATCTCTCTCAAACTAATCAATAATCAATACAGGGGACTATTTCCTAAAGCTAGCAATAGACTAATCACACTCTTGTAATGGGCAGCGTCATGGGAAGGGCGCGCTCAAGTTATGTCATTTTCCGGTACGACAGTTTCTTCGCCGCGTAGGGACACACTTTACTAGCCAAAAAAACCCCCCAAGAGAAATGCACACATTGAAATGCTCAGTGTCCATGCAAGCGTTTCACTGTTGTCACGGTAGTTTGTCGCAATAGGAGTGTAGAAAAATATTTCCTGCTTTCAACGACTCGCCTGCTGTAGCCGCGTCCTCAAGAATGTTATCTTGGTGAACTTATCGCGTGTTGAAGTTGAGGTGGTGTTTTCATGAAATGATCATTAGGTCGTCATGCACAGTCTACTAGGCTTTGCTTATGGAATGATTACTGTATCAATTTCTTGACGGTTACTGCTGGATGTCCTGAAATTCACTCGTTCTAGCCGGGCCTCCTTCCTACAACTCAATAGTCTTGGAGTCATCTTATTGTGCTGGTGCACAGGGTTACTAGTAAACCTTGTGCAGAAGCTACGAACCCAGTTGCCAACAAGTATAAGATGGAAGCTCTCGTATACTGTAGATTACGTAGAAAGAAAACCAAGTTTAACTTCATTTACTCCTTATTTCAGTAATCCGCTATCTAGAGTAGCTTCTACTCGCGAAGTAACAAAGAAGTGCGCGAAGGTGAAGGTACTCGTACTCCCCATGCTAGGACTCGTGGTGCTACACACTCTACACCCGTTCATTATCAGACGAAAGTTCCACTGCATGACTCGATCGTCAAGGAAACGCTTGGTCGGCTGAAACGCGGCATAAAAGCGGGCAAATCGATATTGCGGCACAATTGCCATTGGCATGCACCAACTGTGGGGCAGTTGGCAAGGCTTAATCTAGCTTGACTTGCTTGTCGCTAACTTTAATCGATAGATATATGACGTAAATGTAGTATAATCGTAAAATTGATGCAGATAGATCGTATAAGAGAAACTCCTAGACAGCAGAGCTTAAATCGAGATGCGTGTCCCGTACGGGCGATTATCATTTACACAGTATGAGCGATTAGGGCGCACAGATGCTTTGGGAGTAGGCTGGTGCAAAACGGGTATGTAGGTCCCCGGATTCTCTTCCTCAGCATCCGTTTGGGAGTTACCGCTGTGTTCTTTAGCCGCCTGTGCGGGTCCCATTCCCGTAGCTACATCTGCACATCGGAAACCTTATGTACAATTTACCGCACTACGGTAGATATGCCCGATCCCATACAGGCTAGTTGGTCTTGTGGTATATTTATCTTACAGCAATTACACTCGTTCGAGGTATGTCTCCTTATTTTAGGCTCCTGCATGGAAGACTTGTCCTAGCGGCGCAGCTGAGCCCACGTCGCAACGAATGGATGCCCCCTGCGAATGAGTTCCCATAACTACTTAGGTGTCTTAGATTGACAAGAATCATCCCTCTGCATATGTAGGGCGTACGGGGCAGCGTCCTCTGCGAGATAATGAGCTTAACGGGTGTCGGGGGAATGTCAGCCATTAAATCAGGAGATCAAAGCAGCCAACTAAAAGACCTATATAACGAGGGAGTATAAATTACGTACCTTACCATCGTGGCATGCACAAGGCATAGTCTTGGCAGGGGTTTGTACATAACCCAGCAAGAAATTCACGGACTCTTCTGACTGAGGATTACAAACCCTACAAGTATGTAGTAGTAGACAATGAGCCCCGAAATTCCATCGTGTTGAACTTAGTCAGAACTCAATATTTAAGCCCAAGCTACCCATTACTTCTCTAAGCACAACGAACCGTACTTGTGAAGCACCTCGTTCATAGCATCGTTACTCATCCGCGAAAGACAACTCGAGAATCTGACATTGGGTATCTAGCATTATATCTAATGAGAACCTTTACATCTAATAAGGCCGCTATACAATAAATGTTACACAAAAGAAAGAAAGTATAGTAGGAGAGTGCTCGTACGATTAAGAATGCGAAGCGCAAAAAAAGAGTGCACACTAAGATAGGCGAGCTACCGCAAAGGCGCTGTAGACCCTGTGGTGAGGCTAGGTATAGCATGTAGATATTTCAGTAAGAGGCAATAGAGGATTTTGGATAAAATGGTTTACTAAGTTTTTCAAGGTTTGTCACAACGTGCATTTGATACCTATAATAGTTATGATATTTAATAAGGTTTTTGTATATTTGTAACATGTTTGTCCTCGGTATACAGTTGCCCAAGTCGTTAATAAATGTAAACATGGAAATCCGACCATCCTTTTACCTGTTCCTTCAGATCCAACTTTCCTACACATACTAGTTAAGAGGTAGGTTCGGGATAGATGCTACTGTACCTTAATGTACTGCTATCTTGGATAGCTAGCATTGGAACATATAGAATACAGAACTTGAATGAATTTCAGATTAAGACAAACTTTGATTGCATCTTTATCACCCTTCAAGTAAGATTAAAGAGAAGTACATATGCATTCGCAGACACAACAGCTCAGTACTATTTCTGTAACATCAAAATCGGCTGCCTAGGTTGAGGACCATCTCTGTGCCAGCCGATTTGGATGTCTTGAACTATGATGCCTATATACGCAACTTGGTATGAATACCTAGTTCAAAGCTTTGAGTAGCTGAGGGAGCATAACCTCCTCCGTAAAACCCCAAGTTGCAGCTGAGCTCTCTGATTCCCATGCTGCACCCGTCCAGTACGTGTTATACTGGCCCTGCATAGCATTCATGTCTTTGTAGAAGCCGTTTGCCACCGCATCACGAGAAGGGTACAAGAAGTAAGGAGAGTGATCCAACAACCCGTTGATGGTGGGCTTCTCACCCGGGGGCGATGTTGTGTTCATCGCCTTTTGAACAAACTCGGCTCTGCCCTGCAGGCTACTGGCTGCTTCCTCGCGAGTGATTTCCTTTGCACTGCTCCACCAGAAAGCGCGCGCTTCGACGTCTTTGATACCAGACTGCGAAATGCCGAGCGTTTCTGGCAGGGGTGGGATGCCTCCTTCAGCCGAGGGGTCCACAAGCTCGTAGCCGGTGTCCAGAGGCAGCCCAGTGCCGTTAAGAATGCACGTCCAAGTGTGAATATTTGAAAACTCCTTAGTGATCTTGATTTCGTTAGGTCGCAGATCGAGGAACGGAGCCAAATCGACGTAGCGAGGCCTGATTGCTATGACCAACTTCTTGGCGTGGATGGTCTGGGTGCCACAGGGTCTCTCAATGACGGCAGTCACACCATTCGCAGTTCGAGTAATCTTCTTGATGTTGCTTTCGAGGAGTACATTTTCCGCTCCTCCGAGTTTGTTGTACGCTGTATTGTAAATGATCTGATTGCCTCGGTTGGAAGTGTAAAGGCGATCGGTAGTGAACTCAAGGGTGCTGTAGTATTTCATAATGTGTAGCGTCAACAACTCCAGCGCGTTTCCTGCCTGTACATAAAACACATCGTATGCCATTGCGGTCGCGTTGTATTTCTTGAGCCACTCGCCCCAGGGCAGTAAGAGATCTTCGGGAACGGGATCCGGGAGAAAATAGCCAGGAGTCGAGAATAAATTGCCATATGACTGCATTTGCTTGAGGTAAATCTCATTTGCCGCAGTGGCATTTCCTGGCGCAGGAGTAGGGAGTTCTGCACCCGTTTTGTAATCCAGGTACTTTGTCGAGCCATTAGGGAAGTATCCTTCGTAAGGACCATATTCGACCCCAAGCTGGTGGAAGTAGTTTCTCGCAACCGAGGTGTTAGTGTAAAGAATCACACCATAGTCTGTTGTTTGATTGGTTTTAGGGTCAATGTACGTCGCGACGTTGCCACCCAGTCGAGCCTCTCTCTCGATCACAGCTACAGACTTTCCGCGTGCTGCTAGCTGAACTGAGGCATATCTAAGACAGTTAGTATTGTGGGTACGTGCAAAGGCGCATCTTTTGTACTTACGTTCCTCCAGAACCTCCACCTACAACAATAACATCGCGCTCGACAACAGAAGGACAACTGCCATGCGAGTACGAGGACGCTCTAACATAGGCATTGATTGGCTGCAGTAAGATGGAAGAAGCCAACAACGCCGAGGCTGTCGCTAAGGCAAACGAGTGCATGTTGAAAACCCCTAAAAGATTAAAGGCAGTAAAGCTTAAGAGTTGACTAGTACAGTTCACAAGCGTTGTAGCCGCGGTAAGAAATGTTAAAAAAATGAGCGGTTTAAAAGCTACAACGATGAGCCTCTTGAGGTTGAGTCCATATTGCTCCGATTACACATTGACACCAAAACAAAGTTTCGTTTCGATTTCCCCTCAACCATTCTGAATATCCACCCGTACTCGATTGGGATCTTCTCGGGAACGGTGGTTCGAATCCACACAACGGCCCGATTGCAAAGCCCCCTAAACAATAGTATTACAATCCCCGGCTACGTTGCCGATACATTACCGAAGACAACAAGGCTAGGATAAAAAACAACGGGTCGTCAGACCGGGTTCCCAGACATGGCCCGCTTTATATGCGTTTAACAACGTCTGTTTGGAGAAGCGATTCGGAGAAACTGTGCATGACTAGGCATGACTCTGGACATCGATCTTAGCTGAGTGATACATTATAAATGTCTATTTGGGCGGTGCAGAGGGGTTAGTCAGGGATGTCTTGCTGAGGAGATCGCTGAGAATGTTGCTGAGGAAGTCGTTGAGTTTGATGTTCGTTAATTCGACTTAGCTTCGGAGAAGTGCACTGCATCACCCCTATGGAAATTCGCGCTCTCTAATTTGTTTTAAGTAACACATACATATATCGATTGCCAATATTAGCAAATCAACAAAATTAGAACTCATAGCGAAGGCTTTGGACAGGACATAGTGCACCAAAACGTGCATACGCAAGTGCAAGCGCTGTATCTATTACGTGAAATCACTCAATATTGGTATTGGCAGAAATTCTGATTTGTGTAGATATCGATTTGATTCGTCCCCGTAATAAGGTAACTCGGGAAAATATTCGCAAGTCAGGATTGCATCGGCGATTTGCCAAGCCAGAGTAAACACTACTTACACAGAACGGGGTAATCTGGTCCATCGCTGCACCATTGCGATTGCACACGTTGGAATGGAGATGTCAAAAAAGCTTATTTCAACGTTTCTCAATTTCGCCCACGCAGCGGTCGAGGTCTTCTCGAATCGCACGAACAATCTGGCGGCCCCAAGGCAGTTCTTTACCAGAAAGAGACGCACCAGGGCTGGAGAAACGGACTTCAAAGGCTTGAACTACGTTGCCTGCCTTTTGGAGCTCTCTGAAAAGCACTGCTCGATGCAGTATTGTGGAGTCATCGTCGTCGAGATCGAGGGCGCCAAAACGTATCTTCATCGTCTTTAGGTCCACCCTCTCCGAATTGTACGTCTTGGTAACCACGACATTGTACCAAAACACAATTTTAGACAGTATTGTCAAATGAAGCAGTGCTATGTGCGAGTTTTCGGCACAATGACATTCGAGCAGCTGCGTCAACTCGTTCAGTGCGGCTTTGTTGGTGGCCAGCACCGTGTCCATGGAATGGACTGGGTGTATTGAAGCTTGTGAGGTGGATTCGATTGCCGACTTTGGTGATAATCCAAGAGTACTGTCCTTCCATTCTGATGTGCAAATTTTGGGGCGATACAACAGTGATCTCAGCACAGCAAGAGCTCGTGATTCGCATTCCACGGCATGCTCGGTGTTGTTCTTTGATTGCTCCACACCGCAATGGCTGAACATGTCAGCACTCACTGTGCCCTCTCCTTCTGTCAGATTTTGGTCCAACAATGATGCGTTGGTATGGAGAATCGAATGCGTATCACTTTGAGACATACAGTCTGAGCTTCCGAAATTGGACCATAGTAGGAAGTTAGACATATCCAGCTCGGAATCTGAAGGATACCGGTTGCTCGTGTTCTCAGAAAACGGACCCAGGTTGAGAGTGTCCCATGAGAGCAAGTCAACAGACTGTTGCGTGATGCAGGGCTCTGAGGCAGCTTTCGATGGTTGTGAAGGGATGACTTCAGGCTCGCTTGCGATGGACGAAGGTGTCGGCTGCTGGATGGTTGCTCGAGAACGTCTTGGCCGCCTTCCATGTCTTCGAGAAGGACTGTACTGGCAATACTCTTCGTTATCCAGACACCTTTGGCATGCTGGGTGACCTTTGTCGCACTTGACCTTGGCCGCCGTGCAGCTGTCACAGGCTTGACGAAGTTGTAGCTGATTAAAACCCATAGTTGTTGTCTTTGGGCTTGAAAGCAATGTGAGATGGTAAGGATGATGAGATTAAGTCTTGTTCAAAGTTTATGTTATTGTTATGTAGAGATATATACCATTTGTTGAAATATGTCCATGACAAGAGTTACCCTTGACCCTCGGAAGAATGATGCAGAATGCTCGACTGCAACTGCTTAGATAACCTTACCTATGAGAACCAAATCGTATTAGCATCAGGCATTTTGACTATAAGGCCCTTCTTTCAGACGGATCGAGGTATGGTGCCCGGTATATACAGTCGATCAAGTTTAGTACTAATAGCCAGGGTGCTAGTGAGAATTATCGAACCATGTCTCGCGATAATCGCGTTCCAAACCTTCTTTGATAGCACTTGCGTAATGCACAGCTCTCCTTGCAGCAACAAAGAACCTCGGCTACTATATTGCCTAGCTTGCTGCGTTGATCGTAGTTCTTTGCCAATCCTTCCTTAGCTAGTAAAGTCTTGTTTCAGAAGCATACTACTATGTACTTCTACCAAGTTTTCGCACCACCCACACGGCTCAAAAACTCTCTGAGTTTAATTACGTGAGCAAGGAAAGCTTCCGATGTCAGGACTACAGATTTGAGTAGCTGTAAGCGATCCCGCGTTGCTTTCTATCACACATTTTGATCAAATACGCCTGGTTGATACGAATGCATTGCCATGCAACTCGGGCGATTGCTCGCCGATTGCTTAGAATGTACATACATACGTACCTGCCGGTAGCCCAGTGACCAGCATGCATGATAGCGAACTAACATTGTGAGTCGCTGGCATCGCATAACCGATTAAATAAATCGCGATATTACTAGTACAGATATAACACGTTGCGGGCCTAGATGGTTGTAGGCTTCTCTCACCTGCTCTCGCTGCATGCGGCCAAATGAAGAGAAGCGCCGCCGTTCAGCCGTACACGTACCCCCACGTGCAGTCCAGCACTAGCAACTACTATACTGATTGTGAGAAGCACTACCCTTAGTGCATTATGCACGTTTCCACCTAAGCAGCAGCGTTAGTAGCCGATTACATTCGCTAAAACCAGCACGCTAGCAAAATATTTATGTACTCATGCAACAAGAGCGCCCTAAGGCTTGTCGAGGCTTGTCGAGGCTTACGACAACTTATTAGGAGTTGTCTTTGATAAAGATACGGGGCCCCTGTAATATCAGCATGGGCTAACGACTGGCAGACTGGATGATGGCATGTGAACATGGGAGAGTTTTTACTGGTGGTGAGATGTCTTAGTAAGATCCAAACATCCTAGATGAAAAAGCATATCGGAATTCTGATACCACTCCAAAAACGAGTGTTGTCTGTAGTATCGTGAGTGAACGGATGCTAGAACGAAGGAGTAAAGAGCTCGGCAGGTGTTACTACCGAAGGTACCCACTTCCCAGAAAAAAAAAGCGGGTAAACTTGTCTACAAGCTTTGACTATGTACACGTTGACACGATGTTGTTTCAGCCTTACCCAACGACAACCCCAACAATCACATCTGTTAATCGTTATTATGTGGGGTTTTAATCTATCTTAGTACTCTATAGAACATAGGAGGTGACTTTTGCCAGCTTGATTGCTCATCCTGGTTAGACCCATTCATTAGCCAGTATGTACTCTTTTAGCGTCGTTCGAGGCACGTCCGGAAATTTCTCGGCATCGACAGGCTCAATATTATAACATCCTTCATCCAGAAACACTGCGTACACCAACCCCACGATGTTTTTAAATCTCTTGTGCAGCTCTCCAGTTCCGATCGCATCTTCCCTCGCCTGTTCGATCATTTGCTTACAAGTCGTGACATCCATAATGTGATTGATGTGACACTTGCTTCCTCGCAACTGCTCATACGTCTCCTTCAAATCTAAGATTGAAAAAACGTCTGAGCAAAATCGGAAGTAGCCACCATTTTCAGCACCGTCACTTGTTGTGAGGGCAACAGTGAACTCCGCCACATCTTCTTCTGTGCTGAAGGGTGTTGGCGTTTTGCCTGCTCCGATCAAGTTGACCACTCTCTCTCCGCCTTCCTTCCGTACCCACAGGCTTGCGTCGCCTTCAAGTGACCCGGCGCCGGGAACTCCAAAAAGTGTCTTAGCCAAAACACCACAAAATGTATACAGAGGTTTGATGGGGCTCGTGAGGAGAGCCTGTCGAGCGAAGCATATCATTGCATCGTAACTCTCGATCACTCCAAGGGGCATGTGCTCCCAATCGGTATTCCAACTCACAGCATGAAATCGCTTGATTCCCGCACGCTCTGCAGCTCGCAGAAGCATGAGCTGAGCGTCTAACACAAGCCGAGGCTCTTCGTTCCAAGCAACAATGATAGCATTCACACCGGCACACGCTCCGTCAAAAGCAACACTATCGCTGAAGTCGGTCATCTCGACGAAGCTTTCCAAATGGTGACGAAGGTCTTGGGGCATTTTTTCGGCGTTGCGTCCCAAGGCCCGGACGCGATGTCCACGCTGAATTGCTGAATGGACGATGTATAGGCCCAATCTGCCTGTCGCACCCGGAATAAGAATGAGCATGCTGCTAAAGTTCTCAAATTTGATCCGCTCTTGTATTCTAGAGTTTTTATCGTGGTATGTGAAGAAGGAATCGAGGGCAATCTTGTCAAAAGGAAATTGTATTTGCGGCTGTTCGAGTGAGAGATAGAGTAGCTTTTTTGGATATTTAACCACCCTCGAGATGGACTGCAGCACTATCTCAGCTTTTGGACTAATTCAACAATTCATCTTACTTCTAGAATGAATCGAATGGTCTTTCAGGTCTAGTTGGCTAGCAAAAGAACTATGCATATTGGTCCCCGAGACCATATACCCTGCGATTCCCGAACAAGCCCGCTTGAAAAACATCATGTCCGAAATCATGATAAACTTCAATACTTTAAACGTCATGATCAGTGTAATCTCAGCTGATTGGGAACATGAAGCCGGTGTTGCATCGGGAACTACCCTTTGTCAGTCGATTATCCCGAAAGCATCACGGCTACATTGTGGAAAGCCAAAAATGGCAAGAAATGTAGAATACTTCAAAGCCTAGAAGATGCGAACGAAGTAAAGTCGCATCAGTGCATTCTGGCATCGCTAAGCTTGCTGAACTAAAACACACTATAACGTTGACACTTTCAGAATGACTCCGGCGAAAACAAGACCAACGGTCCTCATTGTAGGTGGAGGGTTAGCTGGTCTTTTTTGCGCTCTCGAATGTAAAAGAAATGGTTTCGAGACAACAGTATTGGAATCCAGACCTGCAATCCAAACAGCTGGTGAGAAACCCTAGCATGGAAATTACACAGTTGTTGCACTATATTAATTAACTTCTTCAATCAATAGGTGACTTCATCACTATTGGCCCTACGGCTATCAATGCTCTTCGCAGATGGCCGTCTATAGCGATCGCGCTTGATAAGGTCGCCTACAAGCCTGACATCTGGTACCATAAGCAAGATGGAGAGCTAGTTGCTGGTCCAATGCCACCGCACCCCAATTTTGGCCGCATGATATCGAGGCCGGCACTGCACCAAGCTCTTTGGCATGCACTAGAGGCCGAGAATGTTGACATTCGTTGCAAGACGAAAGTGAAGCGTTACTGGGAGACGGAAGATGAAGGCGGGGTCGAGCTCGAAAACGGGGACATGCTCCGGGCGGATATGGTGATCGCCGCAGACGGTATCCATACCAAAAGCTGGACACTCGTATCGGGAAAGGAACCCGAAATCTACCCGAGCGGGCTTGCAATGTTTCGAGCAGCATTTCCTATTGAACACGCACTAGCGGATCCCTCTCTGCGCGCAAAGTGGACGCCGACAGCTGAGAAAGACAAGATGGGATTCTTTCTTTCTCCAACTAGCTTTGGAATCATCCTCTTTGGCCAAAACACTGCATCGTGGGTTTGGCAACACAATGAAAACCCAGAAACATCCACTGAATCATGGGCTGCAACTTTATCTCCGGAGGATGCTCTCAAACAGCTCGACGCGGAAGGCCACTGGGGTGCCGACCTTCGAGCAATAATTGCTACAACTCCACAAAACCACATTGTCGACTGGAGGCTCATGCGACGAGAGCTGAAGCGAAAATGGGGCTCGCCAAAGGGGCGGCTAATGCAGATTGGAGATGCTGCACATCCATATCTGCCAACCACTGTGAATGGTGGGACGCAAGCTATCGAGGACGGCGTTTCACTGGCACGCTGCTTGCGTCTGGCAATCGACAAGCACGGCGCTAGCGCGCTTCCGGCTGGAGCAAAAGTGCACAACTCGTTGCGCATCGATCGGGTGGCAGCCATCGAAACCACAGGAATGGAACGCACAAAGAAACACCGTCAAGTGGACTTTGAGCAGGTCAAGAAAAACCCGGAGTTGATTCGCAATGAGCCGGCTCAGTGGCAGATTGAACATGACCCGCTAGCGTATGCTGAGGAGCGGTTTGATGAATGTTTTGCTTGTTTGACGAATGGCAAGCCGTTTGTAAATACCAACAAGCCTGAAGGATATGTTTTTGCGCCATGAAACTGAGTAGGGGCGCATGGAGAAGGTCTTTCTGGAGACTACAGGATTACGTAGTGCGTGTATGGATGTCTTGAACAAGTTACACTGTTTTATGCGCAATGATCTCTGGCATGTGCAAAGGTGACCTCCAATATGTTGTCATTTTAGATATTTGAAGGTTTTGTCATTGGGACTGCTGTAGGTGAAAACTATGATCCCAAATGATCCAGATTTTGCCCCAGAAAATGCTCCAAGCCGTGGTGGCAACTGAACTTTATATCCACCAAAACGCACATAGTGCGGAAATTCGGGTCGTGTCTGCATGGATGGAAAATAAATTTATTCTGAGAAATGGTGTTTAAAATGTGGTGAGAGTCGTATTCATTCAAGCTAGCTAAGCACCGAACAAGGCCTTGTTCTGTTTGACCCATTCCTCGAGACTTGTGGGCTTCTGACCAGTGTAAAGAGTGACATTGCTCACGCCTTCCTCATAGTTAGGAAAGACCTCACCATTGCCCTTGTCTATGCCATTGGTACCCATGACCTCCACCATATAATCCGCGAATATCTTGGGCATACCGCTGTTCATATACTTTTCATGCCCTTCCTTGGGTCCCAGAATGGTGATCTTCAAGTCTTTTTGAAGAATCTCCCCAATCTTAGCAATACTTTCGTAATGCGAATAGACTTGGGGCCCGTAAAGGTACACCTTTTTCTGCCCATTCTTCGGGCCCGAGACAACAATATTGCCAATGACTCTACCAACGTCGCTTGGTACCATGTTATCTTCCTTGAACCCGGCGCCGTATAGCTTTACGTCGTTTGCAGCTATACCTGCCTTCTCCGATAGCAGGTTAGTGATGAAGCATCCGGGACGTACGGCGACATAGTCGGAACCAAAAACGTCGTCCAAGTTGGCTTCAACTTGCGCGTGCACGTACGGAAGCAGATCAGAGGAAGGGATCTCGCGGAGACCTTTGTTGACGAGAATGGTAAAGCTGCTCAGAAAGACTACAAACTCGATACCCGCTGCTTTCATTGCCGTAATAGCGCCGTGAAGGTGATCAGATGCGTGATGGACGAGGTAAATGAATGCACGCTTGGCGCCGGAAGTCTTAACTGCTTGGCTGACAGTTTCGGGTTTTTCCAGGTCGGCCTGGATCCTGTGGTAATCACCCGCAGATTCAGCCTCTTTCGTGAGGCCTGGGATGTTTTTGGACGTGTCTCGCATTGCCAGCCAGACCTTCGCTCCAAGCTCTCCAGCTGTTCGCGCGACGACAGATCCAACCTGGCCTGTCGGGCCGAATACAATCACAGAAGTCATGGCGCTGGTAAAAGGTGAGATTTTGGCAATAAAGATGGTATTATCTGTATATTTGCGCTGAAATGTGCTGTTGTTCTTTATGCGTTTGTGAAGCTGGGACAAATGCCCAGCCTCTCACCTGAGACACAGAAAGCTTGATTTGGAGGCTAGGCGCCACGCCCGGGAACGCTTCGGGAATCTCGGGAATGTGGACGGGAAATGACCGGGATTAGTAGCCGTTTCCCAAAGCAATCACGAAGAAGAGAGTCCCAAAAAAAGACAGGATTGTTTGCATATGAATCTTCTTGTCTGTTCCTCTAACTTCATTTGTCATCTTTTTCCTTGTGTCGAAAACTCCCGACTCTATTTTGCAATACCAAATGGGCTTTCCGCACGACTCAGCCTTGTCGCAAGGGTCATTGATCCTTGTCACTGGTGTCACCGGTTTTCTTGCGGGGGTCATAACGGATCAACTGCTTCGCCATGGGTTCTGTATGTAGTATACAGCTGTTTTTTTGTAATGGCGGCACGATGAATGACGGGGGTTGGAATTGACGATCACAAATTCAGGTGTCCGTGGCACTGTACGAGACCTCGACAGTGACAAAGCTTCTTGGGTAAGCTAATCCATGTTTGACCTATCATAGCTTAGACTGACGTGAACATATCGAGTAGATGCCTAGCCATTTTGAAAAGAGATATGGCACAGGGAAATTTGAAATGGTAGAAGTGAGAGACATGGCAAGCGAAGGCTGCTTTGAAACCGCCATCAAAGGTGTGTTCTAAGCTGCTATCCGAAGTCGCGCCGCTGTATGTACCATCAAATGTTTAAAACACTGACTCAGTAGCAGGCTGCAGCGGAGTGATTCATGTCGCTAGTGTCACTGGGTTCGAAGCTGATCCTAACAAAATCATCACACCGAGCATCGCCTTCGTCGAGAACATTCTCGCCGCAGCCGAAAATGAGCCCTCAGTTTCCCGATTCGTACTGACATCTTCTTCTGCTGCTGCCAGTCAGGACCGAATCAACGAGGTCTACGATTTGACCCCAGCCATGTGGGCCAACTGGGCTGTTGAAGAAGCTTGGGCGCCACCACCATTCACAGTAGAGAGAGCACGGGCGAACTACTATGCGTCAAAAGTACTTAGCGAGCAAAGACTATGGAAATATGTGCAAGAGTGCAATCCCCGATTTGTAGCGAACTCGGTATTGCCGGACTTTGTCATCGGGCTTGGAGTAGATCCCGAAAGGCAAGGCTTCGTATCTTCCATGGGTCTTTACAAGCAGATGTTTGATAATTCCGGCGATGCATGGAAATCTTTCGGTCCCCAGTGGTGTGTCGATGCAATCGATGTTACCCTTTTGCATATTGCCGGCCTTGTATGCCCTCACGCAAGTAATCAACGCATTTTCGCATACGCGCATCGCAAAACCTGGGCAGACTTCATTGCACGGTTACAGGATATGTATCCAAATCATCGTTTTCCGGGTGGGTGCTTTAATAGTTCTTAGTTCTAAGCATTCTTAGGCACATATGAGCTAATTGGAATTCCAGAGCCAAGTCCGCGCGAGGGACAAGATCTTTCTAATGTCACTGGGCGAGACTTTGCCAGAAACCTGCTGAAATGGATGGGTAATTCCGATTGGAGACCTTTGGATGAATCACTCAAAGAGGCCTCTGACTTCATTTTACTGAACCAAAGTGCCGTGTGATCTTGATATATGCACGATTGTAGTTAAGATCACGTCTAGTTAAATATAATGAATAGAACTCATGTAAAAAACACGGTCAACTGAGAAAGAAATTGGATTTTGGAATATTAAATGTTCACGTGATAGTGCCTACGTGAATCCATCGTATAGCCTCCTGTGATATCCATATGGTGGGCTTCAGTTCTAGGGTTTTAGCTGTGTTCGAGATTCAACGCCCTCTGCACAAGCGCTTTCAGTTTTTCAGGCATGAAGAGGGGCTACGATACGCAACCGATTCCGAGATCCAGGGCTTCTGCTACATAACAATATGCTTCACATCATATGTGATTTATATGCATTGGATGCATTGTACATAGATATCACCAAGAGCGAACAGAGAAGCGGTGACGTAGTGGAAGACTTATTGGCAAGAAATTTTCAGTTATAAAACGGTTCAATGAATGCCGTTGGTATGATTTCCGTTTGTCTCACCATGCCCGAGAATAGCCTCAATTACGGAAAGTTCGCTGCCAGCCGGGCGACGGATAGCCCGAACGATCAGTCTCGGATCTGCCTTTCTCAATAGATCCCTCCACTCCTCTTCCTCTCGTTCTTTGGCATTGAAAGTACCGATCATCATCAGATCCTTTTGCCGTAACGCAGCTTCGTGTGTACTTGACCCAGAACCAGGCTTAGGAAGTACCATATCCATTATCAATAGGCGGCTTGATGGTGTCATGGCATCTACGAGACGCTTTAGTATCTTGATTGCGTCGGTATCGGGCCAATCATGCAGAATAGTACGCAGAAGGTAAACATCTGCGCCCTGATGGGGTTGCGGCTGAAAGAAGTCATGCTCGCAAGCCTTGACACGCGATCGAACATCATCCGTCAGGTTGCTGATAAGGCTCTGAGCGTTTGAGATAGGGCCGGGGAGATCCTCAACAACGATGTTTAGGCGTGGGTAAGCTTTCGCGAGCATAATAGCGGTAGACCCACTACTTCCACCGACCTAAACAACGCCATTAGCTAATGATCAATGCTATCTGTAGAATCACCAATCTTACATCTACAACCTTGGCATTTCCTAATGCTTTCCAATCAAAAGCTTCTAACAAGTACGCTGCATTTGATCCGGTGTGGGAGACTGCTCGACTCTTCATGTAGTCCTCGAAGTTCTTCTGAAGGTGAGGGTGTGCCTTCAAATGTGCAAAGAATGGGAGATCTGTGTCGTTTGCGATGTTGTAGGCTGTTTCATTAGGCGCCCGGGTATCTCCCCACTTTTCTGTCGCCTTTACCAGCCCAGCCATGACGGGAATCGTAGCGTTGAACATATGTCTCAACTGGACCCGCATATGTTCGTCCTCGACGAAGGATGTAGAGAGAGCAGTGTGGGAGAGATTACCGTTTGGACTTTCACCAAGGAAGCCAGCCGTCATTGCCATACGAGCGACGGAGCGCAAGACTGACTCTGGGACTTTGAGGCTCTCTGCCACTGTGTGATACGATACTTCATTAGGAGGTAGAGGTATCTGGCCCAATACTTCGAAGTGTGTGAGCCATTGGATGCTATAGTATTGTTGCTGCTGGATATGGAGTTCTGTCAGAAAGCTGCTCGGGTCATGGATGAGCTTCTTGATCTGGGCCGCATGTTCGATAATCTCGTCTCTGGCTTCTTTCTTCATCATGAGAACAGATGTGCAGATAGTGATAATATAATTGGTAGAAAGTTTGCCAATTTGTTGTACACTGATATAGAAGGCCTTGAACTACCTTGTGAGCAAAAATATCAAGATAACTCGTGCGATAAGCCAAAATTCGGGTACATTCTCGATATTCCGGACACGTTGTAATGCCCGCCGTGCATGTTCCCGAAAGAACCGAGTAGGTGCCTATCGTCCACCACAAGATACGTATCACCCAATCGGAATTGACTTTAACAGTGATATGGGGAAGAATCGATTACAAACTCGCTATTGCTACCCCACAGAGCTCATGTCTATGCCCGCGTGCCGTGCCCGGGGTATTCCCAAATTGTATTGTATAATCAGCAGGGGATGGAAATGGCGGGCTTCACTCGCCCATACCATCGGGTATATCCAATGAACCGACAGAACCCCCACCTCCTTCCTCGTCCAATTCAAGGGTAGCTCCAAATTTGGCGCGACTCTCATAACTATGTGCCGATGCATGATGCTGTCCTTATAGTATTTATCAAGATAAACAGCCTTGCTAGCCAGATCAAAGTCAATTGAACGCAACCCCCTTCCACAGGCTAACAGAACACGCCACATTCAACTATGGCAGACAACCTGAATATATATCTCTTTGGAGATCAGACTTTCGACGTAGAGCCTCATTTCTCAGGTCTACTAGAGGCTAGGAACAATCTGTTTTTACATACACTCCTTCATGGCGCGTACAATGCCATTCGAACTGAGATATACACATTACCACCAGAGGTCCGAAATGAACTGCCGCGATTTACCTGTCTCGAGGATCTGGCATCATGGAAACACAGCGGAACTGGCAAGCGATGCATCGCTCTAGACATGGCAATGACTACATTATGGCAATTAGGGATGTTTGTTCTGTGAGTTTCATCATTTCAATTGATTTTGTGTCCGGCTCTCGCTCATGTGTTCAGACAAGCGGAAGCATGCTATATAGCCCCAAAATGCTCAGTCGTCGTTGGACTGTGCACTGGGACTTTTGCTGCTGCTGCAGTAAGCTGTAGTAAAAACACAACGGAACTTATTCCGCTTGCCATTGAAGCAGTCATCGCATCTTTCAAGACCGGTGTGCTTGTACAGGACGTTGCTCAGAGACTTGCTCCTTCACAAGATCTCGATCAGAGTTGGGCCATTCTCATAGAGGGTGCAGCATCGGCTTCGCTCTTAAGCAACTTCAATGATGAGATTGTAGGTTTAAAATCCACTACTTAGTCTCTGATCGTTGACTGACAATTTTCAAGTCTATGCCATCGATCAATAAACCGTACATCAGCGCCTACGCTCCAAGTGGTGTGACCGTGAGCGGGCCACCCGATTCTATTTCCAGACTGGTCAGTTTTGGAGCCTTCAAAGAATTGACGAAGAAGACCATACCCATAACGGGACCGTATCATGCTGCCCACCTCTACTCAAATAATGACCTCAACTCGATTGTCTCAGGTTTAACAGAAAGAGCAGAGGGCAGGAGGCATGAATCGATACTATTCTTGTCTACTAACAAGGTCGGGCCAGAAATTAGGACATTTGCATCACTTCTCAGGGAAGCGACCGCTGAGGTGCTCCTACGACCGCTTCTGTGGGCTGATATCCTTGAACGATTTGAAAATATCTTACGCAATAATGTTCCACAAAGGCTTAGTGTTGCTCCTTTTGGATCGACTGCGCATTATCTTTTCTACAACGTAGCAAAGAAGATGAACTCGAATATTTTGATAAACTCTTCACAGCATGCCAATGGTCAATCGGGCTTCACTCCGACAATTAGCACTGGCCTCAAGAAACCTAAACTAGCCATTGTTGGGATGTCCGGACGCTTCCCAGACGCGAAGAACACCGATGAATTCTGGGATATACTTCGACAAGGTTTAGATGTGCACAAGGTTGTGCCACCCCAGCACTGGGATGTACGCACCCACGTTGATACCAGTGCGAACCCTCGGAAGAACACAAGTGCCACGCCTTTCGGTTGTTGGTTGAAGGACCCGGAAGAGTTTGACGCGCGGTTCTTTAACATATCACCGAAGGAGGCTGCCCAGATCGACCCCGCACAGCGACTCGCTTTGATGACCGCTTACGAAGCTATCGAGCGCGCTGGTATAGTCTCAGATGCAACTCCATCTACTAGACCGGACCGAATCGGCGTTTTCTATGGTGTAACCAGCAATGACTGGATGGAAACGAATAGTGCTCAGGACATTGATGCGCACATGATCCCTGGCGGCAACCGCGCATTCATCCCAGGCAGAATCAACTATTTCTTCAAGTTCAGCGGACCGAGTTATGCCATCGACACAGCTTGCTCATCTAGTCTGGCCGGTATCCACCTTGCATGCAACTCCCTATGGTGCGGCGACATCGACACTGCCATAGCTGGAGGTACCAATGTAATCACCAATCCGGACTTCACTGCTGGACTGGACCGCGGCCATTTCCTCTCTCGCACGGGCAATTGCAAAACTTTCGACGATGGTGCTGACGGTTACTGTCGTGGTGAGGGCATTGCAACGGTGATCATCAAGAGGCTCGAGGATGCACTTGCAGATCATGATCCCATCCTTGGTGTGATCGTTGGAGCGTACACCAATCATTCAGCAGAATCTGAATCTATTACCAGGCCGCATGTTGGTGCTCAACGCGCCATTTTCAACAAGATTCTGAATGAATCGAGTGTCGATCCTTACTCCATTAGCTACATTGAGATGCATGGCACTGGCACGCAAGCGGGTGATGCGGCTGAAATGTCAAGCGTTCTGGACACGTTTGCTCCATCGCCCAGCCAATGCCAGCAATCTAAAATACGCAAAGAAAAGCTCTTTCTTGGTTCAGCCAAGGCGAACATTGGCCACGGCGAGGCCGCCTCTGGCGCCTCAGGCCTTATCAAGGTCTTGATGATGATGGAAAAGAATCAGATTGTTCCGCATTGTGGAATTAAGACAAAGATTAACCACAAGTTCCCGACCAATCTTGAGGATCGTCATGTTCACATTGCTTCTGAGTTGACAGCGTGGGAGAGGAATGGACCTGCGGTGCGGCGTGTATTGGTCAATAACTTCTCAGCTGCTGGAGGCAACTCGGCGCTCCTGCTCGAAGATGCACCACACGTATCAGAGAACGTCAACGTGGCCATGGATACTCGAAAACTCTATGCTGTCGCAGTATCTGCCAAGACAGGTGCTTCTATGCAGGGTAATCTGAGGTCACTACTCGCACATCTAAAGAAGGTGCCAAACGTTTCGCTTGGTGAGCTTTCATACACGACTACAGCACGACGCATACACCATCCACACCGGGTGTTGTTTATCGGTTCATCTGTCGAGGAGATCTGCCAACAAAATGAATCGGCAATTAATCAAGGAATTGGCTTAACAAGGCCCAAAGGATCACCACGAGTCGTGTTCAGCTTCACTGGCCAGGGTGCTCAATATCCTGGAATGGCCCAGCAATTGTTACAGGAAAGCACTGTCTTCCGAAATGAGTTGCATCGTCTAGATTACATAGCGGAAAAACTGGGATTTCCGTCTGTGATCCCTTTTATCGAGTCTACGGAACAAGATCCTACCACGTTCCAGCCCTCGGTTGTACAGCTCGCGAGTGTGTGTGTTCAATTAGCTCTAGTCAAATTATGGGGCACTTGGGGCATTCTTCCATCTTTAATCGCAGGGCACAGCCTCGGCGAATATGCGGCTCTCAACACTGCTGGGGTGCTCTCAGACGTCGACACTATCTTCCTTGTTGGAATGAGGGCTAGACTGCTCGAGGAAAAGTGTGTCCCTGGTACGCACGCCATGTTGGTTGTCGACAGCCCAGTTGACAAGATCTCTACTGCTTTGCAAGAAAGAGAATACGAAGTAGCATGCACCAATTCGCCAACAGAAACTGTCCTTGCCGGACCAAGCGAGAGGATGCCCGAGCTCCAGGAATTACTCAAAAACGCTGGAATGAGAAGCACACTTCTCAAGGTACCTTATGCGTTCCACTCTTCACAAGTGGATGCGATTATACCAGAATTTAAGGCCCGGGCACAGGGAGTGAAGTTTTGCGAGCCAAGAGTACCAATCATCCGGCCTTTAGACTCTACCGTGTCGACTGCTGGTACAGTCTTCGATGCTGAGTATCTATCACGCCATTCTCGCGAGTCTGTCAATATGCTCGGAGCATTGATCGCAGCTCACAGTAATGGCGCGATCACCGACCGATCTGTTTTTCTGGAGATTGGTCCGCATCCTGCTGTTTCCAAGATGGTCAAATGTACATTGGGGCCGTCTGCTTCTGCTGTCCCCTCGCTTCAACGTGGTGCTAGGCCATGGGACGTACTTACCAGATCACTAAAGTCTCTCTATGACAACGGAGCCAGTATTAATTGGGCAGCTTATCAGCAAGACTTTCATAAGTTTCACAGAGTTGTCTCATTGCCATCATATTCTTGGGACCTGAAGCCTTACTGGATCCAATACGTCAACGACTGGTCTCTTCGCAAAGGTGATCCGCCAGCTCAAGGCTTACACACCGGCCCTAAAATAACGAGTACGACGATTCATTCTGTCGTATCAGAGATCAACGATTCTAGGAGGACCAAAATCGTGGTCGAGGCAGATATCTCACGCAAAGATCTTGCCCCACTGGTACAGGGACATGAGGTGGACGGCATACCTCTATGCACACCCTCAGTCTATGCCGACATGGCTTTGACTCTCGGTACATACCTGCTCAAGCGCTATCTGCCAGAACAATCTCAACTGCTAGTCGACGTGTCCGAAATGACAATCTCGAAAGCGTTGATATTGAATGAGCAAGCAAACAAGCAACTTATTCAGGTTCACGCTGAAGCAGACTGGGCTTCCAGATCTGTGACTATGAAGTTCATGACCTTTAACAATCACCAAAAACTGCAAGAACACGCCAGGTGCATCGTGCATTACAGAGATGGTTCCCTTCAGAAAAAACTGCAAGCCAATGCATCAGAGATTCAGGCGAAAATATCAGCACTCCGCATGGGTATCGCTTCTGGCAAGACAGCACGGTATAATCGTGCAATGGTGTATCGCGCCATCCGACCTTTGGCGCGATTCCACAACGATTACCGTGCTATTGACGAAATAGTTCTCAACAGTGATACGCTGGAAGCCTCCAGCATGCTGAGCTTCGGTAGCGTAAAGCGAGACGGCGATTTCCATACTCATCCAGCTATTATCGATTCGTTGACACAAGCGTGCGGCTTCACAATGAACTGCAACGATAACACTGACCTAGACGTTGAAGTGTTCATGAATCACGGATGGGGTTCGTTGCAGCTTTTCGAGCCTATAGATTTTGAAAAGGAGTATACGACGTATAGTCGCATGGAGTCAGGTCCAGATAAACTCTGGCGTGGTGACGCAATCATCTTCGATGGCGACCGAGTCGTGGCACATTTCGGACAAATCGCAATTCAGGGCGTGCCCCGCAGAGTGCTCAAAGTCATATTATCGCTCGAGAGTGGCAGGAAAACGCAGACTCGTACCACACCAGCACAGCAGTCGACTACCGATAGGAGCCATCCAGAAATTCACTCAGCTCATCCAGGCGCCAAACAAAAACAGGCGCCAGTCAGATCTGGACCATCTCCTGTTGATGTTGGGCTTCAGATCATCTCAGAAGAGTCTGGGGTTGCTATCGACGCCTTCACGGACGATACCGTTTTCGCAGACATGGGGGTAGATTCTCTCCTTGGTTTAACCATATCATCGCGCTTCCGGGAACAACTCGACATTGATCTCGATTTCAACGGCCTCTTCTTTGAGTACCCAACAGTGAAGGATCTCAAGGCGTTTCTGAACACGTCTTTACCTGATTCGGGTTACGGCAGCCCGGTTGTAGACGGCAACGATGGGCTGGAGCCAGTGCATGAGGTTACGAACGCCTTGAAGATTGATTCTGCAAACGGCATCAAGATGTCTGGGGCTGTGGATAGCATGTCATCCTCGAGTCCTGATTTTGCGCGAGCACTACAGATCATTGCAGAAGAGAGTGGTGTCCAATTAAGTGAGCTTGGTGATGACACCGAACTTGCTGATTGTGGAGTTGATTCGCTCTTATCGCTCATCATCACAAGTCGCTTCCGCAACGAGCTTGATCTCGAGATGGAGAGTGAATCATTGTTCTTGGAGCATCCAACAGTGGGTGACCTGAAGAAAGCGTTGTTGGCAAAGTCGCCAAATAGCGTAACGGTAGAATCTACTGCTCATGAAGTAGTGAATAAGATGGTATTACCGTCTGATGCTAATAAAGGGGATGAAGAAATTGCGACCAACACAAACAAACCCGAAACCGCTCGCATGCACAAAACAGCCAACGATGAATCGCATGCTATACTCGAAACGCGAAAGCAAGCCGTGGAAGATTTGGTCAATGAATTTGCATCTGAATTCTCTGCACCGACATCAGACGAAAATGCGCCGGAGACAGTTGACGGAGAGAAATTCGTGCTGGTGACTGGTGGCACTGGAAGTCTTGGAGGTCATCTCGTGTACCACCTTGCTCAGCAGCCTGACGTTCGAACTGTTGTCTGTTTGAATCGTAAGCATCGCGAAGATCCCATGCAACGCCAGATTCAGGCGATGCGTGACAAAGGTATACGTTTCCCCGATACTCTGAAGCACAAATTACTGGTTATCCAGACCGATTCTGCCTCTCCACGGCTAGGGCTCGAACAAAGGCAGTATGATGAGCTTGCCGCCTCTGTTACTCACCTTGTCCATCAGGCCTGGCCAATGAGTGCGACACGTACGTTGCCGGGATTCAAGGCGCAGTTCCAAGTCATGCGTAATTTGATCGACTTTGCCCGTGATGCGGCATCACGCCACCGTAAGGACTTCAAGTTCAGCTTCGAGATGGTGTCCTCTATTGGCGTAGTTGGCTTTTACGACAAGGAAAAGAACACAGCCAAGACTGTAGTACCAGAGGTACGAGCGAACATTGATTCAGTCCTACCAAATGGCTATAGTGAAGCAAAGTGGGGATGTGAACTTATGCTCGATCGCACGCTGCACCTGTACCCTGGCCGCTTCCGCGCTATGACAGCCCGCCTGGGGCAAATTGCGGGATCAAAAACAAGCGGGTACTGGAACCCGATGGAGCATTTCGGTTTCTTGGTCAAGTCATCGTGCACCCTGAATGCACTGCCAGATGTCGATGGCAAATTGTATTGGACACCTGTCAATGACGTTGCAAGCGCACTTGCAGATTTGGTACTTGCGAACAACAATCCACATCCCATCTACCACATCGACAATCCCCACGGCCAGTCATGGAAAGAAATGAACAGTTATTTGCAAGCCGCGCTGAAGATATCAAATCTGATACCGTTTCACCAATGGCTGGAACGTGTGCGCCAGGCACCTCAAAAAGACAATCCTGCGCTCTTATTGTCCGACTTTTTGGAGTCCAATTATCTCCGCATGTCATGCGGCGGCTTGGTCTTGGACGTCTCAAACACGCTCGACCATTCACCATCCCTTAGGGAAGTTGGTCCAGTATCTAACCAGGTTTTGAGAAAGTACGTACATATCTGGAAGGAGATTGGATTTCTCCATGCTACGGAAGAAGATCGAAAGAATTTTGAGAAGGAGAGATTGGCACTTTGGGCTTAGCAAATAGATAGTCGTGTTGCATTGCTACATAAAAAAGGTTAATCTTTTTACTAAGCCTATCCTATAGTATGAAATGTACTGCCATGATTGAGAGAAGATTCCTCGATAGTAATATCCCTAGTTTTTTGACTGATGATGCACATTAAATATCCTTGTTCGTGCAATTGCACCTGCCTATTTACGCATAGAGTAAGTCGGCCATTCATGATGCTCTGATGCTCTTGTCTTTGTCAAACTGCGAGCTTTGGCTGATGGGTAACTTTGCAAACGGCCAGCAGCAGCGAATTCTGGGACAATCTGGGTAGTATCACATCTGCATTTGAACTTTTCAAAGTCTGGGATTCAGTTCTCACAGCCCTTGTAAGCCACATACCCGTAGAGACCTTCATTGACTAGACTCTTTTATGGTGCAATCCTACACGACCCTGGGTTTCGCCCAAGGGTCGAATGATAACAAGTAAGCTGTTGCCTATTGCTACTGGTGTCTGTCATCGTGAATCCCACTAATTCTGACTTGCTTGGCGATGCTGCCCATCCTCACATCCCATCGTCTGGCACCGGAGCGAGGCAAGCAATCGAGGACGGAGCGACCATCACCGCAATGATAGATGTGACGAGAGTCGATGTACCACTCGCTTTGAGGGCGACCGAGAAATTGCGGTAAACAGAGCAGACCCTCCTTCCTCTTTCTCCTACGCGATAATCTTACAATGGTGTTCTCAGCTACGAGCGAATAAGTCTAACTCAACGTTTGGGTTGAGAAAACTGTCATCGTTGGCAACAGAAGGATTGGGATGCAGTCAAAAGGAATCTGGAACTCCTGAAATTTCCTATGCCAGGATGGCTCTACGATGCTGATGCACGCCAATATGCCTATGTCAATGCTCAAGCGGTGAATGCTCACATCAAGACAGGTGCGCCTTTTACAAACACAAACGTTCCTGAAGGCCATGTGCATCAGGAATGGAAAATGGATGAACTTACCGCCTTATTGAGCTCCAGAAAATCCGAAGAAGTCTTTTTTTTAGCTGACAACACGCTAAGACAGAGTCAAAAGGCTTTCTAACAATTTTGAGATTCATCCTACTCAAGTGTTGGATAATATCGATATCAGACTAAGAAATATCTATACTATTCATTTATTCAATTCTTTCTAGGTCAATTGACATGATTAATGAATTTGGAAACGTATAATATAGTTAGACATTACCTAATAAGTAAAGTAATATCTAGTATAGACAAGAAATAGTAATAAAATCATAGAGAATTAAAGCGTTAAAATCTTAGCTAAACAGCCCTGCCGTATTCTATCCTAATTTTGAAAAACTGAGGTACAACGCGAGCTAGCACTCTGTCAACGCCCTAGTAACTCAAACTAGCCTAAGACGGAGCCGGAAATTACCTAACAGTCATGTTACTGATCCTAGTCTACTGCCGAATGATCTGACCATAGGATACAAGCTTAACCACTCGATGATGAAGATTCGAGACCCTAAGCAGAGCGTGGGGTTCTATGAGGTTTGAAGGGTAAGTCAAAAAAGTCACCCAGAACTTTCTGTTACGATGGGAGAACTAGAGTCGAAAGATGTACTAACTTAAGAAACTTAGGATTCTGCCTCTTTAGTTAAAGCACTGAACAAAAAACAAAGCGTTGACAGGTCTTGAATACCAACACTGTAGTTCCCTGTTATGTCGAGTTATGTAGTAGACAGAGAGTAAAGCTCTAGTCCGCGGCTCTAGGGAAACTACATGCTTCTATTAATAAATCTCCAATCCATCTTGGAATTAGTATTAGTTATGCGTAAAAAGATGTACTACAAAATACTCAGTATCACTAAGAAACCAGTCTATACATATCAGGATATTCTAAACTAAGGCAGGAAGGCCAACCCTAGGTGCTCCATTAGGTATCCTTGGGGCTAAAGAAGCTATAGTCACGTGTGGAAAGTGTATAGTAGTCCCATCTGAACCTTGGGTAACTCCTCAAAGATCCGTCTCAATTCACTCTAACTGATAATGTTCAGTGCCTATCTGCGAAACACCTCACACTGGGTTGGGTAGTACAGGATACCAGCCAAGGCGCTACGCCTCATCAGAAAATCACGTGGCAGATTGAAGTATGCACATGCTAAGCGTGGGATACAAGAAAGTCCATTCTGTACCCTACCCTACCCTGTCTTGTCACAAATCCAGCCTGGTGCAGTATGTCAGCATCTACGCACATGTCGAATCAAACAGCTGAAGACTAAGTATGCACCGAGTAGTAGTACTTGGAGCTCTTGCGCACCGTCATTGGGTGTATGCAAGCAATGGAACTGGGCCTGTTTCAAGCCGTTCGTTCCGGCGTCTTGGTAGTAAGCCCTTCGCCCCCAAAGTTCCAGGGGTAAACCCCACACCCACATCCACCCAAAGCTCACACATGGGTTTCCCGCAACCGACCTTTTGCATTTTGGGGGCCGGAAACGTCATTTGACGGGGCTGCCGAGAGAAAGAGGCTGTGCTTACGACCGCCCCGATCACCCCTCCCTGCTCCCCGAAGGGGAAGGTGTCTCTTTTTGTTTCTTACTTCCCTCTCTTCCTCCACACGTCCTTTATTCTGGTCAAGGTCGTCACTCGCTCGCTCGGTCCCGTACTTTTTGTTAATTCTTCTACTGTGAGGATTTATTTATTTATTTTTGTGAGAGGGGGAGATCTTTTGCTGCAGCTCAAAGGGGCCCGACAACGCTGGTGAGGATACAAGTATAACCCGCGAACCCTGGTTCTCTTGTTCAGCTCTCTTTCAGCTCTCAGTCTTGCACTACAGCCTCGAGGAAATTTCAGCCTGATGGATTAGAAATTGTCTTGTGCAGAAATTCCGGGTGTTTTTCGTTTAACCTTTTAACTTCTACGCCTTTTGAAAGTCGCTCCTTTTATTTTCTCCCTGGGCTTTCCTTTTGGGGCTACCTTCGATTTACGCGCAACACGGTTGACGGACGCGTCGGGCTCGAGTGAACAATTCGCTGGTTCGACACACGGATTGATTACGGGATACTGCGCTTGAAGGAAAGACACGACCGTACGAAACCGAACAAAAAACAATAAACAAAACGGTGGTTAGAGAGACGTTGTGTTTGGGATACCGATACGAACGACAAAACATACGCATAAGAAATCATGCACACAGCACTACCAACATGGCTCGCTCTTTCAGCAGCAATGATACCTAGCGCAACGGCGTTTTACCCATACCACTATGACGGCAGTAGCACTTCCTCATCGCCTTCCCCACGGTCGCAACGGCTCTCCCGATCCTCAGAGGAAACCACCGCGCGAGGCGTCACGCTTCCTCTGCGCCGCATCGCCACAAGCCTACAGTTCCGACAGAACAACGTGTACAACATAGTCAACTCGAAGGACCCGAGTCAAGAAAAGAGCGTGGCCATAGACCAAGATGGCAAGGATCTCAGCTACATGGTTGCCGTGACATTTGGCGACAGCAAGGAGGAATACCACATGCTGCTCGATTCCGCAGCGAGCAACACCTGGGTCATGAGCCAAGACTGCAAGAGCGAAGCCTGTAAAACGCATACTTTGTTCGGCAAGGGCGATTCAAGCACACTCAAGGTACGTTATCCTAACTTCTCTCTCCAGAGAAGACATTGGCAACGAATAACCCAATACTAACACACCACACCCCCCAGCCCGACACCAAACAATTCAGCATAACCTATGGCACCGGCTCCTCCAGCGGTACTCTCGCCTCGGACACAATCCACATCGGCACCTCCCTCTCCTCGCCCCTAACCTTCGGCCTCGCCACCAACGTCTCAGACGAATTCCGCGCCTACCCCATGGACGGCATTCTAGGCATAGGCCGCGGCAGCGCAGCCAGCGACGGCGAAATCGCCGCCCCACAAATCATGGACGTCCTCTCGTCGAACCGCCTCATCGCGGCAAAACTCTACGGCATACACTTGAGCCGCGCCAAGGACGGATTGCAAGACGGTGCGCTAGATATCGGACATATCGACAAAAGTCGCTTCTCAGGCGACATGAACTACCTCGATTGCGTAGAGAACGACACGGGGTTCTGGGAAATACCCTTAGAAGGCGCGAGTGTAGATGGCAAAGACGCACTAGCCTCTGCTCCCGGTAACGGAGGCAGAACAGCGATTATGGATACAGGAACCTCGTTCATCCTAATCCCAGAGCAAGATGCAACCGCCATGCACTCATCTATCAAGGACCATACGCAGAGTGGAGAAATGTTTTTCGTGCCTTGCGACACGAAAGCCCAACTCAGCTTCTCGTTCAACAAGGTCGCATACAATATCTCTGCCGCAGACTGGATTGGGGAGAAGGTCGAGGGCCAGGGTGGGCTGTGCAGGAGTAACATCATCGGCAGACAGACGTTCAAGGCGAACCAGTGGTTGGTGGGCGATGTGTTTCTGAAGAATGTGTATTCGGTGTTTGATTTTGAGAAGGAGAGGGTGGGGTTGGGGGTTAAGAGGGAGGGCGAGGAGGGCAAGGTTGAGTCGCAGAGTGCGACTTCTTCAGGTATGTTTCTCACTTGTCTAAACGGACTTGGTATGGTACGAGTGGAGCGTCTTGCTAACATGTTTTCTAGGTGCACAGTCTTCGGTCTCGCAAACGGCTTCCGGTAGTGCTGCGGCACCGACTTCTACTGCCGTGGCGGACAACGTGCCTCAAGGTCAGCAGGGCAGCAATGCTGCGGGCCACTTTTCGTCATCGTCTGCTCTAGTGTCCATGGTCGCGCTTGCTGCGATTTCACTGTTTATATAAAAAAAATTTTATGGGGAGGGGCGTTTTTACGGTGTAACTATACGAGGGAGAACATACACAATGGTGGTACATATCTGTACCTACACATGTATATCAAGAAGAATACAGAAAAACATGACCAAAGCCGTTGCACTGTTCTGTTCTGCGCTGGCTGGTGTCGGTGGTGCCGCTGTCATTTATGTTGTGGCTGCTGCTGTCACTGTCACTACTGTCACTTACTGTCACTTACTGTCACTTGTCATAGCCTCGTGACTGTACTAGCGCTAGTAATACCCATGCCAAGTTCATGCTTCATGTCCATGCACATGCTCATGCTCGTGTCAATGCATTACGCTGCGTTTCAGCATCAAGATATTGCATGAAGTGAGTATAGTGGCGTGTGTTATATAAAAAAAGAACACAAATACCATGGATCCAGGTTGACATGTGGTAATGCCATTTCCTAGAGTGAGGCAAGGCAAATCATGATTAGAGGGGACAGTGAACAGTGAACAGTGGTGCATAGTCATCATCACATGTACTACGTTGAGAGAGTCAAATCAAAGGGCAAAGCTGCCAGAGTGACACGGGAGTAGAGAGCAAAAAAAAGCACCGATTATTAGAAAAATCCTACCATTTGCTCAATCTCGATTCCACACGTTCGGAGAAGATAACCCCCATCATGAACTACCCCAAGATGATGTACGGCCCAAACACACAAAAGATCCAGCACAGTAAACGCCTCGTGTAGGTGCCATGAGAGAGATAGAGAAAGAGAGAGAGATGGGCCGGGAGCAGCCCGTCGAGAGTCGACTCGTCTGCAAACGTCGGCCGGCCATGTTTTTTTGCACGTCTTGCCCTCTTTCTCGGATAGACGACTATTACACACCCAATAGTCGCGACAGTTATTGTTGCTTGTCGACGCTCAACAAAGGCGCGGTTGGGGGTGGTTGAACCACCTATGTGCGGTATGCCGCGCTTACAAGATCAAGCACTTCTTGGTCTTCTTCTCTTTCCTGGTCAACAGAGCAGCGCGGGTGGCGTGCTCGAACACTTCCCTGACACCCTCGTTTGTCTTGGCTGAGCACTCGAGGTACTTCTGGGCGCCAATCTTCTTGCGGACATCCTCGGCCTGGAGGGAGGAAGCTTGTTAGCCATGGTGATTTTAGTGAGGTGGGTGGTGTTGGCTACTGACCTGCTCGGGTGTGACGGGCTTCTGCGAAGTCTTGTGCAGCTCCTCAATCGTCTTCTGGTCAAAGCGCAAGTCCTTCTTGCATCCAACGAGGATGATGGGAAGCCCCTGGCAGAAGTGCAGGACCTCGGAGATCCACTGTGTTGGGTTCTCAGTTAGCAGGGGACACGTGCAGGGGGCGGCAGGCGACGTACCTTTTCCTGGACGTTGTCGAGAGAATCGGGCGAGTCGACGGCGAAGCAGATGAGGATGACGTGCGAGTCGGGGTAGGAGAGGGGGCGGAGACGGTCGTAATCTTCCTGGCCAGCAGTATCCCAAAGGGCAAGCTCTACGTGCTTGCCGTCCACCTCGACATCGGCGACGTAGTTTTCGAAAACAGTGGGGACGTAGACCTACAGGCAGCGTGTCAGTGGATGGGGATGGGGCGGTGGTAATGGGGGATGAGTGTTGTGGATGGCGAGCTAGGCTGACGCGGCTCAGGGATGCGGTGGAGTACTGACCTCGGGGAAAGTGCCCTTTGAGAAGACGCTGTTGGGGGCGAGGTTAGCAAGGGGAGCAGGAGAGCAGGAGAGCAGCAGCAACAGCGGCAGCGGCAGGTGGAGCGGTGGGTTGAATGATGGGCGTCGAGTGATGGGAGTCGTAGTAGTCGTAGTTGAGGAGCACGTACATGAGCAGACACGTCTTTCCACAGGCGCCGTCACCGACAATAACAAGCTTTCGTCGAATCTCGGCCATGGTGTCGCGTGTGATGTAGGCGGTGTCGTGGAAGGAGATCTGTAGGCAAAGAGGTGAGTGTGTGGATGAAGGACAGGCGGTGATTGAAGTTGGACAACAGCGGCTTCAGGGTGTTATGGCTGGCGGGCACCATGACCGCAACGGGGGTCGTGCTGCAACGACTGCGGCTGAGCTGCGACCTGCGCCACGCCCACGACGCTGTGATTACGGGCTAGGGGCGCAGTCATGGGGGAGGGACGTGGCTCGTACCTGGACAGTGGTAGCTGGGCAGAAGCAGCAGTGGTGGTGGTGGAGATGTTTTGGGTTGGGTGTTAGCAGTAGTTGGTGGTAGGTAGTGGTTGGTGGTGTTGCAGAAGAGAGAGGAGACGGCGCGATTAGCTATCTGCATCGCCGGCCCTGCTGCTAAACCCACCGCGTCCTCCACGGCCGTTGTCACATGACCTACCTGCTCACCACGGTCTGTTGTCCGCCGGGCCGGGCTTGCATGCATTTGATGCTGCTTCTTCAATGCACGCCCACGCACATGCACATGCACACGCACACACACACACAAACACACACAAACACGCACCCTCACAGACTGCCAGACGGACACGCACGCCCAGCAACAAGAACAAAGAGGGCCCTTTGCACAGCCAGGGAGGGCTGCAGCCGTGGGTTTCAGCCTGCATCCCCAACACAGATAGCCTGCCCGTCTCCTAGCGAACGGCCAAGCGCGAACGCGGGTGTTTGGCCGCGCCCCATGCATGCTGCTCCAGCCTACTACGTATGTGTGAATATTCTATGATCTTTTGTACATGCATGGTACATACGTGGACATATATATACATAGATAGATGGACATGCACTGTATTGTGTGTGTGTGTGTGCATGTACTATGTACACATGTCTTATGTACATGGCCCATGTGTGAAAGTATACCATCTTGTCCATGGACGTGCAGGAGGCCCGCAATGACCCAAGTGACGTAGTACACTGTCGCGCATCCAGGCTGGCCATGTTCTTTGTGCCGTGTGTCGTCGGAGTGTTGGCAGGATGTAGTGTAGTGTATTTCTACTAGACGTACTACGGATTCTGAATAGCTCAGCATGGATCCGGCCTGCTCCCTATCAGCTACTACTACTACTACTACTACTACCCAGCATTTCCTCGCGCTTCGTCGGGGTTCCAGAGCACGAGGCACGTGAGTTGGCGACGCAGGCGGCTACAGGGCCCGTGGCGGGGCAGCCTAGACATCCACGACCCATCCACCTACTGCTACTGCTGCTGCTATTTACTCTTACTCTTACTCTTACTACCACTCCCACTACTACTAATACATAAGCGCTGCATACTACTACACAGTAGCCAGCTTTATTATTTCGCATCCATGTACTACTACTAAATGCTTCTCGGCCACCATCACTACGCCTCGCCCTTCACTTTGCTCCACGTCTTGTTACTCCACCCGCTCTAGCTGACGTCCTGCCGACCTGGCCGACGCTCGCTGTTGCCCACGCCCGCATTCGCTGCCTAAAGGCCTCGGCCGCCCGCTGCTGCCATCACCATGGCCGACCAAGATGCCAACCAACAAAGCCATCCCGGCCATGACGACACCCCCATGCCAGATGCAGCGCCTGCCCCCAATGCCATGTCCGATGCTGACAAAGTGAGCTCACCCACCACCCGCCCGCCAAAGAGATCCGCTGACGCAAACATCTCTCAGATCCGTGCAAAGCGTCTTGCAAAGCTCGGTGGTCCCCCTCCACAGTCGTCCTCAACCCCGTCCGAAGCCGCCTCGTCCGCTGCTCCCTCGCCCAAGCCTGCACAATCGCAGCTACCGCCGCCCAAGCCGCAAGCCCAAACCCAAAATCCTTTCTCACAACTAGGTGTCAAACCCAATGCGCCTCCCAAGAACACAATCACCATCAAGCCCGCACAGTCTTCAAGCGGTGCCTCAGCCCCCTCACCCGCCCCAAAAGCCCAGGAAATGAGCATAGAAGCATGGGAGGATAGAACTCTTAGCAACATTTTCCGCATAACGTTGGACGAGGCACACGCCAGGGAATCACATGGGAACAAGCTCTTCTATGTTGCTGGCGCAAAGAGTGATCTCGAGGATGAGGGCCGCCCGCTTCGCTTTACCACCGACATGCTCGACTCGGTCATACTGGAGGCGGCATCCAGCCACGCCCACGGCACTGCATTAGACTATCTGCTCGCCTGCTGGAAGCGCGTCACTAGAGTCCTCAAGACCTTGACCAACAAGACCGGCCCCAGGTTTGATGTTGTCAAGGAAGCCCGAAGACTGTGCTTCAGCTACTGCATATTCGCTTTCACTATGCCAGACATGTTTGGTGAAGATGCCCCTGCTGAGAATGCAATGGCTGATCGCCTACTACTTGGTCCTGACGATGAACGCGGCATTTGTTACGAATTTCTTACTGAAGCCAGCCAGCGCATAGCCGATGATGATTCTATAAAGGAGGCGCTCGTGGGCGGCATGGAACACGTGAGCCGCCGTCTTGCTTCGGTCTCAATGAATGGTGATTATAGACAGCACATGTTGATCTTGCGGATATTCGTTCGTTTCCCACCACTTGTCGCTGCCCTCGCTCAGTCCGAGACCTTCTTGCCCGCCGACATTGAGCCCCAGCACATTGAAACCCACAGCTTCCTTGGCCCCTTTTTCCGTCTGTCTCCTATGCAGCCCGAAGTGGCTATGAACTACTTTTCGGGATCAGCAGCCATTGACAAAGGCCTTGTTGCAAATGCTCAGCGGGCGGTCCGCATGACTCTACAGACCCACCAAGAGGAGTTATTCGACATCACAAACACCTTTATCAAGAACAGGGAGTCTCGCGAAAAGATGCTCGATTGGCTAGCACTCACAGTTAACAAGAACCACAAACGGCGTGCCATGCAGGTCGACAGGAAGACGGTCTCCTCTGACGGCTTCATGGTCAATGTCACAGTCATTCTCGATCGCCTTTGCGAGCCTTTCATGGACGCCACCTTCTCCAAGATCGATCGCATCGATATTGACTATCTGCGGCGCTCACCTCGTGTCGATATCCAGGATGAAACCAAGATTAACGCTGATCAAAAAACTTCGGATGACTTTTACAGCACCAAAGCTTCGGGCACCAACAACTTCATCAGCGAAGTCTTCTTCCTGACTGTGGCAGCACACCACTACGGTCTCGAAGCGGCAAACTCCAAACTAAGCTCCCTGCAAAAAGATGTCAAATGGCTGGAGAAGGAGCTGGCTAAACTGGAACCCGAACGACCAAAGTACATGACAAACCCCGCGCAGCTTGCCCTCTTTGACAATCACATCAAGAAGGTCAAGGAGCAGATTGAGCGGGGCAAATGCAGCATACTGGCTATCCAGGGTGTTTTGCTTGATGAGACCACACAAGCTCGGTCGATGCAACTGATGCGTTATGTCATTGTCTGGCTGCTACGACTTGCTAATCCTGGGACATCATTTCCCAAGACGGAACTACAGCTGCCTCTTCCCAAGGACCAGCCAGTACAATTCAAGTGCCTCCCAGAGTACTTTGTCGAGGACATTGTTGGAAACTTCAAGTTCATCACCCGCTACATGCCTCATATCATCACAACCACCCAATGCGAGGAGCTTGTCAAGATTTGCATTGCCTTTTTGCGCAGTTCCGAATACATCAAGAATCCGTACCTGAAGTCCGGACTCGTTACCATTCTATTCCATGGAGTATGGCCAATTCCGGGGAGATCAAAGGGCGTACTAGGAGACACGCTGTTTGCGCACGATTTCGCTATGAAGCACCTGTTGCATGCGCTTATGAAGTTCTACATTGAGTGCGAAAGCACCGGGACCCACACACAATTCTTTGACAAATTTAATATCCGATACGAGATTTTTCAGGTTATCAAGTGCATCTGGCCCAATCCCATTTATCGTGAGCATCTCGCCACGGAAGCCCGCGTCAACTTGGACTTCTTCGTCCAATTTGTCAACTTGCTTCTCAATGACGTCACATTCGTCTTGGACGAATCATTCAGCGCCTTCAAGGAGATTCACGATCTCTCAAAAGAGTTGAAGAATGCGCCAGCCGACATGGATCAGACAGCGCGTCAAGAACAGGAGGAGAAGCTGTCGTCTGCACAAGGCAAGGCCAAGAGCTACATGCAACTCACTAACGAGACTGTTGCCATGTTGAAGCTCTTTACCGAGACGCTGGCAGATTCGTTTACCAAGAAGGAAATCGTCGTGCGACTGGCACACATGCTGGACTACAACTTGGAGGCTCTTGTAGGTCCCAAGAAGTCCCAGCTCAAGGTTGAAAACCCCGAGGAATACGGGTGGAACCCGCGCAACATGCTTGCAGAGCTCACTGATGTCTATCTCAATCTACAGGGTAAACAGTCCTTCGTCGATGCCGTTGCCACAGACGGACGGTCCTACCGCCCAGAGTATTGGGATGAAGCCTACAAGATCCTACAGCGCTTCAAGCTCAAGTCGCCCGAGCAAATGGAGCAGTGGCAGAAAATGGCCACCGATATTAAGGCAGCCAAGGACCAGGCTGACATGGTTGAGGCTGACCTCGGCGATATCCCCGAAAACTACGAGGATCCCCTGATGGCATCGCTCATGGAGGACCCTGTCATCCTACCGATCAGCAAACAGGTGGTCGATCGCAGCACCATCCAGTCTCATCTTCTCAGCGACCCGCATGACCCTTTCAATCGTACACCACTCAAGATTGAGGACGTGATTCCAAATGATGCTCTTCGCGAGGAGATTCAGGCCTGGAAGCAGAATCGCCTCGCCCAAAAGATGGCGGAGCGCAATGCCGGCGCAGCTGCATCAGCAAGTGAAGCTATGGATACTTCGTAGTTCCCTTTTTTGGCGATTTGTATGCGCCACGGTAATATTTTCGTATGCATTTTGAGAGAGACGAAGCGGGAAAATTTACACGGGTCATCGAATACCATGATGCTAGGGTACAGTCTTTTTGTTAGGGGCGTTTAGGATGCCCGCATCTGATGGTCGTTTTTGGGAAAGGTGGAACTTGGGGGATTCCTCATCGGTGCGTCTTTAGACAAATGTACATGCATGCTGCGTCTCGTTATCCTCGGAGGACTTCAATAAACATTTGGTCTTGGGCTGGGACACGTGAGATTTCAATGGTGGATTTCAACTTCTCCTTACCCGCCATCACCACCATACCAACCAAATCTCAACCAATTTCTGTTCACAACCTCTGTTTGCGCATGTACCATAGTTCTCCCCCCCCCCCTTTCCAACTTTTTACTTCTTTAGGACCAATTATCATCCCATCAAGGGCAACTCACGCTTATTAAATATCTATACACCCACTTGCTCACCTATTCAAACTCAACAAATCCTCCACATACCTCCTCGCATCAATCCCAATCCCCTCGGCCAACCCTTTCGGTCCCCATCCAGCCGCCGCACCCCCCATCCGCTGACTCTGTGCACTCCCATTTCCACCCCCCATACCCAGTCCACTCCACACACCACTCCCAAACCGACTCCCAGTACTCTTATGTCCATGCTGCGCTCCAGGATCTGAATCTCTCGCGCGGCGAACCAGAAAAGCTTCACGCAGATCTTGTGTATTAAATGGCGCAGACGACGCTCCTTCTATCGACGTCGAAGTCCTCGACCCCTCTTCCGCTCCCCCTTCTCCTTCTTCATCTGACTGTTGTTGTCGTTGCTGTTGCTGCTGCTGCTGCTCCCTATACTCTCGATAATGCAAGTCCGTTTCCTCAGGCACCACATGTGAAGGCGGTAGGCGCATCCAGACGACCCACCAGCCGCGGTTCGTCTTGCACGTCCTCTCTATCTCGCTTAGATTCCTGCGCGTCGATACCACTGTCGCGAGCATCTGAGAATGCACATTAAGCGCATCCAGCCTACTCCACCCCGTTTGCCGGCTGTTCAAACCCTCCGCAAGTAAGGTGCTTGGGTCCGGGATATTTGGAAGGCTGGAATACATGGTCAAGGTGCGGGGGTCGAAGACGAGGTCGTAGATTGGTTGGGTGTTTGGACCGGCCGAGGGACCGGAGCCGCCGGTTGAGGCTTCAGTTGTGTAGTGGGATGATACTGCTTGGAGGCGTTGGGCGACGTTTGTGGGGTCTGTGGATTTGTCGAGGGAGCGGTGGAGGGGGGAGAAGAAGTTGTGGATGTCGCGGTAGAAGGAGGCGACGCCGAGGGAGTGGGTGCGGTGTTCAAAGAGGAAAACGTAGATGAAGGGGCGGTGCTGCGGAAGGCTTTGTTAGGTTTTTGGTGGAGGAGAGTGGTGGTGGTNGGGGGGGGGGGGGGTTGAACTTACTATGTATACGACTGGCCGGAGCCGTGATAGTTTGCTTGTGGTTGGTGGGGGTATGTTCATCATTCGTTCGTATGGTGGTGTCTCGTCTGATTCGACGTCGGGGGAACTCGACGATGCGTCTCTGCGGTCGACCTCGACATGTATGGTTCGTAGTGGTATCCGGTTGTTCCAGTTGCCTTCGTCGTTCTCGTCGTCGACATCCAAGTCTTGCAGGTCCCCTTTGAGTCCCACGAGGAAATAACCGTTGTTCTCTAGTCGTATTTGTTGCTTTGCCCTCTCTTCTACGTGGTCCACGTCTGGTGTTGGTTCGACATATCGCATGGCTTCTGGTGAAGGACTTCGTTTCCGCATAGGTGCTGGCTCAGGCGCTGGAGTGGGTTCTGGTGCTGAAATAGCAGACTGGGGGCTGTCCGCTGTCTTCTTTCCACCCCACGCTGTGCCATAACCAAGGGTCATGTACTTTGTCCACGTCTCGGTGTCACCCAGAGACGCTAACATGGACTTGGACTCGGGCGCTGGTGAACTTTGCTCAGGTTTCTTGTTATCAACCGCAGCAGCAGCTTTGTCAAGGGAGCTTTCAGCCGCTCTAACTATGGGTGGAGGGATGCCTAGGGGTAGGGCTGAGTTCCGATTTGATGTTGCAAGGCGTGGTCTTTCGGGTCGTGTAGGGCGAAGTGATTCCGGTGTCGGTTCCTCTGATTCGAGTGCAACCCTCGGATTCCTTCTCCGCCGTTTCTTTCGATCGGAAGCTGGGTTATCACGCACACCATAGGCGTACTCGCCGTAGCAGTAGATGCTTTCTACCCAGTGCGACAAGTCTCGCAGCGACTTCCGGCTCACTGCCCCTAGACCTGAGAAGACAACACCGTCTGCAGCCTGAGCGATCCTCCCGACTCCAACCCATGGGTCCAGTTCAGAATCGTCGAGCATCCGCGGGTCCGTGGATGTTTTGGATTGCTGCAATGACGATACTTCACCGAAACGAGATACCATGGCATCAACTAGGCCGGGTGTCCTGCGGGCAAAGTCCTCCAAGACATCGCGCTCACTACTGCCCCACTCCTCTTCACCCACGCCCATACCCAATTCTCCGCCGGCTGCCAGCTTCATACCGCCAAATATATCCACCGCTGGGCTCCCGTGGAGGAGTACATCCCAATTAGACGCAAACCGTGACCAATACTTGTCGAGGATGCTGCAGAACTTGGTGCGGCCATGCTTGGCAAACATGCCCTCGAGCGTCAAGCCATGATGCAGCAGGAAGATGAGTTGAGCGCGGACGAGTTGCTGGATGAGGAGCGCCGGCGGGCTGACCTCGCGCGAGGAGTATTCAATTACAGGTTCTGTGGTGTCGGTACTGGAGTCTTTTCGGGCGAGGCCAGAGGCAGCGGGCAACTGAGTGAGATCAATAGACTGGAGCAATGTTAGTCGGCGGCAGTTGCCTCTACGAGAATGTGCATACCGCCAATATCCACCACCCATTTTCCAGCTCGTGAAGAACAATGCGCGACTTTTCTGTTTCGACCGTATCGACCGCCTCGCCATTGGAGAAACTCCTGTCGCCGGGTTAGTGCCAGCGCATACAAAGCGAAGCGGCGGTGCAGTGCCATGTGCCCTACTTTGCAAATCCCACCATGCCCTGTGCTAGGCCGACCTGGCGTAGCTTTTCATTCTCCTGATCGCGCAGATCCTGCTCTTGCTGCGCGTCTCCATTTCTGAGCTTGGCGCGTGTCTTTGCGGCTTTCGAGTAGTAAAAGACAATCTGTTGGTCGAATGTTTCATCTGATGTGCCTAGCGAAGGGTTGTAGATGGCCAAAAATGACAGCTGGGCCGGAATGACCTTGGGCACAGCCGTGGACGACATTCGTGTATGCGCCGAGGGGGCCAGCCGCGAGGCGCGTTGACTAGGCGGTCGTGGTGGCAGGAGGGTGTTGCGTCACGGTTGCAGATATGTACGTTGGTACGCAGGAATGTACATACGTAGGTGTACCCTGCCAGCCACCCGCCAACGGTCGCCCAAGACTATTTGTAGATGGGTCATGACCAGTAGAGAGCGATATGACGCCGAACCATATAAGGAGCCAAGGACATGGCCGATTGTCACTGTCATCGGAGGTGAAGATGCCCCACGACATGACGATCGTAACATGGCCGTGTCGCAGGGCGCGGCATCTTCCGAGCCCATGGCCGACTGTCTTCTTCACCTCCGAACCATGCCGTGGCGACTGCCAGGCTCGATCCGATCTCTGCTGCTCACCTCGCGGCGCCATTACGTCCCTCCGAGCTGCTCCGCCTCATTGCCTTCACCGCTGCGCATTCTCTTATGTGGATCAGATGACTTCAGTATCGCATCCTTGCGTGCTGTCGTGGACGCGAAGCGTCGGGTTCCCCAGCTTATAGATAGCGTACAGGTGCTCCATCGCGCAGCCAAGCCCACTGGAAGAGGACTGAAGACGTTGAGAGAAGGTAGACACGCCTGTCCATGGGCGACATCAAGGCCGTTGACCCAGTACAGTACCTATCAAACAGGTAGCTGTCGAAGAGCTCAGCCTATCCACCCATGCACTTGATACATTCACGGGTTGGACACCACCCGCCCCCGTAGACCTCATCATCGCCGTATCCTTTGGCCTTTTCGTGCCTCCTCGCATCCTCGCCCTTTCTCGCTATGGCGGCATAAATGTCCACCCATCACTGCTCCCTGACTTGCGCGGGCCAGCTCCAATCGAGCATACCATCCTAAAGCAGAGAAAATATACGGGTGTCTCCATCCAAACGCTCCACCCACAGCACTTCGATCAGGGTACTATTCTCGCCCAAACACCAGCCCCAGGCATTCCAGTTCCCCCAGGCATCACATCACAGAAGCTGGAGAAACAACTGGCGGACGTGGGAGCACAAATGCTTGTAGACGTGCTCGAATCGCGAAAATTCATACCACCGATCACGGATGCCGGATGGTTCGCTCAATCTGGCTGCCCTACCGACCACGCGCCAAAAATCACAAAGGCTGACCGGTTCGTCGATTTTGAGACAGACACCATGGCAGCCGTTCTTGCCAAACACCAGGCGCTCGGCGATCCATGGTGCGTGCTGCCCAACGGCCATCGCCTGATACTGCACGACGTCATTGACACGGCAACGGCCGATCGTTCCGACCGCAAACCCGGCCTGTTTATAGAGCCGAATACAAAACAACCTATGATCCAGCTTGCCTGCGGAAAAATAGCCACCCTAGTAAAGAGCACATATGAAGGGAGCAAGCATGGCCATGGCAATGCAAAGCTGGTTCGCATACTAGCTGACGGATGAGTGCCAGGATAGCCCTTGCACTTGAAAAATTGCCCGTTGATGGCTACCCGTTAGACCATTTACATTCAATTACCACCATGGTCGTCTTCCCACACTTCTTTCGCATCTTGAAAATCCTCAATCTCCTTCATCACCCTGACACACTTCGATGTCGCCGATACCTGATCCAAAGCATCCAGCAAACCCGCAGGGCCTAAGACCTCGTAGAAGAGCTCTCGCACTGATTTGCCACTTCCTTCTACAGTTCTGTTTAGCGTCTGTAGCAAATGAAGAAATCCGTCATCAGACTCTGCATCAGGCGTGGTATTCTTGACCAGAAGAGACAGCCCCTGTATCCAGCGTTCAGTTTTAAACTTTAGCACGTCTGCCTGCTGCTTGCCTTCTGGCAGCGGTCCGAAGAGGCAAAGTATGCCGTCATAGAGATCTTGGATAGTCGGAGTCGCGGGTGTCGAGAAGGATGGCTTTCGAGCTTTTTCCACTGTGGGGTGGCGTTGCCTGAAAGCCTCGTACTCCTCTTCACCAAAAGCACGGCGCCTGGCGTTGAGATCAATGGTCTCTGGAGGTAAGTCTATCTGACATACAGCACTCGATAGCTCATTTTGAACCTCCAGTGTCTGTTGCTGATTCTGGAATGGCGTCTCCGCAGCTCCAGCTGAGAACATCACTCTTTTCACAGGCCCGCCAGGTGGTCTGATTGGCAAGGCTGGGTTCAGATTCATGTCAACTGAAGCAGAACGTCGCACAAAACTCGCGTCAAAGTCAGTGCCTTTTCTGATCGGTGATGGACCCTGTACATTTGTAGCGACAAAATTTGGGTTACTTGATAGTCCCACTGGGGCCGGTGTAGTTTCAGGGACCTTTCTCGCACCCAGATCTGCTTGTGTGAGCATGTTGCGGATATCCTCAACTGTACTTTGGACTGTATCATCTGCTTCTGACTTTTTCAGCACTTGCTCTAACAACCCATGCGTCTTCTCATGGCTTTGTGTGCTTTTTTCGTCTGTAAGGGTAGAGTTTGCCCTGAGCAGTTAGCCTCTGACTGATTTGATAGCAGGGATACAGAAACTACCAGATCATAGAAGTTAGTATGAGATTGATCGCATCCGTATGCGACTTCAGCTTCTCGCGATATTGTTGCAGCGACTGTTTTTCGTAGTCCCACCGCACCCTATGCCAATTGACTTGAATACTTTTCTCCATGTCGTCTAGCGTGCGCAACTTCACTTTGTCATTGTTGGTCGCTGCATTCCCTACAGCTGCGCTCTCAACCGAACGGTATTTCTCCGTAGCGGATTCTAATTCTTGTAGAGTAGACGCGTTTATCATTGCATCTAGCTTTTCTTTGGATTTTGCTCCTCCATGCCGATCTGGTCGTGCAAGCACATCCTTGGGAGCTTCTCCCAGATGGTCCAAGGCACATTCTAGGCTAAAAAGTACATCCGCAAGTTCTTTGAGATCACGCGAGGCCGCCTTCCCTCAAGAGCTGATGCTTGAGTAGAGACCATACGCTAGTTGACTGAGGAGTACTACACATCATTAGCGTCCTCACATCGTGCGAAGCGACATACTCACTAATGTCCCCAATCGAAAACCCAAACGACATCGTTTCTTTGTTTCTGCTGTGGAGAAGTTGAGATCTGGACAGCAATGGCTTGGTGATCAGGCTGAATAACACAAAAGGAGACGCAGTTGTGCTGCTGATGCGACCCCGCTTAATTTTAGAGGCCGGTAGTTATGAGGGTTGAAAACACCTTCTCAGCCTGGCAGGCACCATCTCTCGTAGCTTGAACTTCATAACCTATTCAGCGTCCCTCATTTTCTTGTCGAGTCTTCACTTTCTCAAGACTGCAATAATGTCGTCAAGTGCGCCTACAAACCTCCGCAGAGTCGTCGTCGAGGATTTGCTAAAGACTAGGGATGTCAAGGAAGATGGATGGACTGCTACTTTCGACCCAGACTCTGGGCTGCATACCGTCTCTATGACGTTGAATGAAGATGAGTTGGTGTGGAACGGGCTTTGGAACAAAATCGAAGGTATAACATCTGCTGTCCTTCTCTCACAAATATCTTGACGACGATTAGAGTTCGGCTTCGCGAGGACTGGAGTACTTATGAATGGTGGTACCAAGTACGAAAAGGTGACATCGGAATTCCTGGTGAAAGAACACGATGAAGTGGCTGTGGTAGCAGACGATCAAGCTTCCACTCCCACCACGATAAAGATCAGTGAAACCCTGATATCACACGCAAACTCACACCACGTCCCACCCCTTGAATTCAGAATCGATGAAGCGGGTACTTCTCAGCGTGTGATACGAGACAATTGTGGATTTTGCGTGACATTTGAGCGAACTGTACGCATACCCGACGATAACAAACTACACCACCTTAGGACGGTATACGCTTTTTAGCGTAGACGCTTACTCGAAACACCTACCACAAAGTTTCAGAGAAGCAGGCGGTGTCTTCTTCTCAATGTGGCAGAGAGAAGCCATGTGGCTCAACTTCCAGCAAGGCTCTTACAAATATGCAGTACGCGTCTTCGTCGACCATGTGAATGCCATAACTGGACAAGAAATGCAAAAGGGACTGGACACTAAAGATGAGAGCAAGTTGCAGGACTATGTCGTCATACCTGGACAGGAATGGCTGGATGGTATTTGTATAGCTCCTGGTATTGTTCGTCAGTTCGTTGCCATGTCATGTGAGTATGCAGATCGAAACATCACGCGACACGTGCACTTACTACTTACTACAGTGAGTTCTGGATATACTGTCGAAGGTAAAAAAGCTTCAGAGGAAAAGCATGGAGGACTGCAGCTCGAAGTCACACCTGAAATGATCCGAGGCAAATGATTGTGGTCGTACTCAAAACAACAATACATCACATTCAAAGTTGATAACAAATACAGAAACGATGGACTGAAAGAGTCCTACACTCCTCGTGAACTTGGCTGCAAAATTGGAGATATACTGAGATCGTATCCAACCGATACAACATACCGAACGCCTTTCTGGATTCAAGACTTGGTCACGCCAGAGGTTGAGAAATTGAGCGAGAACAAGCTTCCCTACAATGTTGATCTATCTTCGGTGGCCCCTGTTAAGCTCAAAGCTGATGGTGGTACCCTACGGATGGCTTTTGAAAGGGAATGTCGTGGGGAAATTGAATGTTGCGTGCTCCCTTCACGCCGAATGTCACGCGACTCGATTTCGTTCTAACCATTCAAATCACAAACAGTAAAAGAAACTTCTGATGTACCTCTACCCGCACGTAGTCACGGAGAACCCCCATCGATATTATGGAATCATGTCCAATTGGTAGCACCCATACAGCCACGCCGTGCTAAGATGAGCATAAGAAATAGTGAAAGATATGATTTTCAGTCTCGTGAAGGTATAGACGAAGGCATCACAATGCATGCTAAGACGGAGAGCGAAGGCAAAAAAGGGTTGATTGAGCTTACCGAAACCCAAGTCAAAAACATCAAGACCATGGGTTTAGCCGCCGGAGGGAAACTAAGTACGTCGCACTATATGTTTGCTTTCCTCTGGGTCTTACTAACAATCAATAAAAGTCCAAGACATATACAAAGACAGAAATCCCGCCACAATATGGAACCACGCTACAGCACGCATCCTCTACGTGCACATGCTTGATCCCGAGAGCTGCGAAAAAGTCACACACATTGTTCCTTAGCCTCCACCCATGGACGTCAATAGGTACGTCAAGTCTGGCGGACAGTTCTGGGTTGTCGAAGAGAAAGTCGACGAGCGACTTGATGGCGGAGATTTCAACAATGTAAAGAGTGTCAGTCAGATGGATAAACATGTGGGTATAACCACGGAACTAGAATTCAATCCGGCAAGACCCAAGGTATGTACGATGTGTGAGATGCGACTATGTGACTGCATGTAAGTGCCGAGTTCAATTACCCATCCATACCTCTTCTCTCTCTTTCCTCCTACTAACAAATCAAATCCCAGCATACGCCCATACGCCTACCAATTCTGCAATATATGTATCAAAGCAATAGAGGAAGGCAGCACCATCGAACCCGGTTCCCAACAGGCAACGCCCTGGAAATGTCCCACCTGCAGCACCCCCATCTCCCATGTCGCCGGTTTCTCTGCACCCGTGAACCTACCGGGCGAGGAACCCATGCTCAGGACCAAAGTCCCCGTGAACGTGCTCAAGGTTGAAGACGGGAGAGCGAGGTTTATGAGCGTGCAGATGTCCAGGGTCTAAACTCTTCATCGTAATCAATCTCGGGACCGGGTCAGGAGATGCCAAGCGTAAAGAAGAAGGAGCAGGGAGCATACTGATAAGAAAATCAATCGTTTATCATAATTCGATTTCTAAATTTAACACCTTATCGACCGTACATGCAAAGTGCTACAAGGTCACAACCATCCCTGTACAGATAGTGAATACTAAATCCGCACCCCACGAATAAGACCCCCTTCCCCCCCTTCCCCCCCTCCCCTCCCCTCCCCAGCTAGCTTTACATCTGCATACACAGTCTAGGATTTAATGGTACGCCTCGGATATCACTAAAAAAACACTCCTGAACAAGAATGCATATTCCGTATGCCCGAGGTAATCCGGGTATCTATACGTTCCGCATGGATAGATTCAGCTCCCGATAGCTGATTGTGAGACAAGCCCAATCGAATGACGGGCGGACTAAGAAAAAAAGGCCCTAAAGCCGTCTTGGAATTACCGCCTGGGCCATTTATACCTTTGCTGCACAGACGCATAGTACATACAACCCATGCGAGTGATCCAAGGAATCCATGAAACAAAACAACGACATCGAACCATGCAAAGAAATAAATAGAAAATGATCATCAGTGTTCCCGTGCTACAGTAGCTAGTTAGTTTGGGTATTGCACTAAAACAAGCGGACGTGTATCTTAGCAGCCCAGTTTAAAAATAACAAACACCCGATCGTCACACGCTTACACCGACCTAGTCTAGAATACCCTTGCAAATAAAAACCTACTTTGTAAGAGTATCGGCGTAAGCAGGGATGTGTTGCTATGTATGTCAAGGCTAGCGGACGGATAGATACAAGAAGAAAAAGAGGCAAAAAAAATACCAACTCCCCCGGAAAGGCTCGAACTTTCAACCTCCTGATACGCTACAAGATAAATCTGTAACAGTCAGACGCGCTAGCCAATTGCGCCACGGAGGAAGGATGCGAAAACGCTGAATGCGCTTCGGTTTTGAGTTGTGATGGAGAATCCGCGTTTTGTAACATCTATAAAGGCATCAAAAATCATCTTTCCATTTGGTGTTCTATGCAAGTGGAATGTTACTTAACCTTGATCGGCTAATGAGGGGGTGGAACGGACCCACGATCCATACGTTTGTTTTAGGCGAGTAACCTCAAGCATGACTGGCTCTCGCCATAATCTAACTAATTGTACTACGGAGGACTGGGTAATGAGATGTGCAGTGTTGGGATGATGCTGTTTTCTTGTTCACGAAAGTGGGGTCAACTACACAACACAACCAGCGGTTTCGGAATCTACATTTCCTCAGTTTCGAGATTGTGTGGCTGCTTACATGAACCCCTTGCAATACTGACGGAGAATGGCCCAATTAGAACATTTGCACTAGATGCAGTCTCTACATGTAAGATACCGGTCTTCGCACGAAGGGTGAAACGCTAGTATTGCGAATTTGGGTAATGGTACAAAAATCATGTGTTTGTTTTGCGTTCTTTGTGATCAGTGCGGCGTGCGCAAAACCTGTCGTGCGTGTTCTGAGTAAAAGGTTGACTATAATGTTGTTGCTCATATGTCTGTCTAGTGCAATTGCTCTTTCTGTACCGTGCGTTTGTTATTTCTAATATACAACCAATCTTTCCCCTATCCAAACGCCATGTACTATCATCAAAAGAAATCATCTCAAGGACCTCATCTGTACACCCGTATCATCATGGTCTCGTTGCTCGTTATCATAACCCGGAGCCATGAGCCCCATTTCTTCCTCTCCATTTCCCCTCTCCCTTAGTGCAACCTTTTTCGAATGCTCCTTATTCACAGCAACATAAATCGCAGAACCTAAGATGAGTGAAGAGCCAATGATAGAAAGGGTGCCTGGCGTTGTGTCCCAAATGAGCTTGTCAAATGAAAGAGCGAACAACATTTGCATATAAACCATATTGGTAGCACGAGATGACTTTTCATATTGCAGGCCGGCTGCTAAGAGGAATTGCTGGGAACGTTAATGGAATGGAATCAAAGAGGATAACTACAAAACGTACCATAATGAAGCCGCAGATACCAAGGAATATCAAGTAACACCAGTCTGCAAGGCTGCTTGGAAGTAGAAAGCCGACCCCTGGCATGGTAAGCATAGCTACAATACTGACAATCGTACACCAGGCTCCAAAATAATTGACCGTGATGAGGGGATGGGCGCGTTTGCCTATCCAGCGAATAGTAGTGTAAGCGCCAGCAGCCCCAAAAACGCCAAGCATGGCTATCCCTACTGCCATTGCTCTTTGCTTGGGAGTTACAGATTCATAATCTGCGGCAAGGCGGTCCGGTGATGCAGTCGTTGTGTTCGCAAGTACCGAATCTGGGTTGGCGCTGGCAGGCGATATTATCTCTGGAGAATGAGAAAGAGCGGCAAAAAGGGAGGCGGGCCGCGCAATCAAAACAACGCCGAAGAGCGAGACGTATGCTGCGATCTGTTCCATCCGGGTAAACGGTTCATCGATAAGGTAGGAGCACGCCCAGCATGCAAGACTAGGTGCAAGAAAAGTGATGACTGTTGCATCAGCAAGGGGAAGATACATTAAAGAATCTGCGATAAGTCAGCACTATGATCTATCATCAATGTTAATGGATACTATAGTGAAAAGTCCAGGAGAACGTAAACAAGGCTCCCCAGAATAGGTGTAAACTCCGAGACTAAGCCAAGTCGGAAGTCTGAACAAACCCTTGCACCCACATGGATAAACCATGAGTGGAGTTCCTTACTTACAATACATGCCGAACACTCCAAAGAAGCCAGTCAGACCTCGGGCTATCAGTAGCGGGCGTACTTCCTTCATACCGAACGGAAAGTGGTCCGTCTTCTTATACCACATATACAGAGAAGAACATAGGACTGTTATGCTCATCCTAGCAAAGAGTATCTGGAACGGATGATAGCCATTGCCTATGTTGCAATTAGCAAGCATAAAAACTTAACTTCAGAGGAAACAATCTACCATTATTGCCTTCCATTTCCAACATGCGTGTTGTGACATTCATCAGTGTGCCAAACAGCTGCGAAATCAAAACGAGAGCTAAACCTTTGTTGGCTATCCACGAAGCTTGTATCTTGCCCTTAAAAGTCCGTGGGGGGCTAGGCGACCGAGAAGACTGCCTCCCATAACAAAAAGGACCACGATCTGGGATTCGGCCAGTCCGTACATTGTTGGAGTCGTCTATCGAGACCAAGGAGGGATCTGGGGACGGCACACGAATTGCCCCGCGATTAACCGTTAGTGTGTTTTCGGCCTTATCCCCGGGTTTAAGACGAGGCTCAGCTGCGAGTCTAGGCTCTTGGTGTTGCTGTGCAGTCTTGTCATTGTCTGCGATGAATTTTGGGGGTGTCGGCTGGTCCATGGTGTCTGGCGTGATAATCCGGACAGATGGATGGAGGTCTGTGACGAAGATATTGAGACATAGTGGAAATTGAACGAAAGAGTGGTGGGTTAATCAGCTGTAGACGCCACGGGAAAATGAGGAAGGCGGCTATCAAGTCAACGAGTCACAATCATCGACAACGCAGCGGCCCCCACAGTTCCCCATCTTTTCCCATTGATTGCCATTGTTCCCCATACGTTCGTTCCATGGCGGACTCGCTAGCTTGCGGAAATATTTGTACTTTAATCGGGAGTGTACCAGATAGCTCAAGTCCAATTCTTAGCGATTCATCAGAATTCGCCGTGGCTCCAGACGACGTCTTCATGATGACGTCCGTTCATGCACGTGACCACACGTGATGTAACGTGATGAAATCACCAAGCATATTTTCTTTAGTCCCCAACCATTCAATCAAAGCAAGGAAATGACGAAAGACTCTTGGATCTTACGTCAGTGAAAATTTACGGTAAGCTATCTGGGTCTGGATCTCAGAGTTACCAATAGCTATGTGACCGAGAGGCGGCGAAATCCGATCTTACTACCTATCCACCACACTACCAGCTTTCCATCTCTATAGATAGATTATACCGATAAACGAGGTCTTTTTAGCTCACACACCTCACTAACGCCATTTGCATAGCCGTACAATTTCCTCATCAACTCACATATTAGACAAGTATTCCGTAAGTAAGCCCTGGCCCATTCTTAGACTAGAACACCATAACTAGCTCTAGTACATTTTTTCGTTAGGTGTAGTATCATACACCATACATACAAGTAAGCCCTGCCAGTACCGTAGCCTGGCCAGACCTTTTTGTCTTGTGTAAGCAGTTCGGTCTGACCAGAGTAATCCGGCCGGCCCTTCTATTGATTGCCACAAGGCAAAACACACCATTTCGCAAGCCACAGGCATTTGCGCCGAGGCACCGAAACTTCAAAAAATAAAGTTTCCCTAAGGCTTTGGCATCAAGCCCCCCAGAAAGTGGGCTGATGTTCTTCTGATGATCGACTATTCATTACTTCTAGATCTCCTTTTATTCCCGCCACAGCATGGGGATGCCGGGAAATTAGGCCCAAGAGTCCCTGCAGTACGTGCATACTTTGGTCTCCTGGGAGAGGGGTTCAAAATAAAGTCTGGGAAATGTATACGTTATATTACCGCATAATGCGTGCGGAAGTGGGGAGGGGTTGCTCATCCGATCGATGGCTTATGGTACTAGTCATGCACAGTGAAGTGACACGGCCAGACATGCGACTCGCTCACATTTCGTGCATGCACCGTCGCAGAGGGACCATTGACCTGGTATTGGATGAAGGCGCTTTCTATTATGATTGGTCGAGGCGTATAACTGCTGTGATGGCGAAAGATTGGGGGACGTGAGCCATAGCTATTCCCAAACCAGGTGGAATATGGCTATCATCACTTGGTCGCTGGTGGCTGAGTATACAAGGTTTCTCAGCTGCGACTCCAGCTGCGCACAACGATGATGGTCATAATACCAAGGAATGGTAGGTATATACTAAATATGCAAGAGTGTGTGTGCATGTTCCAGCAACAGCGCTAGTCGGCCGTTTTCGATAGCGGGCCGCGGCATGGTTTAGGCGTGGAGCGGCGTGTGGTCATCACTTTCACGCTCAACACCACGAGCTGCCACATCGCTTGTCTGCCTCCAAACCCTATTTCTTTGTCACAAAGTACAGCTGAATCGTTTGTCCCGACCTGTCAATTACTTTACTCGTCCGCGCCCGCCCGGCTATTCCGAATGTTAAATCTGGGATCTCCATAGGGTTGAGAGTAGGCGAGTATTGGAATCGCGACAGCTGTCAGTAGCGATACGCGAGTTTTGTCTACCGATCACAGCACCAGCCTGTATGTGCCAAGTTCGTATATGTATGCAGTTAGCTGCGAGTTCCAATGGCTTACAATCGACAACCGATAACCCGGATGGTGACAGGAAAGGGCGTATCTTGAAGGGGCATTTGGGATCGACAACCAAAATTCGAGGCGTGTTCGGTATTCATGGCTAGAAAACACGGCAGTGTGAACCATGCCTGGCGTGCCGTGAGAGGCTGTGGAATTCGCTTTTTTTGTAGCGCCGATACATAATCCCGTCCAATGGTCATGGGTCTTTTCACCAAATCCGGATTGCATTTCCCCAATACGATTGATCTGCCTCGGGGTAGTACGCAATGCCTGTGAGCCAAAAAGGGCGGGCTGCAAGGACAAAGTGCCGAGAAGTGTAGGGCCGGAGTTTGAATTTTTCTTTCTCGTCCAGAGCTATGACATCATGATGCCGAGGAGCAAAACTTTAAAGATTTTGAACTGCATCCCCTGGAGCGGTGGGTAGGTGGTCAGGCCGGAGGCCGCGGGGCCCCTTCAGCTCGTGTCGCGTGAGGTATATGACAACCTCGAAATAATGCATGCAAGGCCTAGCAGCAACGCGGCCGTGGTCCAAAGCGCATTACCCGCGTTTCAGGCTTGCCACGAGGGGACGCGGCGCCTGCACGGATCCACTGCAAATCTCCCGCTTACACGCACCCCACGGGAGCGCGCGCGTCAAAGCAAACGACGACGCTTGTGCTTAGGTCCAGACGAGTTAGAAATTGCCATTTAAGCGCGCCAATGCAACTACCGACATGTTTGCCTCCGACGCCGAAAGCAGCCAAGCGCCTGCAATTGCCCGCCGAGAAAGCATCGTTGGTCGCTTTGTACTTATCTGAGGCGTGTGATATTATAGTAGTACCAAGTAAGGTACAATATGCGACCTAAGGCGTCTGCTTTTTCTGCACCTATTCCCCACATCTTCGCCTTCGCTTGTGCCTGCGACCGGGTTTCAGGTGAGCCTACTTACTCACACAAAGAACCCGGTCATAGCAAGGACGGATATTATCGCTCCAACTGCGCAAGAGACGACATGCGTACCCAGACGGGGGCCGCTTCGCAACGCCACTAGCCACAGCACTACAAGACTAGTTTAGAAAAGAAGAACACAGCACAAGGGATGCCGTTTTGCTGCGCCGCATGCGTTAGGCTCTGGTTACGCCCGGCGCGGTGAAATACTGTCAAATCACGTCGACCGTGAGATGCTCTCTCCTCCTCCCCGATGCCTGGCTATGATGTACAGTACATGCATATGTACTTATATGTAGCCCGTCACAAGTCGCCTTCGGGTACATGCAACCCCGATTTTCTGTGCATCCAAAAAAAAAAAGATTGATATTTGGGGGGGGGGGCGGGTTGAGGCGACAGCTGCATGAACATGGACTCTCAGGCGGCAGATGCCTTGGTGTAAGCGAAAGTTTACACGGTTGCTAAGGCTTTCGCCTAGAAGACTACTTTGCTTGGCAAGGGCCTGTTCTGCATATAAGATTTGCAAATTGACATACTGTGGAACTTTGTAACCCACAATCGATGTGGTGGTCAAAGAACACGGAGATTTAGTGGCGCAACCGTGACGCGTTTTTGGCTTAGGAATGCACGAATGCCCAGGAGCCAGACACAAAGTGTGGCGGAAGGGAGATACCTAATATGTCCATGCTTTTTTTTTTGGCCTTCTTGTTGTTTAATTTTTTTTCCTCTGCGGATGCAGTCGCTGCAGCCGCATGTCGCGTAAGAGACACCGCTTTTGAATGGTGCATTCGTAAGAGCCCCTTCGAATCAGTAAGATCGACACGCTTCGAGCATCATCCACAGCACGATCAACAGCGCGCATGGCTTGCGTTTTTTGGTTGCTGATCAATAGCGTAGTGTGACAACAGAGATGTGTGCATGCACTATACATGCGGTGGAACTACCAAGTTAAGCGAACTACTATAAATGAAGAAAATGAAAGACATCGCTTCCAAGCGCATTGCCCCCCTATCCCAAAGCGACATGACAGTTACCGGTTTGTTACCAGACGTGGAAATTTCCATGGCACCAGCAGAAAACTGCCCCAAATGCCCCTGCTCGCATGCTATGTCGTATTGTCTGCCCATCTAAATGTACTGCTTACACAGCATCGGTAGACTTTCCTAGGCTACTCCCACACTGCTCTTCTCCTACTCCCTACCTTCGTCAAAGTTCTCGCCTAAGCGGGTCCCCGCCCTAGTCTTGCCTCGATTGGCTTTGCCGCAAATTCGCGCACCCCACCGTGACCGGCGCGATTGACCTCCTGCCCACGGGCAGCGGAAAAGGTGCTTTGACCGCGTACTTGACCGCCGTAACTTTCACTGTCATACACGACCGATTCGTCGGCCGCTACAATACTCCTTTCGTATAGTTCCTCATAAAGGGGTCTTGCTGACCAGACTTGCCCAGCTAGGTCGGGGACACGTGTGCTATCCTGGACCACAGTTCCCTCATGTGCAGTGTCAACGCTGCAAAGCGTCATATGCTGCTCTATGCTACTTGAGCCATACGACTTCCCGTCGTGTGCTGTGCCATTCCGCGAGTTGTTCCTGCTGGAGCCAATAAAAGTACGTCTAGGAGAAAACACTGTTGGCAAGCGAGTATAGCCAAACGTCTTCCAACTGTTAGGAAATGCTAGGTCAGCCAGCTGCTGCACCTGTTTTCCTTGCTGCATGCTTGCATCAATGCTGACACTGGCGTCCGGCGCGGTATTGTAGGATGAATGGGCCCAAAGAGGATACTCGAAACTCGTCGAGTAACCCGCTAGTGTAGCTTGTTTACCAGCAGTAAACTGGCGCACAACATGATCGTTTGCCGTATTGCTCAACGATCCAATATTGGAAAAGGTTAAATTCTGGCTCCATATGGCCGTCCTTCGTCCATCGGCAGTATCCAGTGTCGACTCGATGTATATGCTGCGTGATACTTGGACCGAGTAAGTCAAAGAGGAAACGCCCTTCGTTGCAGAGGTCAGTTGAATAGAAGCGACTGAGTCCAGGACGGGTCCCGTTCCCGTTAGAGGCGTGTTGTTTGCGTCAAGCCAAATAAAGACTTTGTCAGTGACGACCCAGTTTGATTCAATAGCTGTCGTGAACGTGCCCCTGCCATTTCCATCATCGTCGATGCCAAGAACTTGAATTTCGAATGTATGATCTTTTCCGTCATTGAGTAATGTTATGAAAGGTGTAATGTCGATTTCGTCATCTTGAAGGTCGAATGCATCGATTCCTACTATTGGTCGCTATAACGTTGGGATAAAGCCTCTAGTAAAGATGACTGGAAAAGGCCAAGCAACCCCAGCCAGCTGCCCATCAATGAGGAGTTGAATCTCTCGGAAGGGCGAGTGACCACGTATCGATGTGTATTCCCAAAAAACATTGGTGTCGGAAGAAAGTACGTGGGTCCACCAGAATTCCTCGTCAGCTTGTCCGCAAGCGGAGATGGTCACCACGGCATTCTTAGCATTTCGCGGCAACATGATGGTGTCGACTGCTCTAGTTTCCGGTACGATAAATGCGCTTGGGGAATCATCAACAGACCTCCGAGAAGAGATTGGAATGATGACATCTGCTGGCTCAATCTCGTCTTCCGCGGTAAAGAAGGTTGCCGTCAGCGTCGTAGTCCAGGAGCCAGTATATGCATCATCAACGATGTTTCCTAGATCAAAAATGATTTTATGTGGCTTCTTGAACAGGCTCAAATAGCCGCTCATGTCTTTGACGTAGGACCAGATGATGCCAGTCTTCGTCGGCTCTGCAGTCGAAGTCCGAAAAACCTCAATGTCATCAAGGAACATAAGGCCGAGCCTGTCAAGCTGTAGGCCGGCGGAAGTGACCGTAAAGTTGAAAGTAACCCTGTTGAACCTGCAGTCGGGTGGGTTGTAATCACCGATAAATGGCTGGCCGTAAGAGAAGGTGAAAGTGTGCTTCATGATAATCTGTTGACATTCGTCCACTGGACTGAGGATTGGTGGCATGGGCTGTAGGCACTGGAGTAGGGGAGGGTGCTTCTTCGAGCCCTTGTAAACATCGGCGGATTGGGACAGGGTGATTAGTATTAGAAACATTGTTATGAGGACGGAGCTAGGTGTTGCTCGTCCAAGTGACGCCGCGATCAGTTCTATAAATCCACCATAACGCCATCCAAAGACTCCATCGCTCTCGTAACTCCGACCATGCATGATGCCCCAAGTCGTTTCGAGGACTGGTCGGCAGTGGTATGATGCTCAAAACGCCGTAAACTCCGTACTCAGAGGTATCTTGAGAAAGTAAAAAAAAATCCAGGTATATAGGTGCGCCATCGAAACCCAGAAGAAGCAAATCGGGTGGATTTATGACTGTTTTCTGACGAGTGTGAGCGCTAGTACTTGGCAGTAGGAAGGTGTTGCGTACCTTAACAATCAATAGAGGGCCAGGCGGTGTCTCGTCAAACAAGCAATAAATGGCGATTTGAGACAGTAATGGCTGCAGCGAAATTTAAATGCTAGCTGGCACAGTGCGAGAAGGCTGACCGTGGTTGGGTGGGGTGGACTATTGGCTGCCCTTATGATTGTCCCAAAAGCGCTTAGTGGCGTTTCGTACGATCTCGTTGTCTCCAAACCGTGTGCGATAGTAGTTCAAGAGAGCAAATTCGTCTGGGGGAAGAACATAGGATCCAGGATGAGCGTTTAGTTTTGCCCAGACTTCGGCGAGGCGTTTTTCGAGAAATTGAGCCAGGCGCTGGTCGACACCGCCTTCACTGTTCTGAGCAACGTTGACGGCCTGGCCGAGGGAGAGGTAGCCATGGCCGGCTATATGTTCAGTGTTACCACCCATGTCTGCGGTGGGATTGTTGGTAGCAATGGTGACCGAGATGGTGATAGTGCAGTGTAGAGTAGAGTAGAGTAGTGTGTGTAGAGCAGAATAGTGTAGTGTAGTGTAGTGTAGTGTAACACGAGGTAGATTGGCTGGCTGGCGCAAGTGTAAACCAAAGAGGAAGGAGCGAGTTGGGTGGGAGGAATGTGGTAGACTGGGCTTTGTGCAAGAGATGGGTGGCAAGATAAGGAGCGTCGTGTTTAAAATAGGGTCAAGCAAGAAGAAGGCAATGGGTAATAGTGTAACACAAGGCATGGACGTAGCGCGGTCAGTGGTATATATAGTAGAGGGTATTAACAGGCAGGCACATGGATGAGACGAATCCACGTGGAGAAACAAGCAGATCCTGAGCAAGAAGCTCATGCAGCTACGCAAGGTATGAGCCTAGACGAAGCCTCAAACAGTTGGCTCCGGGAGCGTGCCGTTTTGGGCGCTGTCAAGCTGTGAAGCGAAGGAATGGGTGTAACACACCAGAGCGCAGCATCGTCCCGCCGAACAATGTGAAAGCGCGTGCCGGGGTCCTGGGCGGCAGGGAAGTCGCCAACGGCGCCGAGGAGGGCAGGGGGCAGGGGGTAGGGGCCTGGCAGGGCAAGCGCAAGGGCTAAGAGGGGGCAAGCGCGAAGGACAAGAGGGCAAGGGCAGGCAAGGGCAAGCGCAAGGGCCGGGCAGGTGCGAGCCTGGTAGCCTGGGAGCCTGGTAAGCAGGGGCAGGGAAGATCAACTCCAGAGTTTAGCCGAACGGGCAGGGGGGCGCGCGACGCTGCTTGCTGCGCCGTTCAAAGAAGGAACCGCCCTTGTGCCATGTCTTGGGACAGCGGTAGCAACAGGAACTGCTCGTGACCCGCCGCCAATCAGCCCGCGCCTGCGACTGCAACGACACCGACCAGGCCCAGGTAAATGAATAATGGTGTCCCCGTCACTCGTCAGCTCAGCACCTAAAGTCGGCCTCAAGGTTTGAGACTGGTGCGGTTGCAGGGGGGTGGCCACGCCGAAAACTTTAATTCTTCGACTTGCAAACCTTCGCATGGCCTCGCAATCAAGTGACCGAGCCGTGTTGCAACTGTCTCTGACACAGTTATAGGAGAATGCGAAGGGGCGAGCTATATGCCTGCACACGACGAGCACCACCACCACTCGCCCATACCGACTGCTACTAAGTACATTTTGGCATACTACCACTACACTACACTCCCAGCATGACCGCTGCGGCACCGGCCGACTACCCCTCGGACGGACGGTCGGACTGGCTGACTAATTGACTGGCCGTGCCGTCATACCCTGCATCCTCTCTCCCCATGAGGCAATTCAGCGTTGCCAGCAGCCCCCGGAATGGAAGCATCTCTCGTCGCCAGGCATGAGCTTGCTACTAACGAATGAGTCGCCGACTACAGAGGCCAGGGGCGTCATGAGTGATACCTTGTCAGAACGGATTAGGCTAATTAAGACGTTGGACGCTGTTAGAGGCCGGCTGTGTCCGTAGGATTCCAACGCCCTTCACCACTCTCATCCAGTCGTTCCAAGACCTTTTCGGTCCCAAATGGGCTCCCAAATGGGCGCCCACCCACTCCCATTACTCGGACACGAGCCCATGCTCGGCCACAATGACAAGGCTCGCAGTCGTGAAACGGTCGTGTTGGGCAAACTTGGGCAAATGAAGTCCTCTCCTGTTCCACAACGGGGGCCATGGCTACCGCCGAACAGGTTTGCGAACAGAATCTGAGTGTGGGCCCCGCACTACTCATTCCCTATACACAAAACTACGCCTGCTGCCCCGCAATTTAGAATTCGCTATGCATCCTCTGTCCACTTGAACACGGCACGCGATCGTCGATGCCGGTGCAATAGCCCAAATCCATTGTGATAGTAGTGGTATTTGTACACACCATACACACACTCACACGCGCGCATTATAGTACTAAGGACTGTAACTATGTGGCCAGCACCTTATGGGCGGCCGCGCCACATGCCTGGGTTGGCTCAAGCGCGCCCGGAAACCTGACTGACCGGCCCCCTGGTAAAGTACCGTAATGGTGGTCGTAATAAGCAAGCGAGCGTGAAGGAGTCGAGCATGCAGCCCATGCATGTGCGTGCACCGCGCCCACGTTCCGTCTGCAGCGAGAATATCCGGCTAGGCCTATTCAGACGAGGCCTGCAACAGCTGTTTGGGAGGGAGACACGCTTCCAGAGTTCCAGACGAACATCATGGCTATACACCGGCTAATGCACGCTGACGCTTCTGTCAACCAGCTCTGCGCAAAGCTGCGCAAGACGGCAATAACCTGGTCTTCTCTTGGATCGCTGTGTTAACGGTAATGCGCCGCCACCATGGTTCCCTGGAGACCATGCGCTTTGATGGAGGGAGATTGGGGTCCGATTTGGCAACCACAAGTCGAAACGTTCCTGGGTCTTTGACTTCGCTTCCGCCGCCACCTATGCCTCACACCACCAGGGAACCTCGATCTGCTGTCTCGTCGCCTTCCGGCTTGCACTTCAGACACCATCTCATCACACGCCTGCCCACCTCCGCAACTCGGGGTCGAAGCGCCGAGCATGGCCGCGTCACCGAAGCCGAGTGTCTGTCCATTGTCCTTCGTCCGGCCGTCAACTTGCTGGACTTTTGGAATGCCGCCACCCAAGGAAGGTCTTGCGTGCCCCGACCTAGCCTGCCCTGCCCTGCCCGGTCTTCGAGACGAGAGCATGCATCCGACAGGACCGTCATCCGCTGCCACGATGTCTTTGATAGTCGCGCGGCTCAGCGTCGTGCGGCTCCGTATCGGACCCTCAGCGGTCGATCGCGGGCCGGCACTACGTTGTTCAACTCGATCCTATTCTCGGGCAGATGCAGATGCAGATGCAAAATAATATTATTAATAATTCGCACCACATCTGGTGGTCCAGACGAGCCAATCCACACTCTTGCGGTCTCCCCGAGCGGAATGGGGCGCTCGGCAGCGGAACAGTTCTCGGACCTGGCAAAACTATTATTCCGGCGGCGTACCCCGTCCCAAAATCCCAGGCTCCAGTGACGCTGCATCGACGTCGGTTTTGGCATGGACTTCTGGAACACCACACGCCGTATCCGAGTCTGAAACGACTGACGCCCACGTGAGTAGCGTTTCACTCACCTCTACCCTCCTGAGCCACTCATGCAATGAAGTCACGCGTCGCACGCATCGGGCCTGGCCAGCTGCTGTTCGGCCACACTGCCAGAAGCCGCACAGTACAGCCAGCATCACCCTTCCTGCGCAACTTCTTCACCTCCACCCCACCCACGGCCCGCCTGCGCTCCGTCAATGAGACCATCGAGCGAAGCGCCCTCTCCCTCTTCCGCTGCCAGCGCCTCGCTCTCGCCCGCCGCTTCCGCTCCCTTCGCCTCAAGAGTGACAGGCCCAATGCCCAGTCGCACAACCCCACACCCCACTTAGGTAGCCCAGAACCAGCTCCTTCTGTATCGCAGCGCCTCAAGAAGCTCTCTCGTGAGTATGGCTGGACCGCGCTTGCCGTATATCTGGGCCTGTCCCTGCTCGACTTTCCCTTCTGCTTCTTAGCAGTGCGTCTACTTGGAACCGATAGAATTGGCCACTATGAGCATGTGCTGAAGGATGCGCTCTGGAGCGTGGTGCGCCTAGCTTTTCCCAACGCGGGTAGAAAGTCAGCCGAAGCAAGTGCAGATGAAGGCGTTGCAGAAGCCACTGACAGAGACGGTTATGTGGAAGCTGGAAGGGCTGCGGGACACAATGGTGGCGCAGACGCTTGTATGCAAAACCCCTCCTTCTATTGTGAACATCTGGCCATGGCTGACAAGTATTGCAGCAATCTGGACCCAACTTGGTCTAGCCTACCTTGTTCACAAGTCTCTAATCTTCTTCCGTGTGCCACTGACTGCCGCCGTGCTGCCCAAGGTCGTAAAAACCCTGAGGAGCTGGGGGTATAATATTGGCACGAGGAAGCCTAGATCCCCACCCGCCTAAATGTCAGAATCGGCCAAGTGTCGATAGTTGCCTGACAACCGCAATGTCGACAAGGGGCTATATGAGAGTCCTAACTTGTAAAATTTAATGTATTCACGACTCTGTAACAACACACATATATACATGTAGGATATGGATATAAGACAAGCACCCTTTCTATGTTCTGCCTCATGCGCACTTACCGACACGGCGGTTTTTGTCTTCGATCTCACTCTAGGTACTCGAAGCCTGATGCTGCACTCTGATGAACACAAGCGTACAAGCGAGAGCGTTTCATTGTTGCACCACCGCTCGCCAAAGCCTGTTAGCTTACTTAGGCAACCAGCAGGAGCCGCCCCCACATATTCATCAAGAAACCTAACAAGCCGCCCTTTAGCTAAAGCGTTTGTCAGAAGATACACTCATCGGTAGATCTGGGCGGCATAGCGAGCTCGCAAAGCCAAGCTAGTATTTCAGCCCCCAGTGGGCAACCGAGAGGGCAACGGCCCTAGTTGCCATGCATGACATACATGTGCCGATCGTAGCTAAACCTTATCTCAATCATAAATAACACCAATTACATTGTGAGGGTGGTGCCGGAGATGCTGGTGGTGGGTTACCGAAGCTAACCCTGTGAATCGGAAGCCGGCGCATACGAATGAACATTGTTTAGCTGTAAGCTTACCCGAGCTGCGGTGTCACATCCCGCAAACCTTACCCAAGTGTGCGGAACTACTGCGACAAGGTTCATGCTCGTCGGATCAAGGTCTCACCCCGTTCGTCTTCGTGTATATCGGCCCTTTTCATGTCGAAACCCTCCTGGTTCGTGGTTGCCTCCTGGCACTTTGAAAGCAGCCGCTTACCCTGTTTGTACCCTACGCCGTTCCCACCGATCAGAAACAAGCACTTTAGTCCCGGACCAAATGTTTGTGAAACTTTACCGCACTTGTCATCCATAAACTATATTCTCGCCAAAGTAAAATGCTATTTTGTCTCCTCGAGAATCCGATACCGTAATCACCCGACCTGGTGTAGGATAAACTTTACCCCGTGTTGTTGTATACGCGTTGCCCATGTTTTGGCAGCGCCATCGTTCGACGTTGGGCAAGGCGGTCAGCGCTCAAGCTACTGCTTGGATTAGGCCCAGATGGTTCTTCTCCGAGCGCTTATTTACCATCGCCTTGACGGGCCTGATGGCAAGTCCCCAATGCTACTATAGGGCATTGCGGCAACACGTATCCGATGAAACACCTACAGTCGTCCCGTTTCTCGTCCTAAATGTGGATGGACGGGACCTTGCTCTGTGCCGTTAAATACCGACTCATGCGGTTTAATCGGCCAATTTGCATCTGCGGATCAACCATCGGTGACACATACAAGGCAATATTTCGCGCCTCATTTTTGTACAGCACATGGCCAAAACAATACCTATATTGGCAAAGTTTCAGGAAAAAACCCATGTCACAGAACCAGATGAAGAATTTCGAGGCGTATTTCAGCTGTTATATCTTTCAAGTCTCATCTTCCTTGCACTGATCAACCGATCGGGATACGCAAGGTGGAAGTCGTGCATGAAGGGACCTGGATCTACCCATCCAAGTTGGAATTTACACCGAGACGCACATGATCAAAGCCACTATAATTCTGGTAAAAGATGCGCAGCCTGAGGACATCACGCAACATCCGAGCTCTCCCGCTCACCCGCTGACCCGATGCTTCGCATGGTGCATGATAATGGGACCGTGGTTCGGAAACCCCGTATTATGACACGGGTGCATGGACTTCGTGGTCGCAGTATCAGCATCATCACTATCACATTACAGGCACACCCTCAGGCACTGTTTATAGTGCGACTAATTGCTACAATTGGTTCCCCACAATAGTTATCACAGAAGCCACGTCTTGGCAATACAATATGTGTTCAAGCCAATTCATAGGATATGACTGACCCAGTCAGCAGAACTATATCGTCAGCCACAAATATGTATGAACGCAATGAGACCCAAGTAGCCATTCAAGATAAGGCAGCTAGGTCAATTAAACGTTCACGGTGTCGTTCTCGGAACATTCTTAGAGGGCTTATATCGAAGGTAGGACTGTTCGACCAAGCGTGACAAATTGGTTCCTGAATCTGCATGTACGTGGTACAGCTGCGATCGAGATGAGGTCGCCGTGCGTTCATCAGTGAAGGGGGGAGAGTTTGATTGGAGCGGTCGCGTTTGAGGAACTGGACAGCATAACTCAAATTTACCTCCTCCACGTATGCGAATCAGACTGCGATGAACAGCAGACTTGTCTACTAACTGTACTCTCATTCTGTCAGAATACAATCGATACAAACATTGATATCGATGCGATGACACTCGTTGAAATGCAGTTGTCGCGTTGCGGATGGAGGTAGAAGGATGCTAGAGGTAACGACAGAAAGTTTTGCAGCTGAACTCCGCGATGCACGGTTGCACGTGTCGGCGCTAATCCTCATTTAGTATCCTTGCAACTGCCCCCTCAACCACCCTATCCGCAACCAACTCTCACACTCAATCCCAACATCCCTAGCCATGTCGGCTTTCGCCTGTGAACTCACACAGGAGATTTCTCATTGAAATTGTCAATTATGTCCTGTCTCGATCCGGAAATTCAACCGCGAAACGGCATATCATGCCCCGATTCCCCTTGCGCATCTTCCGCCTCCCCTACACCCGCGCCGCACGCCGGCGACGCATGTACACAATGCTTACCGCTATATGCGTGGTAATTACATTCATATTACCATTCTATGTCATTTACAAGCCTCCGAATCTTCTGATCCGCTATTTCCAACAAAAGTGGCCAGATGTGCTATGGCACGTGCCTGCTTCTACTCTGCGACGAAATGGGGAAGAGGTGGATAAAGTCGTTGCCTTGACGATTGATGATGCTCCTTCAGAATTTACTTTAGATATTCTCAAAGTATTGGGAGAGAACGAAGCAAAAGCAACATTGTTCGTCATCGGAGGCCAAGTTGGTGGACGAGAGACCATTCTCCAACACGCAGCAAAGGCAGGGATGGAATTGGGAAATCACGCCATGCATGACGAGCCATCTCGTTCCTTGACACCGGCAGTCCTTGAAGCAGAAGTTCGACAAGTGGAAGGATTCATCAATGGGACCTATGATGCTGTCAACCTGCCGCATCCACCACGGTATTTTCGACCTGGATCAGGCTTCTTCAGCACAAGGATGCGCAGACAGATTAAAGAAATGGGTTATCAGATGGTTCTAGGTAGCGTCTATCCTCACGATCCGCAGATTGCTTACCCGAGTGTGAACGCACGACATGTGCTGAGCATGGTGCGGCCTGGGAGCATCATCATATGTCACGATCGGCGAGAATGGACGGTTGTTATGTTGAGAAAAGTGCTCCCAGAATTGAAGAGAAGGGGCTATAGAATTACGACAGTTTCTGGGCTACTAGAGGCAGCAGGAAGAAACAAGGCGACTTGATACATTCAACAAGATGTTGCAGGAATGGAATATTAGCGTTGGACATAACGGTTTACGTGTTCGATGTGAACACCTCAATAACCACTAAAGATAATGATATTTGTAGCTATGTATCTGCGGGAAGAGTTCCCGTGCTCAATCAAGCCTCCTACTGCATGCATTGACGCTCAAGGCAATGCAGGGCCTCGGCGTCACGGATACAAGTAGATGCATTGAGGCATGCGTATCACGATCCCTCCGTAATGGAACAGGTCGAGGAGTGCTGGGACCCCACGTTTTAGAACCGACACAATAGCATCCGATTTCAGTAAATCCTGGTAGTGACTGGCTTCATTCGTGAGTCGTCTTGACTTAAGGCACTACTTTGTTTTCAAGATCAATTATTCCTCAAGTCCTGAGGATCTGTCAAGTAAATGGCGGAGACATGGTGCGAATCGGACTGTTGCATTGAACAACATAGTTCGAAGAGGTTGCTCGGTGTTCAGACTAGGCATCATCGTTCCTACACAAATGCACTATCTCGATTGAGTTAGAAATTGTTAGTGCAGTAATCCACGGGCGATGTTGCCTTGTCGGCACGTGAGCGCGGGACTAGCGCGATCGCGTCCCTTCCTCCTCCAAGTTCACGGTGCGGCGCGTCATCCTTTAACCGCTAGGCTTCAACCTCACCACAGGGGCGACTGATGATTGCCACACCTTGACAACACCAAACATGCCCGCGTAAGTAGATATTAAACCTGCACACCTGATCTTGCCTCGATATGCGTTTAGTGAACGTGAAATTAATACAACTACAGGCCAGGCGACCAATACAGTGGCGGCAACGTCAAGAACCCGTTTGAAGAGCGCGTCAACAGCAATTTTACAGCATCGGAGATTGCCACACTGCAAAGCAGATTAAATAAGCAACTTGGCCCCGAATATATATCACAACGACCCGGTAATGGTGGTGGTAGAGTGGCGTATTTGGAGGGGAACAAAGCCATAGCGCTTGCGAACGAGGTTTTTGGATTCAATGGCTGGTCAAGCTCCTTAGGACAGGTACAGATTGACTATGTATGGCTCAGCATTCTCAGTGGCAAAACACAGGCTAACGAGGGCAGGTCGACGAGCACCAGAGTGGAAAGGTAAGCCTTGGGCTCTCGATAGTAGTGAGGATTACACTCAAGGATGGCACATACCATGAGGTCCGTATAACTGCTCGCAGCCTCCTGCATCAAGCTGACATAGTCCTAGGATATTGGCTACGGATCAATAGAGAACGGCAAAGGCAAAGCCGCATCATTCGAAAAGGCTAAAAAAGAGGCCGCAACAGATGGCCTGAAACGCTCTTTACGCACATTTGGCAACGTTCTCGGCAACTGTCTGTACGACAAGGAATATCTCAAAAAAGTCCAGGCCATGAAAGTCAAGCCCATTAAGTTCCAGGAGGAAAACCTTTATCGCCATGTCGACTTTGCACCGCGACCACCTCAACCCGAGCCACAAGCCATAGTCAAGCAAGAAGCCCTAACAACACCAGCCAGGCCGGACCAGCTTCTTCGAACACGTACCGATCAATTGAACAGCGAGTCTTTTGGAGCCGACTTTGATGACGAAACCGACGAGAATTTATTTGATGGAGTTGATGTGTCTGAGGGGCATGGAGATGAATTCTCTTTTTCAGAAGGTCTCTCTGCTTCCGAGACTACAGCACCACGCACAGTCGAGTCAGCGAAACCAAAAGCGATATCGTCTGGCCGAACATCCCCGGTCAGAAATACAGGGCCTCCTCGGCAGCCAGATCGTAGGCCGATACAAGCAGGTCGCGGTCAACCAGCAGCACAACAACAACAACAACAACAGAATCCATCCAACCAAGGGCCAGGAAGGCCTTCACCGCAAATACAAAACGGCCGACAGCCTCAGACACCAATTCAGCACCAACCACGCCCAGTGCAAAATAACGGACGTATGCCTCCACCTGCTGCAGAAAATGGAGCTGCATCAAAGCCTGTTGGACAGCAAAGCCAACAAGCTCCCAACAACCAGCCCTCACGACCCAACCCTCCACAAGCACAACATCCGTCTAACCAACAACGCCAAGGACCTCAGGCCCAACCCACAACAACGCCAGCAATGAATCCAACGGCCTCAAATCAACGACCACCTGTCGGATTCGTTACCTCCCGCGCTGCTGAGCTCCTCCAAGCATCCGAAACCCCCACACTGAACAATCTCCCACAATTTAACCCCAACGCAGAATCTCCTATTCCAAAAGAGAAACGAACTCCTGGCATCGATCACGCACGTAGTGTACCCATCAAACGTGAAGCCGTCGGCGCTCCCCCCGCCCCCCAACCTGCACCCCAACGACCTGGTGCCATATCAACTGGCTCTTTCAACCGTCCGAACATAGTGAACCCGCATCTCGACAGCAACCGACGAATCGGCATGCCCGGTGCGCCTAACTACGCCATGAGTCCTAGTGCGAATCGTGGTGCTTACAAACCTCCTACATTTGCCAACGGTAATGGAGCGAATGGCATCAAGAGGGAGAGGGCAGCGTTACAGGACGTTAGTAATGTGGGCGTAAATGGTCAAACGGCTGCTGTGGAGGGACCGGACGCAAAGAAGCAAAAGGTCGATGCGCCGCCGGGTGCTGAGAACAACGCGGGTGTTGCCAGCACATAGAAGGTGGGAAGTTTGTGATTTGGGACGGCCGTAGTGCATTTATAACATTTATCATTATTTGGTCATGATGAGCGAGGTGTTTTGGGTGCGTACTACAGATGGGGTCAAGGCGTTTTTGGCGTTAGATACCGTAACGGTCACATATGAAGTATGCAGTACAATTCATGAGCCCCAGGGCGTTATGGGTGAAGTTTGGACACTATGGTACTTTTTGTTTGCCCAGGACCACTAGACTGTTCTATGGCTACTTTTTGTCTAGTGCTCAAGGTTCCCAGGTAGCGATGAATCACGTGGTAGTTTTCAAAAGTCATTGGATAACAACTCACTCCCTATCTCTCTTTCCATGTTTGCCCGTGGATGAAGACCCTTCTCCCCTTTCTTAACGAAATCCTGCTCCATACAAATTCCTAGGTCTTTGGTACAGGCTTCTCATGCGAATCTTTATTCTGACTACAAAGTCACTTTTTTTTTCATACCCGATTCCGGCAGGTTGGGGTGTGGTCTGCCATTCTTTTCGGAGAAAAAATAATAATAATCTGATATGCTATACACCAAACAGGTACGGCTAATTCAAGTCACAAGTCATGTAAATTCCCATGTGAAGAGGGAAGTAATCCATATTCGTTATGCCAATAATATTTTCTACCATTCCATGAAAAAAAAAATGTGAAGAGCGCTAATACCTGAGAAAAATCAAAAACTACCAAGAAGAGAAGACAACACACATGCGGCACATATGGTCCTCTCTCTCTAGGAGCATGTAGACAGTAAACAGGGACGGAGAGAGATATATATAATGGGAGATGAGTCCCCCTACTATTCCCTCCTCCGTTTGAGGCTGTCACTTGGTGCACTTCCATTCCCGCTACTACTACCACCGTTGTCCTCGCCATAATACATGTGGACGTCCGTTCTTCAAAGAGGGGGGGAATTATGTCAGCGCTAGAAATCGCAAAGGCCCCGAACAAGACAAGAAGCAGGTGAAACTAAAAGGGAGAGAGTGACCCCTAGATATTTAGGGATTACCTCTTCTTGCTTCCTGGACGTGGTTTGCATTCATCCCCGAGAATGGGGTGAAGCTTGATCTTGATAGGGTACTGCTGGTTGTTGCCTCCGTAGCCCTTACTCCAGTCGTAGCTGACTGCATATGCGAAAATGTTTCCGTCTTTGCTGAAGCTCGTCGCAACGATGCTGCCGCCGACTTCAGGGTAGCCCTTGAGGCGGTGCTTTGCGTCCTTGTCCCAGAAGTGGAAGGTGCCGTCGGAGCCGGCAGTAGAGAAAGTGCCATGTTGTGGGTGGAAGGAAATGGCATTTACAGAGAAGACCTTTGCGGTTTCGCGAGCGTTGGGGTCGGGTTGGCGGTGGCACTTAAAAGAGAAGTTGAGACTGCAAGTGTGTTAGGCGGGCTCTCTGATCCATAGAGGTTGGAAAGTATAAAGTACTTACCTGGTATCCTTGTCCTCGACGTATTGGATGGCGCATCGGCCCTCGATGGAGCCAACAGCGAAACCGGTTGCATCTGTAAAACAGCTAACCACTCTTGTCTGCCACTTAAGTGGACTGGTGATAGTCTTGTAAATGGTCGTGGGGTTGGTCAAGTTGACCATGTGGATGTGGCGCTCTGCTGTCGCAATGACGAGCAATTGATCTTTGACATCCATGCTGTAGACGCGCTCCTGACATTGCAGCGTGCCGACGGGTTCAGCACCCTGTAGATCCCAAAACTTGACCGTCTTGTCCCACGAGCCAGTCGCAACATAGTCCTTGCCGCCAGTCTGGAACCAGCGTACGCACTTGATGGCATTCTCATGAGCCTTGGCTTGCTGGGCGGGGACAGTACCGCTGGCCGGGGCAGTCCGGAAGTCAACAATATTGAGCATACCTGTTGAGTCGCCGGCTGCTATGCGTGTGCCATCCTACATCATGTTAGCACCCTGTTCCGTACTATGTCGTTGCTTTGGTGGACGCACCTTTGACCAACCCACACCCAGAACATGACCCTGGCACTCAAACATCCACTTTCCCATTGCGCCATTGCCGTTGACTTCGTAGATGTAGACTTTCTTGTCCCAGCTTCCTACCGCGAGGAAGTCGTTGGTTGGCGAGAACTGGAGGTCGGATATGCTGTCGCTGGGTACTTGGCCGGCTGGCACTTCAACATCTTTGCTTGTGTCTCCCGTTGTAGAGCTGGTAGCAGCAGGCGCCGCGGCTTGACCGAAAAGCGCCATGTCTTCTGGCTATGTGTGGTTTGTTGCGCACGTCAAGATGTTGTGATGTCTTGTTATGGAGCTTTGCGCGAGGTGTAATAGTGGATCTCGCGGCGGTCGAGTGATGGAGATAATCGGACGCGCTTGATAGACGAAGGTTGAGGCGCGACGGGATATTTGGAAGCTGAAGGAAATGATTGGAACTGCAGCGCAACCGAATCTTATGTTCTTGACCACCAACGCGCCCCAGCAAAGAAAGAGCGGCTGTCCCAAAGCTTCCCAGGCACCCTTGCAAGGCACCAGTCCACCTTCTGCCTAGTGTGCCTAGCGCCCGGCGTTACGATTCGCCGATTCCACGTAAAAACTCGACGCACCATGCCAACTTTCTTCTCTCAACGTTCCTCGCTCGAAGAATCGCAACGAAGCACACGCACAGAGCGCACTCGTGGCGTCTCTTCCCTCGAATGCTTTGGGAGAAAGTCCCCGGACAACGATCTTCGCGATCGCACTTTTAGCAACGAACCGCCATAGAAGCTGCGGCTTCCATCACCGACTACGGCATTTCTCCGCATCTCTTCATCGCTTGTACTCGAGGTTCACTAGCTCTCCCGACGCTGCGAGTGGAGGCGCTGGCACTTGGATGATGACATGAGTCCGTTGGCTACCTTGCTTGCATGCCGAGGGTCGCAACAGAGAATCGAGGAGTTGAGAGATGATAGAGGGTGCTAGGTATGGAGGGTCTTCTCGTCCAGTTTATGGTTATGCGATTGCCTTTCCTGCACTTTGGTAAAACAAAGTGAGCTGGAGGGTAACTCAATGGGGCTTATTCTCGAGGCGAGGAACGTTCACCTCAAACATTTTTCGGATCTGAGGTAGCCGTCCTTTCGCCTTTGGAGGTGACGGGCTATACCGTGCTTGGTCGAACAAGCCAGATTCATTCAGCCAGACAAGGTTCACATGATGAGAAGCATTAGAAATAGAGTCAAGCTCTGAGGCTGTCTGAATCCCAAAGTGGTAGGACGGCCTTTGCTGAATTTTCTACGACGGTATCTGAAGAACCTTGCGCCTTAAGTAGCTTTTTTTTTCTTGAATAGAAGCAAAGTTTGCTCATGGGATGTTTGTGTCCATAATTGCCCGAGTGGTATCATGCATCGGCTAAAACTGTTGGTGTCTGTATTGGGCGCTTGCTATACACAGCTCATGCGTCAGCACCGACAATGAAGTCCCGGACCTCTTTGTACGCCTTGTCCAGGTCCTCGTTGATGACAATCTTGTCATGCGGTGCCTCTCCGCTGTGTGCAAAGTCCAACTCAACCTTTGCCTGATTTAATCTCTTTACAATGGCCTCTTCCTTGTCAGTGGCCCGACTCCTCAGTCGCTGCTCCAGGACCTCCATAGACGGTGGCTGGAGAAACAGGAATCGCGGACGGGGAAATGTGGGATGGTTTGCGACTTGCTTGACACCCTAGACACTTGTTAGCTGTGCCTGAGCCTGAAGTTGGGCATGTTATTGCGTACCTCCATCTCGATATCCAGAATACAAATCTGACCCTTCTCTGCAATATCGTTGACAGCCTTGATGCTTGTTCCGTAGTAGTTACCTCCAAACTGCGCATGCTCAACAAATCCCTTCTTTTCAATTAGGTCGAGGAACTCTTCCTTGGTCACGAAGTAGTACTCCTTGCCATTCTGCTCGGTCCCCCGGGGTGCGCGCGTCGTGTGGGATATGCTGAAGCCAAACTTTCCAGGAAATTCTTCGAAGAGGCGCGAGAGGATGGTGGATTTTCCAGCGCCAGATGGGCCGCTGATTACAATGGGCTGGTTCGCTGAGAGGGCGTCTTTAGAGACGGGGGCAGTATCAGCGGGAGCCATGGTGAAGGCGCGGTGGGTGAAGGTGCGCAAGGAAACGGGCTTGCAGGTGCTTGGGAGGTATGCGGTGCTGGGTTTTGGTAGCGGAGAGTGAGTTACTCGCGCAATACAACTTCTCGAATCAGTCAGTAGGCTTCGCGATAGCCAGGAAAGTGTCAATGGCATGCCTATCGTGAGCTGGGACAATGCGGGGTGTTGATTGGCGGTGAAGCTAGGGGTCTTTGGTGTTTGGTGGGGCGCTCTAAGTGGGATGATGGGCGGGACCTGTGACATCGCGTTTTCGTGTAGTTACTGACCTCATTGACCTGGAAATTTGCCAACCCTTGCATCACCTTGCCCATGTTTCGCTAGTCGTTTGTGAATGGGAGCGGTAGAGCTACCACGCTTTCAAAATGGTACACGATACATATTTTCATCTGAATTTTGCCCTGACAGCTTGCAGTCAAAACAATACCTTACCCTCCACACGGTCGAGTCGGCCCATCCCAAAGCGAGCGACATCTTCGCTGTAGCGCCGACTAGTACACAGCTGCTCTCGGCTTCTGGCGCGAGTAGCATCAATGTCTACGACACTACGAAACCCGACTTTCCAGTTATACAAAGACTTGACAAGGCACATCCGCTCGGCATACACCACCTGGTGACTGCGCGCGAAGAGAAGGCACGACGGGCTGCGAGTGCTGGTTTCGAGGGCAAGGTCAAAATATGGAGCCAGAGTGAAGACGGGGCATGGAGTGAGGACGGAGAGATTGTCGGTGGGTACGCCTTGCGCTTTCTTTGCCATCACAATTGGATCGTCCATGTCACCGGGGCGAGCGCTAACTTGCGTTACAGATCAGAACAAGCCGGGTGAGGTGTGGGCGATTGCAATGAGCGCGGATGGGCAGTACCTTGCCAGCAGTAGTATCAACGGCAAGATAAACGTCTGGAGCTTGAATAAAGACGAGGGTATGCCCCGCATACGCGAATACGAGACCAAAGGCAGCTTTGGTTTGTGTGTAGATCTGGTATGCCTTGGCTGTCTTTTTTAATTCTGCTTGAGGCGTTACTAACAAGTAGACAGAGCCGCGACGGCAGTTTCACAGCCTCGGGACATGAGAATGGCTCGATATACGTTTTCAACAACGATACTGGGCGTCTCGCACACTCTCTAGCAGGGCTTGTACACCCAATTCGCAGTGTGGCCTTCTCTCCAACTTCGAAGCTCCTAGCAGCAGGAGGTGATGCCAGAATCATTGCAATCTATAACGTCTCTTCGGGTGAGCAGGTAGCAAACCTCACAGGACATGGTGGCTGGGTACTCAGTCTCGACTGGAGCGATACCGGCGAATATTTGCTGTCTGGGTACGATGCGACTACAAATTCGCAAATACAATTATTGACTTCGTCTCTAGATCTCACGACTCAAAAGCAAAGGTATGGCGGTTCGAGACTAAGACGTGCGTCGCAACCCATTCGCACGGCGACAAGCCTCTTTGGAGCGCGAAGTGGTTACCCAAGGTTCCCACAAAGAGCGAGATGTTTGCACTGGCGGGAGGAAACAACACCATTGGCCTATACCGAGAGGCTGCTGGCTGATTGACGACTTGCTGAAACCGATCGTGTTATACTGCATAATGTATGATGGCGTTTGAGCTGACAACGCTGGCTGAACCCATGACACTGCTGCCTTGTAAAGCTCTAATCATCAAGCTGATAGTGGCCGGGGGTGTAAGGTGAATATGATAGAAACATTCGCCATGCAGTTGCGATTTGACAAACCTAGGTAATCTTCTTATGATATGCTCTTACCTCAGATCAATTGAGAACACAAATTCATGCAATCTGCGTCACGCTGATCATACGATAGTACATGATATATCCACATAACTGCCATGATCCGTATGATTCCGTCTCTTCTTTACGAGCATTGAAGGTTAGCCAAAAAGACAATTGGCACTCCCAGTCAGAATCTAGATTTACTATCAAGTGGATGGTGTTGTCGAAAAAGCGGCAGGAATGAATAACATGGATGTTTAGCTATAGCCCGACACTCACATGAATTATTGTCTGCACAAAGCAGTTACGGTCTAAGCGGTAGGTACAATTAGCCTTTCGTGTTTGTATTGCTTCTACTGCGGTTCCTGATTTTTACGTACCCCCGAGGACGACCAGGGCGATACGGCACTACTACCACTATTGCTACCACAAGGCGTATCCTTAAAGTTCCTTATTCCCTTGTTGCTGCCGACATTGCGGCCGAAGATGCCGCTGCGAAAGGCATCAACGACTCTTCCCATCTATCCTCCTGCACCAAACGCTTCGGAGCCGCCCACCACTGTGTTTCAGATATACTTCCCATCGTCCCTGAAAACCCGCCGTTTTCACACACTGCGACCCACCATGGACACCATATAGCTATACGCTATGGCACACTCTAATCGCCAGATCCCAAGGTCTACAGGGGGCGAATACCATGAGATCGTCATCCCTGGTTTTCTTTATGAAGATATGATGAGATGCCACAGTGCATGGGTAACCACTGGCCACATCCACAACGCTGTACTTGAGGAAATGCTCGAGACTTTGAAATCGACAAAAGCAGGCCGAGAACTTGTTTCACTTCTGGACGGCGAGAGGAAATGGTTCATTAGGCTCGGTCACATGTCGTCAAAAGACAGTCCCATGGGGAGTGGATTGCCATCATTGACGGTACGAGATATTATGACGAAGCTCTGTACGTCCATGCGCGCGTACACTTGTCTGCAACGTGAGAAGGCGCACGCAGAGAAAGAGGATAAGGAGATGAAGATCAAACTTATGCTCAACAGGTGGGATGAAGGAATGCATCCTGGGACGGAGTTTAGGGTCTTTGTTTCACCGCCTGCCGCTGCCGCAGCAAGAAGAAAAAAATCGCCCCATGGCCGCTCCCAGACCAGACGACTTCAAAATCAGCGCCATTAGCCAGTATAGATGGACCTTAGTTTTGGTGGCGCCATGGGGTTTCCACCCTGGAAGATATAGTAGCAAAGCTCGAGGCGGGAGCGAATGCAGTTCTCTAGGATATCGTTACGTACATGAAGGAGGAGCTAACGGAATATGTGATTGATATGTTACTGGAGCACGGGTTCAGTTTTGATGTGGCGCTGGAGCGGAACAGCACTGTTCAACTAGTCGAGATCAATCCTTTCGGGGCATTGTCGCCGTGTGGAGCTTGCCTTTTCAACTGGATACTGGATGGGAAAGTGCTTTATGGAATTGAGGAGGGACGGTTTGCTATGACGTTGGATGAGAAACGACCATGAAGCCATCAAGCTTGTGGCGTTGGGCTTGTTGATGCATAAGTTTCTCAGATGCAGAAAAGGGAGTTTGCGTCACCAAAGTTGCTTCTTGTCGACCCAGATGGATTTCCTTATCAGAAAAAACAAAACAACATGTGTTGGAGATTGGGTAGCCCCTAGCTTAGGCAACGCATAGCAGAACTTCGGAGGCTCCGTCTGCCAAGAGAGGTACGTCTACCCATCGCATGCAGAAGCGGCCCCGTCCGATTGGATCGAGGCCTGTGAAAACCTCCGTGTCTGTTTCATTCGCCGGTGTCTAGAATGGCCCAAGATTGAACGGCATAGGGGACGTTGTGGGCGCGACGCTGTCTGAGGCGCTGATTCGCCACTTGTCGGATCCACCGTCACAGCGACTGCGTACCAAAGGGCGGCACAACCGCCGCCACGCCCTTAAGCCTTGCCACTGCAGATGCTTCATTTTGAATCCTCAACGGCTTGTCCAATCTGTTACGTACATCTAGAAAACATCCTCTTTCCCTACTCTGGACCGACCCACTTCTGTCGGGAATGTCTTGGCTCCTGCGAAATAGGGGAATGATCTCCTTTTGCCAAGCTGGCTCTTCACAAATGAAACCAAATCCACTGGCCGCCTATTATACCTCATAGTAGCTATAGCTGTTGGTATACTTACAGCCAGCCGTTGCGAATTTTATGCTCGGCACACCTAGTCCTCATTAGTCGCAAGGCCAATAGCAAGAGTAGACGAGCTCTGCCGCAGAGGTATCCTCCTGCCTAAACGAACGATGAAACGCGGACAGCCTCCCGTTCCATCTTGCTGCCGCAATGCGACCTGTAGTGACCTAATCACTCTAGCCTTGTGGCTAATGAGAACTCCACTGTATCCATCTCGACGATGCCAATCAAGTCTGTGGCAGATTGTACAATCGGCTGATCACGTCGATCCCGCGGCCAGCCTCACATCCCCGTGTACAGAGGACATGATTTATAAATGCTCGTCTGCTTCAACTTGAACAAAACCTCACCACCTCACCATCTCATTCAAGTCCTTTCTACTTCTTCCTCTGGCTAGTCCATTCATTCGCTCATTCTTCTATTGGCTTCTTTGCAACTTTCGCTCTCTTATACTACTTCCGCTAGTCGCAAATACTCCTACTACTTGCAAAGATGCATTCCTTCAAAACTGTTCTTGCTCTTGGAGCTCTCCTGCCCGCATTCCTTGCGCAGGCCAGCAAGATTATCCGTACTCGCAACGAGCACACCATTCCCGGCTCGTGGGTGGCCCGTATTGAAGAGAATGAAGTACTCGAGGCTGTTCTCTCCACTGTCCTTGAGGCTGCTGGTATCGAGTCCAAGGAAACCTACTCTGTTGGAGGTGTCAAGGGCTTCACCTTCGACGCCGATGATACCATCCTAGATATGCTCGAGAGCATGGGAGCCATCAAGTCCGTCGAGCCTGACTACAAGATGTATGCTTCCGTCCCGGTTGGCAGCTTGAACGCGCGCCAAACCAACGGTACTCTTACTACTCAGAAAGGCTCCCCCTATGGCCTGGGACGCATCTCCCACCGTGAGCCTGGCACTCGGGACTACGTTTTTGACAGCTCTGCTGGCGAGGACACCTTCATCTATGTCATCGACACTGGTGTTAACACCGAGCACACCGACTTCGGCGGCCGTGCCACTCTCGGAAAGAGCTTCATCTCCGGATCTGATGGCGAAGATGACCAAGGCCACGGCACCCACTGCTCTGGAACCGCCGCCGGCACCAAGTTTGGTGTAGCTAAGAAGGCCAACATCATCGGTGTCAAGGTCCTCGGCGCAGACGGCTCCGGCAGCAACTCTGGTGTCCTCAGGGGCATTCAATGGGCGGTCGATGATGCCACCGAGAAGGGCCACATCAACCGCACCGTCCTCTCCATGTCTCTCGGCGGCCCCTTCTCCCAGACCACCAACGATGCCATCCAGTCCGCCGTCGAAGCCGGAGCTTTCGTCGCCGCTGCCGCCGGAAACGAAGGCGAAGACGCATCCAACTCCTCCCCCGCCTCCGCACCCCAAGCCTGCACCGTCGGCGCCACCAACGAGCGCGACCTCAAGGCCTCCTTCTCCAATTTTGGCAAGCTCGTTGACATCTTCGCTCCCGGAGAGAAGATCCAAAGCGCCTGGATCGGCAGCTCCACCGCTACCAACACCATCAGCGGAACTTCAATGGCTTGCCCCCACATTGCTGGTCTTGCTGCCTACCTTATTGCGCTTGAGGGCCCCCGCTCTCCTACTGCCCTATGCAAGCGCATCCAGGAGCTTGCTACCAAGGACGCTATCACTAACTTGAGGGCTGGAGAGGGTAGCCCCAACCTCATTGCTTACAACGGCAACGGCGCGTAAACATCTTTTACGCTCACTGATTTTTTGTGTGGTGCGGACCAGCTAACCGTGGATCGGTGTGCTTGGGAGAACTAAGGATAATGTATTTGTGAGGACCTTTTTGTACATTTTCTTTGCCATGGATTTGATGGCTTTCTGTGGATATTTTGGGGACTTGAGGATTGAGTGGAGTGAATACATATACCTTTTGGTGTAACTTTGTTACAAGAATACAATGGAATGCCATGTTGTAACAACTATTCTGATTTAGCTCTTGCAGTTTCATTTTTGTGGACCACTGAGTTTCCGGTTAACTGTGAGAATAAAGTAGCTTACTTGATTTCAAAAGCTACGAATAACGAGTCTTCCAAGTTGGCTCACTAGTTAGAAATCTTTATTAGTGTAAATTCATCACTAGAAGTTTTATTTGAGTGTTGTAGGCCATCTTCCGCGTTACAGATGTGAAATATTCAGGCCTGTTATTTTGAGTACCTCGCTCGGCTAGTTGTTCAGGCTTCTCTCTGGGTACAAGCCCGATAATATAATCTACAGATTGAGTGTTGCTGTCGTATATCTTTGTAGATTTTATATCTTTTTTAGGTCCACTTGGGAGTATCATGTGGATTAGTCTAGGTATCTCCTAGGCTTATAAATTAAGGATACATAGAAATAGCTATATTCTTAGTTAGATATATAGGATAGAAATGCGATAGTTATACCAGGAACCAATATTCCCTATTTGTAGCAAAGAAGTGTATGTTTCGGGTGAAGAGCCCTTGTGTGATCTACAATTGGACCCTGTAACCACTATCTGCTGGTCATCGTCTTTTTATATCTTACGATACAGGGCTGTAATGAGTGAGATTTTAGAGTTCGTCACGTGGTGGCAACACTTACCAAAGAAGGAGATTCTTAACCTATTCGCATAGATTAGACAGGTAGGAGTAAAGATTCTTCGAGCCAATTGGAATGCTTTCCAAGCCCTTGGGCGCGATATCGGTATGCGACTAGAGCTGCAACAAGGAGGAGTTTGCATAGCTTTTACCGATGATAGTATGTGCCTATCCAGGCCCCCACCCTTATTGACGCTGTAAATACCGCAGCCGACTTCGCTGCTAGCCGGCCCGAAATGCACTTGATCGGCATCTCGGGATGATTTCGTGTTTCAACGGGTATTTGGATGATGGGCTGATGTTACACATGCTGATACTGCCAGGTGGTGGATAACCGTATCTTTGAACATTAGATCATTTTAAGACAATAGATGGCAGATAACATCATGGCATGGGGCCACTGATTCTATGTTGACATCTGGGCACGTTCGGGTACTGTAATCACAACTTGACTGCTTATATCTCCGAAAAACGCTTTCGAAATATAGTTGACGGTAGAAAATCCAAGCACATCGACAACTGTTCCGCTCGCCAAATTTCTAGATACGAGTAAACAAAAAACATTGGAAAACATGCCGATTGAACATTACTTAGTGGCGTCGCTTAGGTGTAATGCGAAACAGCAATTTCGCGGCTGAGAGGATAAATGATGATAAGGTTGCAGGATATGGAGTCACCGCGCCGTTTCGCCGCTACAAAATCAGGATATCAATGCATGCAGAAATTCTCTCAAAAAGATACATAATCTAAGCAGAACGTAAAGATGGAGATAAGTACAAGCCCATCTGCCAAGTTGGTTTCTCCGACTTTCCCGTGGCCTGAGCTTGCCATCTCACCGTACTATCAATTTGCCACTGCAGAATCAAAGTCTCGGTGCATGCACGGAATTTCTAGAGGAAATACATGATTCGAGAAATGGTCCAAGTGGTAATGCAAGCCACATGCCAAGCGCGTTTGCCCCAATTTCCCCGGAGTCCGAGCTCGCCATCTAGCCGTATCAGCCACCGTAGAACCTGGGGTTGTATACTTCCACCACTCAACTCCAACATGACAAGCTACACTTACGATATCTGGCATCGCCGTTTAGTTTCGCCAAGCACGGGGCACCTAGCCGAGATTCGCCAAGTTAAATAGTAGCAGCCATATAACAGCTTTGGTACAGAGATGTGTTATACGGGTTTCTGGACCTGCTTCTCGATGCGCCAGGGACCACTTTTCCGGAAGAATTGGTCGCTCATACGGTGTACGACATTGCAGTATACTTTTTGGGGCACTAGAGGTCGATCATAGCAGTAGATAAAATGGGGACAGTATCGCCCTGCTGTTTGTCGCCAGGTTATTCATAATAGTTCACGTATTCTATTAGTGTCTTCTGCAAGTCAAGATGAAGCTGTCAGCCCTCTCCCTCATTTCTTTCGCTCTATCTGCGACCGCAGCGCCTACGGGCTCTGATTTCAGCCTGGTGGGATTCGCAAAAGATAACCCAATTGGCCCAACAACTGGTGGCCAGTCCAAGGATGGCAAAAGTGTTACTGTGGAGACTTTGGCCGATTTCGTCAAGGCAGTAACTAGCACCGAGCCTCTTGTAGTTTACGCCAAAGGCAACTTTAACCTCACCTCGCGAGTTCAAGTACAATCCAACAAGTCACTCATTGGTCTTGGAAAAGGTGCTCAAATTACAGGCAATGGCCTCAACATTTACAACAAGACCAATGTCATCATCCGCAACTTTGGCTTCACAGCCACTGCCGACGACGCCATGACAATCCGCAACAGCACGCGCATATGGATCGACCACAACGAATTTACCACCGGCAACTTCCCCGCGCTAGGTCCCGATGCATTCGACGGTCAAGTCGACATCATCCGCGCATCAGACTGGATCACCGTATCCTGGAACTATTTCCACGACCACTGGAAGAGCTCGCTAGTAGGCAACAGTGACGCCCTCCGAGACATCGACCAAGGCCACCTCCACGTCACCTACCACCACAACTACTGGCGCCACGAAGGAACGCGAGGCCCCGCCGGCCGCTTCGGCCACCAGCACATCTACAACAACCTCTATGTCGACTTCCTCTACCAAGCCATCCACTCGCGAAGCGACAACCAGGTTCTCGTCGAGGGAAACGTATTCAAAGGAAACACGCGCGAGGCACTCAGCACATACGGTCTTGTTATCCCAGAGGACAGTCCGAATACCAGCCCCGACGGCGACTTTGAGATTGATGGCTTTGCGAATCTGGGAGCGAAGAATGATTTTGGCAAGGCCGGCGTGAATATTACTCAAGTTGGAAATTTTACGCAGGCGCCGTATAAGTACAAGCTTACGCCGCTGAACAAGGTGGAGGATGTTGTTAAGAAGGGGGCTGGGTTGGGCAAGATTTGAGAAGGTGCTTTTGCCGGATGAGGTTTTTTTGTAAATAATGATGGAGTGAGATTAAGTAATGAATGTGATATCCCTTGCTTATCCGTTGTGGTCTTATTTCTTATTTGCATAATACTAGTCAGTTATCAGCGGCTTTTTTTTTTGCAGAACTAAAAGACAAACTCTGCAGTACTCTGTTCTACGGAAAGCAAATAAGGTCAGGCTAGGAAGCGAAGCTTATTACTATATTATCTTCGCGGTCAGATTTTAGTAGTTTCCCTTGTACGATTCTGATTGGAGACTTATACACCCATGTAGCGAGTAGTAGCAGTCACTTTCTAGTAATATTTTTCTGGTAAAAGACTCTCGGTGGCAGCAAGCTATTATCTAAATGGATGTGTCCGACTCAGGGCTTCAGCGTCCTATTGAGCATGTCGATCTTGATAGCTTAAATGTTATGGCTAGTTGAATCTTACCTCGTGAATTTGTTGCCCGAGTCAAAATATCGAAATAGTAGCCTGTGAATCAGCGAATGTTGAGTATACAGTTGCCAAGGGTCGAGTTAGAAATGCCATCATTTACGAGACCCAATCATTTCCTCATACATTACGATTTCTCCCTTAACTCATGTTTCCACTTGCAAAATTGAAGAGATTCATAACGTCTTTGGCTGGTTGCTCAAGTCAACCATAGTTATACATGTACACAAGAACATTACACTATCGATACATGCAAGCCTAGGCATGGGCCGCAACACCTCCCAAGGGCCTTTGTCCTTGAGGGTTATTTGGTGCAGCCGGTTGTAACTCCTCAATAGCCTGGTCATACTCGTTGCTGCTCATATCCGTGCCAGCACCATCATCTTGCTGTCCACTAAACATTTGTGCGCGCATAGCCTGCTCATCCTCAATCTGCTTAGTAGCCCAGGCCTTCCAGTTCTCCCACTGGCGGTCCTCAAGCTCCATACCAATCTCAAGCGGTCCTTTGCCAAAGTAGGCACCGACGTGCAGAGCTTCTTCTTTTGCGATACGTGAGCGGATTTCGGAGAGATGGCGGTGTTTGTAGAATTCGCGGCGGGCAACATCGTAGGCGGAGGCTTTGGAGAGGGAGGCATTCTTCATCAGCCACATTTGGCGCTGGACGACGCTTCATTATGTTAGTGTAGCCACATGGGAAGCAGTGATATCGGCTGGACGCACCTTTCACCATCTAATTGCTTGCCCGGCTGTACAATCTTGCTCCAATCGTAATTCTTCGAGTCGTTTCCGCTATCCTCAACTACCAGCCTCGGTCGTGCCAGTTCCCATGGGTGGTCACCGAAAAATTCTGAGCGCAGCTTGTCTTCGGGATATGCGATGGGCAGTGGTTTGAATAGTTTGCTGGCCTTGCGTGCCTTGCGCATCTTGGGTACCCGCAGCACTGGTCTCGCGAGTGTCTCGCCCGGGGGAATATTTCCAATGACATCGTACCATTGCGGCAGCTCGGGGTTTCGCTTTGCGTCGAAGAGGGCCTTTGCGGTTTGGCGGACGCGAAGAGGGCGGAAGTCGTAGCGGCCCATGGCGGGCAGTGTCGATAGTTATGCTCTCACAGGCACTGTGTCATGTGAAGGAATCCTTGAGAATATTCCGGGGGCGCGGCAATTGGCTACGGGCCACAATGGGTGATGTCGTGGATATTATCAGCGTTGTTCTTGCCCGCGCAAACTCCGAAGATTTTGCCAAGACTTCGCGACATTGGAAATCTTTGGACGGCCCATGTGTGGGCATCCGCGCATCACCACCAGTACCGTTATTCACTCGCCCTATGGAAAGCTCCCCAATGGGTTCCACATAATCAATTGTAGCCGCGCTCGCAAATGGAACACGTCTGAATAGGCTCCCACTGACACGATGCTCGACCTCTCATGTCCCTCTTCCGTACCCTCGATCGGACCTCCGCAGTCTCCAATACCACCAGCGCACGACCCTTTCTTTCCTTTTTATGTCCG